GCCTGGGATTTTAGTGTTTCAGAGCCGGGGGCAGTGCCCAGCAATGACTGATTGTAGACCGTAGCTGTAGTGGGATGGAGCAACGAACGTGTCCTGGTCAGGAAGGTTGTTAGGAGATGGGATCGGTAAACTGTGGCAATGGGATGTGGAAGGTGCTACCCATGTGCACTTTGAGGTCACCAGGGTGATGTAGGATGAAGGGAGTCGAGTGGAGAGAACAGTGGAAAGCGTTGCTTTAGTCTTCAGAGAGGGAGGGAGTGAGTTAGAACACGATCTAGCCTGGCGGCGTACGTCTCCAGAGAGAAGCGGGTTTGCTCGTGGGGAGAGAAGCAGTGACGTAAAGCTGCGGTGTGGACTCAGCAGGACCCAGGCACACCCTGCATGGGACATGGCAGGACAAGAGACCTCCAGCAGAGGGCTGCAGGGAGAGCCATGGCCTTGGCATGACTGGCTTCCAGGAAGACCGGTTGTGGAAGGAATTTGGAGTGAGGAACTTGAGGACATAGATGAGTTGGCTGATTATAGAACAGGAGTTCCAGAAGGTACAGGGAAGTGTTCGAAAGGGGAAGGGTTGGAAGGTTGGCGGAAGGGAAGGAAAGCAATGTTACCAACCAGAATTCCAAGTACGAGAGAGGCTAAATCATCGGCGGGGTTTCCAGAGCACACTTTTCTAGTCAGACTTTACCTAGAAGTTTGGACCGCGTTTAAGAAACGGAAGTTCGGAGTTCATTCAAGAGGAAAGGGATCAGGAATATTTTGACTTATTGAGCATTAACAGATACTTGCTGAGTGCCTGCAATGTGCACCACACTGTGTGGCCCTGATAATATGTAGGTAATATGAGTCCCAGTGACTGCCCTTCAGGAGGAGACCTGTGTGCCAGCCATGAACTGCCATAGAGCAGTGCCACTGTCCAGCCAGGGGACTGTGGTGAGTTAAGGGGAGCGCTCAGGAGAATTGGCTTTTCTGCCCGGCTCTTGTTGGCATGTGACAATGCAGATGCCGGGTTGCCGGATTTCCTTTTTTTTTTTCTTTTTTTTTTTTAATTTTTTTTTAAATTTTTTTTATGGTTTTTTTTTATTTCTGGGAGAGAGAGAGAGACAGCATGAACAGGGGAGGGTCAGAGAGAGAGGGAGACACAGAACCTGAAACAGTCTCCAGGCTCTGAGCTAGCTGTCAGCACAGAGCCCGACGTGGGGCTCGAACCCACAAACCATGAGATCATGACCTGAGCCGAAGTCTGACGCTTAACCGACTGAGCCACCCAGGTGCCCCTCCTTTTTTTTTTTTTTAATGTTTATTTTTGAGAGAGAGAGACCGTTTGAGCGGAGGAGGGTCAGAGAGAGGGAGACACAGAATCGAAACGGGCTCCAGGCTCCACGCTGTCAGCCCAGAGCCTGACACAGGGCTCGAACTCACAAACCATGAGATCATGGCCTGAGCCGAAGTCGGACGCTTAACCAGTTGAGCCACCCAGGCGCCCCTCCTTGTTATTTTTCTTTTAAGAAGGACCAGAGGGGCACCTGGGTGGCTCAATCTGTTGATTGTCCGACTCTTGATTTCAGCTCACATCATGATCGCGGGGTTGTGGGATCGAGCCCTGCGGCCCTGCGTGGAACATGGAGCCTGCCTGAGATTCTCTCTCCTTCCCTCTGCCTACCCTCCCACCCCCGCCCTGCACTTGCACCTGCATGCGCTCGCTCTCAAAAAAAAGAGGGACCAGAAATCTCTGTATTTAAATGTAATTTCCTCATTTTCAAATGTTAGTAACTAATTCAGACTTTTCTGTAACATGCAGTACAGATCAAACAAAACACTGAAAGGGGCCGCCAACGTGCAGCCTCTTCCACAGACTGTGAAAAGCACAGTAATGGAAGTGTCCTAGGCAGGGGGTTGGTAAAACGAGAGTGTGTCTCAAAGCCATGTTACATGGGAAATGGTTCAGGGAATGGGTGTGGTGATCTGCCTGAGGAGAGAGACATGGACACTAAGTTCAACTATGTAAAGGACTGTGATAGGGAAGACAGATTAGACATGTGTCCTTTACAGCTTGACAAGGTGAAAGAGTGTCATCAGGGAGTATATTCCAGCTCGGAATGGAGAGACCTGTGTCGTGTGTCATGGAGACGCCCAAAGACGCAACGCGCTGCTGTGGCTGGGAGTGAGTGGGCAGGGCGGTGTAGGGAAACAGCAGGCTCCTCATCCAGAGTCCCTTCCAGCCCCAGAGTCCTCCTGTCTGGGTGCGCGAGTGACCAGGCGGACGGGAGGCATGGGCCGAGAGGATGTCGGGGGCAAGTGGAAGGTGTCAGAAGCAGGAGGTGCTGGGGGCCTCAGGGTTCGTGTGAGTGGCTGGACGGCTGGGAAGGTAATTGAGCGACCTCGGGCCAAAAGGGATCTCACCTCCCCCTCATTTCTCCCTTTGACCCTGAAGAGACCTATGAGCGGCTCGAGGCTGACAAAAAGAAGCAGGTGCACAAGAAGCGGAAGTGCCCTGGGCCCGTGATCACCTATCATTCGGTGACAGTGCCGCTGGTCGGGGAGCCAGGCCCTAAGGAAGAGAACGTGGATGTGGAGGGGTGAGTGCGTCGCAGGGGAGAGGGGGAGAGAGCCGTCTCCCTGACGTCCTCCATTCTCCTCACACAGCTCTCCTTCAGGGCCCTCCCTTCCTTGTTTCTTCCCAGTCTCTCTCCCCTCTCGTGGCAGTTTTTCCATCCAGCCCGGCCTGCTTTTCCCTGTCTGTCACTGAATCAGTTCCCTCAGAACGTCGCCATCATTCTGCCTCCTTCCTCTCTTTCCTCATCTGTCCCGTCACTGTCTGTTCTCTCCCCTCAGAGTTTTCATGTTTTTTTGTCTCTCCCCTCAGACTGGATCCTGCTCCCACTGCTGCTGCACCGAACCCCCGTGCTGGCGCCGGCCCCGTCGTCCCTCCTGCTCGCTGCTCCCGGACCTTCATCACTTTCAGTGATGATGCGACATTCGAGGAGTGGTTTCCCCAAGGTCGGCCCCCAAAGGTCCCTGTTCGGGAAGTCTGCCCCGTGACCCATCGCCCGGCCCTGTACCGGGACCCTGTGACAGACATCCCCTACGCCACCGCGCGAGCCTTCAAGATCATCCGTGAGGCTTACAAGAAGTACATCACGGCCCATGGCCTGCCGCCCGCGGCCTCTGCGCTGGGCCCTGGCCCGCCCCCTCCCGAGCCCCTCCCTGGCTCAGGGCCTCGAGCCTTGCGCCAGAAAATTGTCATCAAATGAGCTGTGGGGTCCTTCAAAACCTCTTTCCTGCCCTGCCCTTACTGTTCCACCTCCTCTCCCTGCTTCTTCCCTTGGTTATCTCTGAGCTTTGCCCAACCCTTTTCTGTCTTTCTTCCCCCCCCTTCCCCGTCCTATCGGTTTTATTTGTGTTTTTTAATCTAATAAAAGAGAATGATCCCCTTTGGTGTGTCTTCTAGAGTTGGGAGCAAAAAGTCTTTGTGAATGTCTGAGTATATATGGGTCTTTTTTTTGTTTAATAGCGTTTATTATGGGCTGCCCTTTTTAAGTTGTAAGTATTCACTCCACCAGCTGGATTATCAACACCTTTAAATTAGACCTCCGAACGAAATTCTTACACTCACCTTTATATCCGCTGCTTTGAATGTAGCAAGGCGCCAAGTAAGTAGGAACCGTGTGATTCTCCTAGATCCGTTTCCAGGGCTCTGGCTCACATGCAGGGAGGGAAGGAAGTGCCAGTGCCATTAGCGGCCACTAGAGGCTCTCAGGGCCGGGCAGGGTATGGGGGCTGTGTATATGTGATCTCCCACTACCCCCCACCTGGCTGGAGCTAAAATAATAAAATGCTGAGCTCACTGTTCCCCCACCCTCTCCCGGGCGCCGGGCTCCTCCTGCTGCGGGGACGGTGCTCCAGTACCACTGACAGACCAACCGACAGAAGGGAAGGTGAGGAGGCAGGTGGCCACCAGGACTGGTAGGTGGGGAAGGCAGGGGGCTTATGCATCAGGGCCTGGTGGGAGATGGGAGGAGAGGAGTGGCTCCTATTGGGAACGATGTGGAGTGCGTCTCCGTCCCTCGGTGTACGCTTCTGCCACCGTCCGTCCTATCCCTTAACTATAGTTTACACTGTCAATGCAAGTACCTCACACATGTTCCGGATCTTTCACAATCAGCATGGTGTGTATGTGTAGCTTGTGTGTATTGTGTATTGTTGTCCGTATCGTAAAAGATTGTGCAAGTTTAATCTTCCCACTGTTTTCAGAGAAACTTTGTCGCATTTAGAAGGTATTTCCCACCCATTGGTCCGGTGTCCCCTTCCCGTCCAAAGCCAGGGACAAGTTATGGGGACTCCGTCCCTTCTCCTGAGACCATACCATCTTCCCCCAACCTGGAATTCCTCCAGCTCCTCTGAGCCCTTGCTTTCACTTAGGATTTAGAGTTTTGGCCAACATAGAAAGCAAAATCTTGATTCCCCCACAATAAAAGAGGAAATGAGGTAGGGTAAGAGAACTGTCTCTTTTCCCCTTTGCTTCCTTAAATGAGTTCAGGAAAAAAAGAGTGGATTATGGGGAAGAGAAGAGGAATTTCCCTGAAGCTCTCCGTATGTCCCCCTCCCCGTCAATAGGAACTGGGCCTGGGGCCAGCAGTGTTGGCAGGGCCCCTGGCAGCTGTGCTTGGGCAAGAGGCACGGACGGGCGAGGCTACAAGGGAGCGTGCTGCCAGGATCTCTCGGTCATACAGCGCGCAGACAAATCCAGCCTGGCTGCCTGGGCCCCCGAGCCAGAGTGGCCGAAGGTGGGGAGGCAGGAAGAAGGAAGCTCTGGGTCTAACTGAACTCCCCCTCTTCCCAGGCCCAGCTAGGTTTCTCACCCCCCGGACATCAAGTTCATTGTTCTGGCCCCTGGCTAGTGTCCTGCTGTGTCTGTGTCTGTCTTTACATTATCCAATCACTTTCCCCATGTCCTCCAGGCTCCGTGAGTGCCACAGAGTGGGGAGGGGGTGGGGGCCATCATGTCATCGTATCAGAAGGAACTGGAGAAATACAGAGACATAGATGAAGATGAGATCCTAAGGACCTTGAGCCCTGAGGAGCTAGAGCAGCTGGACTGCGAGCTACAGGAGATGGACCCCGAGGTAGGGGCTCTTGCACGGGGAACCAGGGGCCGTCTCCAGGCATTTGGGAAGCGTGATGGGCCCTGGGTGGCTGAGATCGGGGCTGCCTACAGGGCTTGGAATCCCAAGAGGGCCCGGGAGAAGGTGTCTGTAGATGTTCAGGGAGCCCTGGAGGTGCCCCAGATCAGAGGGTCTGACTCGCTCCCCAAAATTCATCCCTAAGAACATGCTCCTACCAGCTGGACTAAGACAACGTGACCAGACAAAGAAGAGCCCGACGGGGCCACTGGACCGGGATGCCCTTCTGCAGTATCTGGAACAGCAGGCACTAGAGGTCAAAGAACGTGATGACTTGGTGCCCTTCACAGGCGAGAAGAAGGGTATGGAGACACTAACAACCATGCCGACCGAAACCCAAATGGGTCGTCTCAAGTGTTCCCCCTCCAGCTTCTAGCTGCCCGGGGACCTGGCCACCCTGAAACACACATGCCGCCTTTCACTCTTCAGCTTGTAGAAGAGATTAGAGGACCCGGGAGTCCCGAGCTGGTAGAGGACTCCGGCCTTCCGGCGGCCCCTAGTGACCCAGAACTCTACCTCCTGGAGAAGGAAGGGAAGCTAGAGACCAGAATCTTAGGAGGAATGACCTTCACCTGAACCATCCCTCATCTCCCCATCAGGGAAACCCTATATTCAGCCCAAGAGGGAGATTCCTGTCCAGGAGCAGATCACTCTGGAGCCTGAACTGGAAGAGGCCCTGGCCCATGCCACCGATGCCGAAATGTGTGATATTGCAGGTGGGTGGCCGTGGGAAGTTAAGGAGGGTGGGGAGATCCGGGGGTGGGGGTGGGACCAGTGAGGAAGGCCCTGAACAGGATGTGGATGTTAGAGAAACCTCAGGTCACGGTTTTAAATTTTTGCTTGTGTATTCACTCATTCATTTTTTAATCCAATGAATTCACATCTCAGAGACAAGTTTACAAGGGTGCCTGGATGGCTCAGTCGGTTAAGCGTCCAACTTCGGCTCAGGTCATGATCTCACGGTTTGTGGGTTCGAGCCCCGCATCGGGCTCTGTGCTGACAGCTAGCTCAGAGCCTGGAGCCTGTCTTTGGATTCTGTGTCTCCCTCTCTCTCTGCCCCTCCCCTGCTCACACTGTCTCTCTCTAACTCTCAAAAATAAATAAAAAACATAAAAATTGTTTTTAAAAAGAGACAAGTTTACAGGGATTACAAAGCAGATAAAAGTAGAACTATTCGGGCTGGAAACAGGAGGAAGTCTGACAGACTCCCTCACTCTTTTTTTTTTAATTGAAACACCGTTGTTTTTCCCTCCCTCACCCTCTAGGGGCTCCTTAGGGACCTTTCCTTAGCCCTGTCTCAAAGTTTATTTTTTAATTTTTTTTAAGTCTATTTAGTTATTTTGAGGTGGGGAGGGACAGAGAGAGAATCCCAAACAGGGTCCATGCTGTCAGCACAGAGCCCGAAGCGGGGCTTGATCTCGTGAACCGTGAGATTATGACCTGCGCCGAGATCAAGAGTCGGACGCTTAACCGGCTGAGCCACCCCAGCGCCCCCTCATCTCAAAGTTTTAAAAACTACCACCTAAAGCAGTTCACAGAATGAAACCCTGGGACCTAGGCAGAGTGGGAGGCTCTTTGGAAGAGTGGAAGAAGTCAGGCTTTAAAACAGCAACAGAGGGGCCCCTGGGTGGCTCAGTCCGGTAAGCGTCTGACTTCGGCTCTGGAGCCTGCTTCAGATTCTGTATCTCCCTCTCTCTCTGACCCTCCCCTGCTCACACTGTCTCTCTCTCTCAAAAATAAATAAAACATTTAAAATAATAATATATAAAAATAAAACTGCGACAGATTCAGAATGAGGAGGGAGGGGGATTCTGAACGAGCCCCTTCTTCTCATCCCTTGTCCCCCCTCCCCCAACTCTCTCCAGCAATTCTGGGCATGTACACACTGATGAGCAACAAGCAATACTACGACGCCATCTGCAGCGGAGAAATCTGCAACACCGAAGGCATTAGCAGTGAGTGTGTTTGAAAGCAGGGCTCCCAGGGCTGTTGGCAGGGGGTCCCGAGGTCTGAGGAAAGGTAGCAAAGGGTGAAACGGGACTCCTGGAGAGGACATGGTACATAAGTAATAAGAGAACCAATGGGGTGGAGATCGTGGGGGACACGTTGGGGTTTCCTTGCGGCCCTCGCCCCCAGGTGTGGTGCAGCCGGACAAGTACAAGCCAGTGCCAGATGAGCCCCCAAATCCCACAAACATCGAGGAGATACTAAAGAGCGTGCGAAACAATGACAAGGAGCTGGAGGAGGTGAACCTCAATAACATACAGGTATCTGACCCCTATCCTCCATTAATAAATGGGGTGACTATGTGAGTGCCGGCTACGCGGGCCCCTTAGCCCACTGTCTCATCCCCTCTGACAGGACATCCCGATACCCATGCTAACCGAGTTGTGTGAGGCAATGAAGACAAATACCTATGTCCGGAGCCTCAGTCTGGTGGCCACAAGGAGTGGTGACCCCATTGCCAATGTAAGGCAACCTGAAGTCCCTGGCCCTCTCCCCATACCTTCACATGCACCCCTGCCAGGGCTATCAGAAGGGGTGGGGCTGGGGGTGCTGTTCCCATCACGTAATCTTAGGATGGCCTGATGCAGACTCCTACCCTCAGTCCTATGACTTTCAGCTCAGAAAAGCTCAGATTGTCTTCTCAGCGAGCCACGGTCCTCTCTACCACCCCACCAACTCCACCCCGTGGTCAGCCTCCCTGCGTCCCCTACTCCCTTCTGTCTCCCTCTAGCCCCACCTACAGCTCCTCAAGGATCCTCTTGCTCCTGTTCTTTCTCTCCTCAGTCATCTGTGAAACTGTCCCCTAATCCTAACCCAAGTCCTTACTACCCAGGCGGTGGCCGACATGTTGCGGGAGAACCGTAGCCTCCAGAGCCTGAACATCGAATCCAACTTCATCAGCAGCACAGGGCTCATGGCCGTGCTGAAGGCAGTTCGGGAAAATGCCACACTCACTGAGCTCCGTGTAGACAACCAGGTGAGCTTTCCCTCCCCCTGGTCTTTACATTCGGCTAATATTCACGGAATCTCCTCCCTGAGGCCGCCACGGGGTCAGGATCCCATCTAATCTTGCTGGAATCTCTTCATTGTCTCTTTGAGGGGTGCCAAGGTCAGCGCCTCTCATGACCCATTCTGATGAAACGAGCTTTTTTGACCTCCCAAAAGGTTGGTGGTGTGGGGCGGTGAACAACACAGAGGGGACGCTGACCGGTTTCCTGTCTCCCTCCCCCAGCGCCAGTGGCCTGGCGATGCAGTGGAGATGGAGATGGCCACCGTGCTCGAACAGTGTCCCTCCATCGTCCGCTTTGGCTACCACTTTACACAGCAGGGGCCACGAGCTCGGGCAGCCCAGGCCATGACCCGGAACAATGAACTACGTGAGTAAATGCAGACATGCTGTTTGAGGGAAAGGGCAAGTAGGTAGTAGAGCCTTTTGGAACCTGACTTAGTGACTAACAGCCTAGGGTACTGCCAAAGAAGCAGTATTCACATGGCAAGTTTAAATCCCATAAGTGACCAAAAAGTAGATAGAAAAGTACACCCCTGCCTCCAATTTATACCCGTAGGAAGGTAAAGAAGCTAGACATACCCATTTGGAGGCATATTATTTTTACTTGCCATGTCATTTCTTATTTTGTTTTGTGAATGTGGGGTGGGCATGCTCGCTGGCCTAACACACCACCTCTTGAGGAGTCTGGCCAAGGACTTGGAGAGAAGAGCACCTTTACAGGAAGTAAGATATGGAACAGAAACTTTTGTTTACGGTTTCCCGTTACAGGTCGCCAGCAAAAAAAGAGATAACACTACCTTTCCCTTTACCAACCAGAGCTGGAAGCCCCTGAATGCTAAAAGCCTCATCTCTCCCCCTTCCTGTAAATAAAGGCCCTTCTGTCCACTCTGCCTGCCTCCTTCCTTGGGCTCTGGGGTGGGAATCTTGGCGCTAACCCCCAAGGGCTACTGCCAGTTCATCAGGGGATTATTTATACTCTGGGGATCAGCAGGCAGGGAGGTTCAAGTTACTAGGAGGAGGTGGGGGAGCTCCCTCCCTTGGTGTTCCCCGTCCCCCTGTCTATTCATTTAGTCTTTTCTGCTCTCATAGGGTGCCTACCCCAACCCTTTTTCCAGATGCGGCCAGGTCCCCCGGCGCCTACCCACAACCCTCATGTGATTTGAAGGAGGAAAGGACGTTGAGTGGAGGCGGGGAAGAAGGCAGACAACATGAAGGGCAAAGACCTCCTTCTGACAGACTTATTAATAGGGCATTGGGCTACGTGCAGCTGACGCTTGGCATGACATTGGTAGAGGTGGGGGAAGGGGTAGAAGTATGGGGAGCCATGGACATTGCAGGGAAGAACTGGCCAGGCTGAGAATGCAGATTGGAAATCCTGAAATGGAACAAGGAAGGCGACTCGAGGAAAATTCGGCTCCTAGAGCCCACTGAAATTTATTTGTGAACTGAGGGGGGAATGAGGGTGTCAGTCCAAGGGGAGATCAGGGGGTTCCTCTTCATCAGAGTCAAACTCAACATTCTCATCTTTTACCCATCGACCTTGTCCATCTGGGATCCATCCAGAGCTGGAAATACCAAAGAACATAGAATAGGTCAGGAAAAGAGGTTTAAGACATTAGTAGGGAATAAGAAAAAACAATTGAGAGGGATTGAAAAAAGGAGAGTCCAAGAGAAGAGGGAAAACTTCAGGAAGGTGATTCTACACACTCACCTTCGAAGGGTGAGGTAATGATCCAGGGCGCGTCTTCTCGTGGGGCTCATGGGTGCGGGGGGTGAGACAGCTGCTGACTCCTCGGCCTGTGGGCCAGCCCCAGGCACGGGTTCCCTACTGATCTTCCCGCTCTCGGGTTTGACCTCTGGGGGTGGCAAAGGGGAATGGGAGACAGAGGGACGAGGGGTTTCTGGTCTGGGTAGAGAAGAATCAACGTCTGTAAAAGCGCTAAAGGAAAATGGCCAATTCTCTTACCACTCCCACCCCTGACAGCAGTGCCTTCCTAAACCGCTTCCCTCAAAGGCCACCTGGCTGGCTCAGCCGTAGAGCACGCAACACTTGATCTCACGGTTGTGGGTTCAAGCCCCACATTGGGTGTAGAGATCAGGTAAACATAAAAATCTTAAATATAAATATATATAGTATGTATATACATATTATATAATTCTATACGTTTATTCTATATGCGTAGGTACTATATATACATATCATATAATATGTGTCTATGTGTTATATATGACATATATGTAATATATACACATTATGTAATATGTATATATACATGTATAATATGTATGATAATGTATAATATTATTATATATCATATATATATATATATATATATATATATATATGCTGCGTTCCTTAAGATGTTTTAGTGAATGTTCTGCATAAAAAAGAATCTTGGAATGAAATGAATTTTTTAAAGGCTAAGTTAAAATTTTTTAAGTTTTTTTTAATCTTAAAACTTGGAAGAGCCCTTAAAATATGCTAATATTACTATTCAAATTAGGATTACAAAGTGCCATTTTCCAAACTTAAAAAAAAATTCTCTTTTTCTTGAAACACCAGTTAACATCCCTGGACTTCTAGTATTCCTGAGAATGCAATCTGGAACACAATCCCTTTAGAGCCTCTACTCCTCTGCCCCTCCCTCCCTATGGCTTTCCTACCCCACAGACCTGTACTTCCGGCGGCAGCAGCTGTTGTAGTGAGGGGCTCTGTGCAGAGCACTTTGGGTGGTAAGTCGGGTCTGGGTTAGCAAAGGAGCCTGGTATGGAGAGCGGACACAGAATCAAAAAAAAAATTTTTTTTAATGTTTTATTTATTTCTGAGAGAGAGAGAGAGGCAGCGTGAGCAGGGAAGAGTCAGAGAGAGAGGGAGACACAGAATGTGAAGCAGGTTCCAGGCTCTGAGCTAGTGGTCAGCACAGAGCCGGAGGCGGGGCTCGAACCTACTAACCAAGAGATCACGACCTGAGCCCCCCAGGCGCCCGAGGGCACAGAGTCAAAACCCTTCAAGCCAAAAGACCCACCAGCAACACGCTCTCCCCACCCTGCTCACCTCAGCTTTGGTCTCTGACCTCCATTCGTTCTGCTGTCTGGGATTCTGCTGTGTCCCCTTCCCTGGCTGCTTCTTGCCGTAGAAAAGCTGCAGGCCTGAGGAGACGGGGGAAGAGAATTAAAAACAGGGAAGCAAGAGTGATCTGCAGAGATCTGGAGGAATTACTCTCTAAGCCCTGTCTTCCCTCAAACTTACTGGACAGATGTTTCTTGCCTGCACGGTGGGCAGTCAGCATGGCCAGGGTGTCCAGGACGGGTCGATGGGGACAGATGGCACAAGCAAAGCTGGAGAGGAGGAAAGAAGATATTTGCTCCCGAGGCGGTGGGGTCTCGGCTCTAAGTTCCACCTTGACCTAGCAATCAATCCTAGATACTCCAGCTCTCCGCCCACGGCCCGATAAAATGTTATTGAGCCTCCAACCGCAGAACCCTCAGGCTTGATCACTCCTCGTCCTCACCGTCCATCCCGCAGCATCAGCGCCTCATCCTCTGGGATGTAACTGGCCAGCAGGTCCCCGACTCTTCGTTTCTACAGGGGCATCGGCGGGTTAGGAGAAAGGGACGGACGGGAAATAACAGGGACGAGGATTGAAAGGGAATGAGGACCATGGGGCGGTGGGTGGGGTGGGGGGCAACAGAGACCCCAGGGAGGAAAAGGGGTCGCTACCCAGCTCTGGCAGCTCCCTCGACCCCCTCCCCCCCCCGCTGCCAGAGCAACAAAACAGCTCTTTCACAGGGCAGTGAAGCTGCTCCTGACGCTCCCCTCTAGCGCTTACTTTGAGCACATTGAGTTGACTCCAATCGTCACCTTCCCTCTTGAAAGACATTACGACGGAGTCCCAGGAACGAGCAATTCTCCTGGGCCGCCTTCGCCTCTCCTTTCAGGCCACCGTAGCAAGGATGGGGCGTCTCCTTCCCTTCGGGTTCGTTTCCGGTTGGCCTCTTCCCTTCCCTGCGTGCACAGCGCCCTCCGCCAGCCGGCCCCTGCTTACCGCCGGGACCGCACTTCCTACGCTGCCCGGCGACGGCGCACGCGCGCGGCATTTTGGGAAATGAAGTCCTTTTTTTTTTTTTTTTTTTTTTTTCCCCCGAAGAGCTTGCCTCCCGGCTGCGTCTCGGCCCTCGCATCCTGGCCGCTTCGGGACGTCTGCAGGGAGAAGAATCTAACTGTGAAGACCGGTTTTGAGGGTGTGACGGATTCGATGCCTTGCGGGCCTTGGAGGATCCCAGAGTGGAAAGTGTACTAGGAACTCTAGCAGTCATCACCCGGGGTGGGCCGGATTTATTCCCGACACTAGTGGACCAACCCCAAGACGGGGCGGAGCCAGAGCGGGGCGAGGGGGAACGAATCTAGGAGGTTGGGGCTGTCAGACTAGGGGGCAAACTGAGCTGAGTGCCGAGGAAGGTGACTAGAGTTCAAAGGTCATAGGTCAGTGTAGCGATTTGTGGTGGGACGGTCGAAAGTCGGCGGGGTCCTGAGTCTAGAGACCGGTAGGGACTGAATACTCAGGATACAAATTTGGGGGAAGGGGGATTGGAGGGAGGAGAAGCGAGAGCGGAGGGGGCGCCTGGTACCGGAGGAGGCGGGAGAATTAGGAGAGAAGACAGAAGGGAGAAGGAAGCCCCTTGATAGTCATTCCTAGACCCCGGCCCCGTCACTATTGAGCACTTAGCCGGGCCTCCCTTAGTTGCAACCCCAGCCGTCGGCAGGGTCAGGAGATGGCTTCTCCCTCTAGACAGGCCCCCCTCGGGGGGTCAGGACTGCTTCAAGGGAGCCGGGCTCGATCTTACGGAAGCCTGGTGCAGTCAGCTTGCTCTCCGGTGAGGGAGAGACGCCTGGAGCATCAGTTGGCCCCCGGAGACACCCTGGCTGGACTAGCACTCAAATACGGGGTGACGGTGAGTCTTCCACGGTTGGGTGCAGGCAGCCATGTAGGAGAGATTTATTCCTCGGAAGAACGTCCTGGTCATTCTGGGCAGCTGGCCCTTGACATTCTCCCAGTTCTGCTGTGGTCTGACCCTCCTTTTTATCTTTCCGTTTTCCCATTTCCGTGTTGCATTGCCTGGTTGGGACAAATCTTGTGCCACTGCTCCAATGGAGAGAAGCTTCTTCTGTTTACTGTGTCAGCCTCTGACCTAGAGGCTCCACGTCCCTTAGCCCACTGGGTTCTCACAGTCCTGTCGAGCATAGTTATCGTCCCCTGTTTACAGATGAAGAAACGGAGACCTAGATCGGTTAACCCTTTTGACCAAGGTCAAATAACTACTGAGTGTTAGAGTGGGAATTCAAACGGGTCTGTCGGACTCCGAAGCCCGTACTCTTAACCACACAGAAACGTTTTAACTGCAAGTGATTAAACATTTACAGCAAGCAATCAAGAGCTGGTTTCTAGTTCTGAGTTTTTAGGAGACCAGTCCTCAGCCCCTCTAGTTCTAAGTTTTTAAAGTCTCTCTCTTCTGGTTCTTTATTCCTCAGCGGTGCGCTGCCTCCTTCTTCCCAGGAAGGTGGCCTCGGTGCAAAACAGGTACTCTCTACAGGAGGCATTTCGTGGGTCTATTTGATAGGTGTAAAAAAACATCGCATTAAATTGATGATTTTTCCCCCCGTATCCTGTTGTGTTTAGGCAATATTTCTGTGCTTGGTATGTTTATTTTTTATTTGCATGTGTGTGTGTGTGTGTGCTTGGTATGTTTAAACCACGGTGCTAATCATTCTAGTAGATAGAAACATAAACACAGTGTGTTGTTACCCTCGTGTCATTTGCAATCTAGTGAGAAGTGAAAAGGGACACAAATATTGATTGCAGGGGACAGAATGCGGTGACTTTGTAGAAGTATTAATAAAGGGTCGGAAATCAGAAAAGAAGATTAATTTTTATCTGGAAGGAGGCAGGGGAGGACACAGGTGCAGATTTTAAGGAGCCATGAAACATGTAGAAGTTCCTTCCTCTAGGTCCTCTGCGAGCCTATAATCCAGTTGTTTATACCTTTTACGTGTTTGTCTTTCCAATAACCTGTGCGTTCCATAAGGGACAGAACTGTTTTCTTTCCATTTTTTAAAAACTCTTTTAATGTTTTATTTATTTTTGAGAGAGCGAGACACAGAATCCAGACAGGCTCCAGGCTCTGAGCTGGCTGTTAGCACACAGTCTGACTCGGGGCTCGAACCCACGAACCGTGAGATCATGACCTGAACTGAAGTCGGACACTTAACCTACTGAGCCACCCAGGCGCCCCTCTTTCCATTTTATATCTCTCGAGTCTGGCATAGTCCTTAGCACCTAGAAGCTAATAGATGGCTTTTGAATGAATGAAAACGTGGCTACGATTCCCACAGGTGGAGGGGCGCCTGGGTGCCTCAGTCAGTTAAGGGTCCAACTTCGGCTCAGGTCATGAACTCATAGTGTATGAGTTCGAGCCCCACATCGGGCTCTGTGCTGACAACTCGGAGCCTGGAGCCTGCTTTGGAGTCTGTGTCTCCTTCTCTCTCTGCCCCTCCCCCACTTATAACCTGTCTGTCTCTCAAAAACAAATAAACCTTTTAAAAAAAAAAAAAAAAGATTCCACAGACGGAGATTGGGAGGCCAGGAAAGTGAACATGTCAAGTCAAGGCCATGGCCAAGGAAAGGGATATGAAAGTACTGAGCAGTCTCTGCATCCTAGCAGTGACCCCGAAGCTGTGCAAAGGAGGAAGCCACACTACTGGGAGACAGGTTATATGTGGAGGTTTTCATACAGCCCCGTCTCCACCTGAGTACAGAACTCTATAGCCTGGTGAACCGTTCTAGGCTCTGGCCTCATTCTGCCGCTTACTGGCTGAGTGATTGCATTAGTCACTTCACCTGGCTGGGGCCTCAGCTTCTGTACCCTTTGTGAAATGAGGAAGGTATCCTAAATAACGATAATTACCTAAGTTATTACCTCTCATTAAACACGAAGTGTGTGTGCCAAGCTCCACGTATTGTCTCCATAAGACTTTATGAGGCGGGTATAACTATTCCCCAAACATTCAAAGATAAGGAAAGAGGGGCTTAGGAAGATAGCCTGCTTTAGATGACCAGTCTACTATAGAGGTGACTAGTCTACTTGGTAGAACTAGGATTCAGACCAGGTTGTCTCACTCTAAAATCATCACTTTGAACTGCTCTGTTAACCAGCTAGACTCTACGGGCGCCTGGCTGGCTCAGTCGTTAAGCATCTGTTTGCGGCTCAGGTCATGATCTCATGGTTCATGAGCTCAAGCCCCACTTCAGGTAAAACAGGAGTCCTGCTTTCTCTCTCTCTCTCTCTCTCTCTCTCTCTCTCTCTGCCACTCGCTCACTTGCACTCTCTCTCTCAAAAATAAATTAGTTTATTAACCAGATTCTAGTGGCCTTTCTAGCTCAGTGGACTGTGGCTCAGCAGCTAAGGAATCCTCTGGAGTTTGGTTTTGGTTACATTCTTTCTTTTTTTAATTTTTGAGAGAGAGAGAGAGAGCCTGAGTGAGAGCCTGAGTGAGGGAAGGGCAGAGGGAGAGAGCGAGATCCAGAATTGGAAGCAGGCTCCAGGCTCTGCACTGTCAGCACAGAGCCCAATATGGGGCTCTTAACTCACAAGCTGTGAGATCATGACCTGAGCCAAAGTCCTACACTCAGCTGACTGAGCCACCCAGGTGCCCCTGGTTACATTCTTTTAAGAAGTGGGATGATGTTGGGGCACCTGGGCAGCTCAGTGGGTTAAGCGTCTGACTTCGGCTCAGGTCATGATCTCACAGCTTGTGAGTTCAAGCCCTGCATCAGGGTCTGTGCTAACAGCTCAGAGCCTGGAGCCTGCTTCCGATTCTGGGTCTCCCTCTCTCTCTGCTCCTACCCCGCTTACACTGTGCCTCTCAAAAATCAACAAACATTAAAAAAAAAATGTAAGTGGAATGATGTGGCCTTATGTGGAACTTCTAATTAATAATAAAAATAAGAAAATTCACAGAATTTCATAGCATCTTGGAGCTAGAAGGGACCTAGGATACTATCTAGGCAAAATCAAATCAATAGCATCAAAGCACTTGGTTGCATAAAAGTACAGAACTGCAAGCCAATTTTAACTTTTTTTATTGTTCAGATTAATCCAGTTTTATTTTAAACACATTCTAGCATACTATTTTTTTTACTAATACACTACATCTGAGATTTCCATATTTTGTTATCTAGTTTATTTACCCATAAAACAAGGAACCTCGGCTGTATGCCAAATTTGCGTGATCCCGAGGAGTGCCTTAGGGTACAGAGACAGCATCCCTGGCCTCAAAGGACACAGAGTTTGGGCAAGACAAATGTGCAAAGATGTGAACAACAGTACAACAGGGTGGTAGGTATTACATGGCAGTGTTCACAGTGTACTTTGGGATCCCTGGAAAAGGTGACACAGAGGGAGTGACAGTTGACGAGTGGAAGTTTTCCCAGCAGAGAAGGGGAGAGTGGAGAAATGTTTCAGACAGATAAAGACACAAAGGTGCGATCAGAAAATGATCATAAAATGTTTGATCATAAAATCATAACTCATAAGATCATAAAATGTTTGAAAAAAATGAAAAGTTCAGGAAGGCAAAATGTATAGGTGTAAGAAGAGAGATGAGGCTAGATGTCATATTGGGGTCGATTGAGAATCCTAGGATGCTAATTGGAATTTTATCTCTGAGCCAATGGGGAGCCATAGGAGGTTTATCAGCAGGGTAGTGGGTTGATCAGATTAATTTTTTTTAGAAAGATAGATGTCAGGGGTGCCTGCGTGGCTCAGTCTGTTGAACGCCCAACTGTTGACTTCAGCTTGGGTCATTATCCTTAGGGTCATGGGATCGAGCCCCTCATCTGGCATGGAGCCCAGTGCGGAGCCTGCTTAAGATTCTCTCTCCTTCCCTCTGGCCCTCTCCTGTCACTAGTTCTCTAAAAACCAATCAATCTATCAATAAGACAGATGTCAGCAGGAGGAGATGCATAGAAATGGAGACAGGAAGACTGGAAGAGACATTTTTGCAGTATGCTTGTTGACCAGTTGGGTTAAGGATGGCATTGATTTCTACCTTGGATGGCAAGTGGATTGTAATACCAGACACTATGTTCCGTGATGGGTAAATAGGTACTAAATAAGTAGTTTGGTCAGCAAAATTATTAATGTGAAAAGCATTCCCAGAAGGAGTAAAAAGGCCCAGAATTCTAATTCCACCTTTGTCATTAATTTGCTGGATAATCTTAGGCAAGTAACAACCTATCTGAGCCTCAGTTCCTTCATCTTTTAACACAAGTTCCCAAAGTGAGATTTGTCAGGGATCCACAAGATCAAAACTGTTTTCATAGTAATGATAATAAGACTTTGTCTTTTTCATCCTCATTCTCATGAGTGCACTGTATTTTTCAGAAGCTACATGTATGACGTGTAATATTCCAGCCCATCAAATGTACAGGCAGATAGGAGAATCGTCTGTTGTCTTTTGTTAAGTCACACATTGGACTGACTTGCAAAAAGATAAAGCAGTGCCTCTCTTTTCTCCCCCTTTGTTGTTGTTTTGGAAAATAGTTATTTTTCATTAGAATATTTATGTTAACATGTAATGGGTTACTTTTATTTATTTATTTATTTATTAAATGTTTTTTTAAATTTATTTCTGAGAGAGAGAGAGACAGTGTGAGTAGGGGAGGGTCAGAGAGAAAGGGAGACACAGAATCCGAAAACAGTCTTCAGGCTCTGAGCTAGCTGTCAGCACAGAGCCCAACGCGGGGCTTGAACCCACAAACTGTGAGATCATGACCTGAGCCGAAGTCGGACGCTTAACTGACTGAGCCATCCAGGCACCCCTGTAATGGGTTACGTTTAAATAAGTACATGTTTTTCTATTTGTTTGCTTTTCATTTATAATAACTTAAGTGTTGCTCTACCTAAAGGAAAGCTTTTTTTCCTCGTTTTTTAAAATGTAAAGGGACCCTAAAACCAAAAAGTATGAAAACCGCTGATCAATAAAATAGCAATAATATCAGCTCTCTGTATTTTAGCTGGGTTGTTATTGGGTCAAGTAAGACTCTGTACCATCACCTTAAAAGGCATGAGACACTGTACAGATAGAAGACTGATCATTGCTACTGTCATTAATTGCGGTGACTTTTTTTTTAAAGATGGAACAGATTAAGCGTGCAAACCGCCTTTATACTAATGACTCCATCTTCCTGAAGAAAACCCTCTACATCCCCATCCTGACAGAGCCCAGAGACCTCTTCAATGGCTTGGATTCTGAGGAGGAGAAAGATGGAGAGGAAGAAGTACAGTCAAGCAAGAATGAAGGTCAGCCGCACTCCGCTGACAGGAAGAAACAAGAGACAGGTTCAGGACGTGCGAATGGCGAAGTTCTTCCCACGCCTGCCCGGGAACCCCCCACTCCCATCCATGACCTCTCTGCCTCTGATTTCCTTAAGAAGCTTGATTCTCAGATCAGCCTGTCCAAGAAAGCTGCTGCCCGGAAGCTGAAAAGAGGGGAAAGCGGGTGAGTCTCGAAGGCTTCCTGTTAGGCCCCTCCACAGACTTCTTCATTCGGCCAGCCTTGGCCGACTAGACACACAAGTGAGTGAGCACAGGGTCAGCAGAAGCAAAGTAAAGCCTTTCCCCGGGGAGGCCCTAAAACAGCAGAGCCAATGGCTGCTGGGATGGGTAGAGCAGCGGGAAATGGGCTTGTGTTCTCATTGGAGCAAGGTAGTTGAGCGGTTAGAGCTCTGACGGTCCGTGAAGGAGCATTACAAGGAGCATTACGGTTAGAATTTACTGAGAGGGTAACAGGACTCCATCTCAGAGTGAGCGGCTCATGTGTATTAGGAGAGTAGGATAGGCTCCTTTCTGGGCTTCTTCCCCTGACCTGTCCCTCTGCCCCCTTTCCTCACCTGCAGGCTTCCTGGGGAGGAGTCAGGCCCTCACCTGAGCTCCCCTCGGATGCAGCAGCGAGCAGTCCTAGGTCCAGTACCGCTGACCCGGACCTCTCGGACCCGGACACTTCGGGACCAGGAGGATGAAATCTTCAAACTCTGATGTGCCCGGAAATGATTGAGAGAAGCAAGATGTTGAAGTAGCAACTCGAGGGGGAGAGGAGCCTGAGGTGAGGCTCTAGAACACGGCTTCCCAGCCCACCTCCCTCCCTCCCGCCTTCATTCCAGCCTTCTTGTCGATCTCGAGTTCCTTGGCCTGGGGCAGCTTTATTGGCAAGAGTAGAGGATGGGGGGCAGACCCCTCCTCAGTTCCGGGGCTGAATCTAGAGCTGTCCTTTAGGTTCAAAAGGCTCTTTTTACCTCCCTGTTGCCTTTCCCATCCCCTTTACCTTTCCTTGGCCTTAGAACAGGGAGGCAAGGACTCCGCCAGCCTCTTTCCGTCTCCAACTACGTTCCCTAATTTATTTGGTGCTATATTGAAGTAGTATTTATTTGCTGTATCTTACCGTTTTCCCTCTTGTAACTGAAAAATGGGATTTCTATAGCTCTGGGGTGAAGGGGACCCAGGAATAGCAAGCCAGTGGCTGCTGGCTGCCCACCCTCCCTAACCCCACCTTCTTAACCAAGCAGGTCACTGAGGACAGGGCAGTCTGTGATCGAGCCCCTCTGCAGGGACCGTGCTGGGGCTTTCCCCCAGGCTCGTTGCAAAGAATTTGGGCTCAGTCTTAACTAACGAGTCCACTGTAACTTTTTCACAACTCTTGCTCTGAGAAAAAAAACAGCAAGGTAGGGGACCAGAACTCTCCACGCCACCAGTTCACCCTCCTGACCCGCTCCTCTGTTCATTCAGCCTGTGTGAGGCGAAGGAGTTTGAAGAGGAGGACAGTTGGGGGAGACCTTTGGGTGTGGGAGTTGCCTTGTTCTGCTCCCTCCCCACCAGAACCTGTTGATCTATGCCTTGCCCTTCACTGTGTATTTATTGGCCATCCGTAGCACTGACCCACGGTCCCGTGTGTTTTTGAGTTTCTTAAGCAGAAGTAGGCAAGGGAACCCCAGTGCTGCTGGCACGATGCCTCAGTCTCCTGTATGGAAATGGTGAGAGGCAAGGTGAGCGGTGTTTTTGTCTCTCTCCTTTGTGACGGTTGTCAGGTGTAAGAAGCTGGAGCGATTAAACACTGAGCCCTGTGCACGTCTTAGGAGTTTTATTTCCCCTCTGAGACCCTCTCCTGCCCTAGCCCTTCTTCCTGCACCCTGGAACTCTGGCCAGGCTCTGCCTGGAGCTGGAGGTCTAGGATGGCTCTGAGCCCCTCCCCCCCATTCCGGGCTTCTGTCTTTAGCGTCCCCTGAAGGGTTAGATGTGTCCCCTGGTTCACAGGGGAGGGGGCTTCCCTGTTTCAAATGTCCCTCACGGGGGACACAGAGATCCCAAGTTTCACTTCGTCTTTCTCAGGCAGCTTCGTTTCCTGTCCCGGGGCTGGAGCGGGAGAAAGGCCTCACCCCGTGGCTTTGCTGCGTCTCCACCGGCTGTGTGGGGGTGGGGTGCGCACAGAGGCCAAAGCCTGAGGGCCGCGGGCAAGCGTTAGTGCGGATGAGCAGGGTTAGGAGGCCCGGTCGGTGCAGCGCCCGCGTCCAGGGCCGGCCCAGGCGGCCCTCAGAGGCGGCCCTCGTCCAGCAGCTTCCGGAGCCCCGCGCAGATCTTGCGCAGGTGCGGGGCGAAGTCGGGCCCGTAGAGGGCGGTGAGCAGGCCGGTGTCTGAGAAGTGATCGAACACGTGGCGGATGCGGCCGTGGGACTTGGCCGTGAGGTGGGCCGCCACCAGCTCCAGCAGCACGTCCCGGCACTCCGTCAGCAGGCCCGCCAGCACCGCGGCCTCAAAGGTGAAGGCCACCTCGCCGAAGCTGAGCGCCGTCATGGCGCCCTGCCGCAGCTTGTGGCGGAAGCGGGCGGCCAGGGCCAGCTCGCTGGGCCCGAAGCAGCCGCTGCGGTGCAACACGGCCACCTTGATGGCCACCTTGATCAGGTCCTTGATAACCCGCTGGGCCTGGGGCCGGCTGTGCGTGTACTCTTTGGAAACGCGGTAGAGCTCGTCCAGCACCTCGCTGCTGGTCTCGTCGATGAACAGATGAGCCACGGACCGACCCGCCATCTTACTCAGTAGCTTCTTCTCGGCTTGGATGGCCAGACTCTTTGAGCTGAAGGACTCCATGGTTCCTGGGGAGGCGGGGGCGGGTGATTAGTCACCAGGAGAAAGGCCGCAGGCTTCCTTGGAAAGCGAGAAACGGCGTTCCCCCCTTTCTCTGGTTCCTAGCCCGTTGCCGTCTTTCTTTGTCACCTTTTCCCCCAGGGCCCCCTCCGGCCGCTGTGCCCGGTCCCATTTCTTTTCCTGTAGTACTGTAGGCAGCTTTGATTTCTAAACACAGAGGAGCCCTAATAGCTTTGGCTGGAGGAGTGAAGGCACACGGGAGGCCCAGCCCCACAAGTTAAGTAAGCCCCCCCCCCTTTTTTTTTAATTTTTAGTGTCTGTTTATTTTCGGGAGAGAGAGCTCAAGCAGTGGAGGAACAGAGAGAGAAGGGGACAGATCTGAGGCAGGCTCTGTGCTGACTGACAGCAGAGAGCCCGATGTGGAGCTCAAACTCAGGAACTGTGTGAGATCACGACCTGAGCTCAAGTCAGACACTCAACCTACTGAGCCACCCAGGTGCCCCAACCCCTGCCCAAGTTCAGTCTTAAGGGGAAGTAGGCTGTTGCTGCTCTAGAGTGGAAAAGATAAGGCTTACCTGGCAGATAATTCTCATAGCTACCACTGTGGCCACTGACCATGCACCATTCCTCTATGCGGTGTGGGTATGACTCTCTTGGTTTTACAGCTGAGCAAACTGAAGCTTGCTTTAAATAATTTGCCCAACGTCAAACGCAAGTGTGTTTCTGACTCCAAAAGCCCGGGTCAGCTAGTGTGGTATCCTGTCTATTTATTTATTTTAAATGTTTTTATTTATTTCTAGGACAGAGAGAGAGAGAGACAGCGTGAGCAGGGGAGGGTCAGAGAGAGAGGGAGTCACAGACTGAAACAGGCTCCAGGCTCTGAGCTGGCAGTCAGCACAGAGCCGGACGCGGGGCTCGAACCCACGAACCGCGAGATCATGACCTAAGCGAAAGTCGGACGCTTAACCGACTAAGCCACCCAGGTGCCCCTCTGGTATCCTGTCTTTAAAGAAATGAGAAAGAGGGGTCCCAGGAGTCCTAATAAAAATAATAACTAACATTTATTGAGAACCTATGTGACAAGTACTTTATGGGAATTGTCGCAGTCTTCCCATAAGGCAGGTATCCCCATCTTACAGTGAGAACACTGAAGCGAAGAGAAATTAAGCAACTTAGCCAGAGTCGCTAGCAGATGATAATGGACTTGGAATGAAATAATCCAAAGAAACCTCTTTCACTGGAATGCTCTCAGTGAGGGTGACGCACGCTACGTGAGCATGAGGAGCAAGCTTCCCGGGGGTGGTGGTGGGGGGGTGGTGGCAAGGCAGTGCCAGAGACCTGTGGTCTTCTGCTGGGACTGAACTGCGGACCCTCCCGGTGGCACATCACCAGCATCTGTCCGGGGTTCTCTCCCCGTGGTCTTTGCTCCTGCTTCGGGTTGTTTTGCTTCTTACTTCCCCCTGCCCTGTGCTGCAGGATGTGGCTGTGACCGCAGTGGGGAGCAGCCTCGCCCTCTCCCCTAAACCAGAATGGGGGTCTGAAGACTCCGCAGAGATGGGCACTATTGGACGGGGAAGGGGTTCTTCCCCGGCTGTATCGATCCAGCGGAAACCTGGAAACCTGCTTTGCTCCAGGCCTTGCCTGGGGTTTTCTGGACGGGGCTCCACAGCCGGAAGAAGAGATTGCTCCATGCGAGCCTTCCTTCCTCCTTGGCCTTCCTGTTACCCAGCTCTTCATCGCGCCCGTTGTTATCTCCCATTTGGCCCACTGTCCTCTCCCTCCCTGTTTCAGTCTCCCTTTTGCTCTTGTCTGGGTCCTGCCCTGCAATCCTCTGGCCAAGCTCCCCCTCTGGCCCTTATGTCTCCCCTCCCCCCATGTCTCCTACAACGTCCTTCCATCTCTCGCTGCTCTGTCGCACACCCAGGTCACCCCCATACCTCGGCCCTACCTCTGCATTGTCCCAAACCTGGTCTTTCTGAGGCTTCCTTGCCCCAAGAAAACAGAGTTGGACCTCTCTGCTGGGGACCCAAGAATTCCGTCAGGGGAGAGCCTCACGGTATGCAAGGCTCAGGCTGACAGAGCTGTGCCCTTTCTGCCACCACCCCCCACCCCCCCAAAGCCTACCCTCCTGTCCTTGCTGGCCCCTCACCTGCTGCCTGTGCCGGTGCCAATCTTGCCTTGGATGTCCCAGGAGAGCTGACCGAATGGAGAAGCTCCTAAAAGAGAGGCCCTTGGGCTTGGCCCCACCCCTCAGGCCCCGCCTACACTCGGTGCTCAACCTCCGGTTCATCACTGTCTCTAAGGTCCGTGGCCCCAGAGCCTCCCAGACATACAACAAAGATTAAAAGGAATTGTGAGCGCTCTGTAGGAAATAGCCTTGGCTTGGCTTTTTTTGAGGTTAGGAGGCGGGATTGTACATCCCCTGCTCTCAAATTGTTCGTTGGCTTCTTTCTTTCCTCGACGCTCAGTTCCTTGAGATCTTCTATTTCCGTGGTACTGGGAAGCATGTGAAGTACACATTGCTGGAGGAGGGGTCACTGGGGAAGGTTCTGAAGATTGAATTGAGCTTAGGCTGCAGACGCCAGAGGCAGGCCAGAGCCCAGCAGGTGTGCGTGTGTCCCTGGAGTCTCAGGCGAGGGTGGTGCTTGGGGCAGCCCTACCTCGAGCACAGGCCTCCAATACCTGCCAGGTAAGGAGTGGCCAGACTGTCCCTGCCCTTGAGAAGAAGGTGCTGGGGCTGCGGTGGCCAAACCAGATGCAGCCAGCAGGGGTCAGCATGGCACCGAACCACTAGAGGAAGCAAGCCACCTTGCCGTGCTTCTGTGTCGCTGCTATGGGGATGCAGAAATGAAGGTAAGTCACAGTTTCTGAATGAGGCCAAAATACTGACCATCAAGAATCTGACAGCTTGGTCAGGGAGAGTAAGCATGTGTAACTATGATGCGAGTCAAATGATGGCATTAGCTTAAATAGAAATTGGAAGAAAAGTGAGCATAAAGAAAAGTTTCGATGATTTCTGACAGGAGGGCTGACAAGGCAGAATGAGAAGGATGGACTCAACTATTTGGCAGGCAGAGATGGGGGAGAAGTGCTTCCCAGGTGATGGGAAGCCGTCCAACAACTAAAGGTAATATAGGGCATACTCAGGAAGTGCTGATTTATTCTGTTTGCAACCCAGGTTGTTTGAGAGAGACGTGAAGAAGGAAGAAGCAGATCATGGTAGGCTTTAACAGATTTAATCGAGGGTTTACACTTCTGTGGGCAGTGGGAAGACTTTCGCCAGTTTGAATCCAGAGAAGAAATCATTAGCTCGGTGGGAATGGGTTAGAGGCCTCAGGGAGGTTTTAGCTGAGGGCAGACCTGCGGGATCTGCGGACAGCTTGTTTAGACACAGGATGAGGCCTGATGAGACACCCTGGGCTTTGGTGACCTTACAAGAAATTAAAGCAGAAGGGGAAGGATTGGAAAGTTGGTTGGCTTGCAAAAGCCAAAGAGTAAATTGAGGTTCTAAAATAGAAGCCACCACGAAACACTGACTCCACGGTTGAGGCTTGGTCCCTTCCTTGCTCGCAGCTGTCACCGCCACCGGGTCCAGGGCTGAGGGCCCCAGATACAACCTAGACTCACCATGTGTGGTTGCTGTCTGCCTCCCTCTACCTCGTCCCATGTTCTAGATTTTCCCACTTCTCGTGTTTTTGCCTGGAACTCTTCACACACACACCTCTTCCCTGCCTACTTAATTCCACTCAGCCTTCAGGTCTCAGCTGGAAAGTCAGACCTGTGGAGCCATCACAAGTCCCTAAACCAGGTTAGACTCTTCCTTATGATATAATGCACTATAGAGCCTTATACACCTCCCCTGTTATAATGCCCCTCTTCGCTGTAATTTATGGTTTTATCAACTGCATCACCATTGAACTGTAAACTCCATGAGGGCAGGGGTGATGCCTTAGTGCCTGTAGAGTGCCTGGCTCACCCTGCTTAGTCAGTATTGGCTGAAAGAATAAATTCAAAACGCACCCAAGAAACAAGAGATGAGAGGGAAACAGTAGCAACGTAACAGTCACGTGTAATATTGTTCATTTAATTCATTTGTGGACAAGTCTTTCTTTTTCTCTTAATCTATACCCATTTTTAGTAGTCTCCAAACCCACAGCCTATAATTAGCAGCAAATTAAAAGAGGAAAGAGGAGCTTTTAGAAGCAAGAACACTGATAACAAGGAGGATTCACACAGATCGAAAGAGGAGACTAGGAAAACAAAAAAAGCAGACAAATGAAAAGTAGCATTCGTGACCATATAGAAGAGGACCCAACAGTGTTAACCATGTGTGTTCTAGCCTTTGGTGTTCTCCCTGTTTTCCTGTACAATTAAGTTCAGAGTGCTTCCTCTGAGTAAGCAAACTATTGGTTGAATGGTGGGATCTTAAATGTGTGAAACACTTTTGGATTCACCAAACATTTCACCTGCATTATCTTACTTGATTCTGTGAGGCAGGCAAGCAGGGAAAGTGGCCACAGAGATGACAGACTCCGCCTTAGAAGTGATTTATCCAAAGCCATAGCTCAACTGAGGTCTTAATGACCTAGTCATGCTCTTTCCACTATATAATCCACAAGAAGTTAGTAATCCCTTTTTGAATAAGCCCTATTTGAAACAGTTAAAATGAAAATGTTTTGCACTTAATTGGATAAACTTCAGTTATCTGGGAAAATATGCAGAAGGGAACATTCCTCTGTTTCTGTTTAACTGAGGTTGCACCATGATTAAAATCAGTGCTCGTATCATTTCAGGAAAAGAAAATTCAGTGTGATTTGAAGCAGTCAAGCAAGACTTCAGCCTAACATCGCTGGAAATAGCTCACATCTTCGATGCATTTATATCTTCCTCCACTCTCCAAACTCCAGGCATTATTACTAAGTTTCAGAGATACAAAGATAAAAGACAAGCTTCCTGTCTTTATACTAAGTCATAAAAATCTATGGAAAGTCCATATGGAAGTATCCAGTAAGCAATTGTAAAAGTGAGTTTAGAGCTCAGGAGAAAGATGCAAGTTGAATAGCTAGGTTTTACGAGGAACAACACATAAGTCATTGTAACGTTTGGTGTGGGTTATCTTGACCAATGAGAACGTGTAGAGCTAGAAGAGATGTCTATGGACGTGACCCTGAGGAACCCCAGCATTTAAGGAGAGATCAGAGAAGGCTGAGAGAGAGAGCCTATAATAATAGAAGTTAAGTCATTCATTCATTCAAGAACACCTATATTTATTAAGCTCTTAGTCTCTGTCAAGAGAAAGAAGGACCCAGTAGCCAAAAGACAAGAACATTTCAAGGAAGGAGGGGTCAATAGGGTTAAATGCCATAAAGAGGGCAAAAGGGTAAAGTCTGAAGAGCTGTTCATGGAATGTGACAAAGAGGTCATTAGTGGCCTTGATGAGAACAATCTCAGTGGATTGATGGGAGCAAAAAAAAAAAAAGATTGAGAAGTGAATGAGAAAAGAGAAATGGATACGGCAATTATAGTTGATTCTTGAAGTTTAGCTGTGAAGGGAAGAAAGAAATTGAGAGGTGGCTAAATACTGACAAAGATCAAGGGAAGGTTGAGAATTTTTTTTAATCATGTGAGATACTTGAGCATGTGTAGATGCTGAGGGGGAAGTGTCAGTAGAAAAAGGAAAGGTTAAAAATGAAGGAGAAAGGATTTGGAGACCCATGGAATAAAGCTTGTAAGTAGGAGGTAAAGAGGACTGATTCATTCAGCCAATGTGTTAATAGTTACCACCTGCTCTATGCCAGGCACTGTGCTAAATACGAAGTATACGATGACAGGGAAGACACTGTACATGGAGCTTACGGAAAGGTGGGAAGGTGGAGCTTGGACAGGAGATATGGGTGCCTCATCTACTTGGATGACCGAGGTGTGAGGATACAGCTAAAGGCATCTGCAGAGGTCCCAAGAAGTTGGTGAAATTCCCACATTACTATTATTTTTCTCTGAAGATGGATGTGGCCTCTGCTGAGATAAGGGAAGAAGTGGTGATGAAAGAAACTTGAGGAATGAGGTGAAAGTTTGAAATAGCTACTTGTAAGGATTGGGAGAGGGTGATTTTCCAAGCTTGGAGATCCTGAATTTATTAAAGGCTCTGATCGGTGGGACCGTGGTATTCTCCCCATAAGACCCTGAGGAGTAGGAACAGAGTCATTTGGATTTGTCCTTTGAAGTAGCTCTCTGGTTGATCTATTTCCTTCTATACCCAGTGCCACCATCCTTACCTGACTGCCTCTCTCCCCTCAACTTTGAACCCCCTATTTTCTTGCTAGTAGGTTTCCTTGTCTTCTTGCCAAAATAAAGCATTTTGATAAGTAACACCCTTATTTGAGAACTTAAAATGACATCCTATTCATGTCAGATTACTTTAACCTACTCACCTTAGCATTCCAGGCCTTCCATAATTTGTCTCCCTCTTCCCCTTTCCTCTGCTGTTACTAGTATCTTTCTTACATCATATCTATGCTTCGGGCTCCATGCTTACCAAGTACAAACTTTTGCTTAAGCTATGTTGCTCTTTGGAACATTTTCTCCTTTTGCACTAAACTGACTCCCACTAAAGTTCTCCCATCTTTCATGATAAAATATATCCAATGCTTTCCCTGCAGTGATCATGAAGAACATTTATTGTCTTTCTTTCATTTCAGAATTATATTCAATGTAGCTCTTTTTCCTTTCTTTTCTCTTTTTATTGAGACTTGGTATTGCATTTTAATCATTTAGCGCATGTAAGTTTTAACTCCAATACAAGGCCATTTTCTTTTTTTTTTTTTCTTTTTCAAATATTTTAGAGTAATCTCTACACCCACCGTGGGCCTCAAACCCACAACCCTGAGGTCAAGAGTTGAATGTTCCACTGACTGAGCTAGCCAGGTGCCCCAATTGACATTTTCTTTGTGCTTTCTTTACCTTTCTTTCTTTTGTAAATTATTATTTTTTAATGTTTATTTTTGAAAGAGATGGCATGGATGGGGGAGGGCAGAGAGAGAGGGGAGGGGGACACAGAATCTGAAGCAGACTGCAGGCTCTGAGCTGTCAGCACAGAGCCCAATGTGGGATTCAGCCTCATGAGCTGTGAGATCATGACCTGAAGTCAGACACTTAACCAAATGAGCCACCCTGGCATCCCTTAAATTTTTTTTAATGTTTATTTATTTATTTACTTTGAGAGAGAAGGAGCACACATATGTGAGCAGGGTAGGTGCAGAGAGAGAGTGGGGGAGAGAATCCCAAGCAGGCTCCCCACGGACAATGTGGAGCCTGACATGGGGCTCCAACCCACAAACCATGAGATCTTGACCTGAGCCAAAATCAAGAGTCGCATGCTTAGCCAACTGAGCCACCCAGTGACCCCTCTTTCTTTTTATTGAAGTATAGTTAATACACAATGTTAGTTTCATGTGTACAACATAGTGATTCAACAAATTGACAGGTTATGCTATGCTTACCACAAGTGTAGCTACCATCGGTCACCATACAATGCTAATACAGTGCCATTGACTATACTCCCTATGCTGTCCCTTTTGTCGCCATGACTTGTTCTTTCCATAACTGGAAACTTATATCTCCCACTCCTTTTCATTCATTTTGCCCATCCTCCAACCCTCCTGCCTCTGGCAACTATCAGTTTGTTTTCTGTGTTTATGGGTCTGTTTCTGCTTGTTGTTTTTTTTTTTAGACTACACATACAAGTGAAATCATATAGTATTTGTCTTTCTCCTCGTGCTCTTTTTTTGTGTGTGATTGATAACTTTATGTAGTTATGTTTGGCTTTCTTTTCATTTTTTTGTATATCTATTACAGGTTTTGGGTTTGTGGTTCCCATGATATGTCATAGCTTATATATCACATCCTAAATATATAGCATTCTATACTGATGGTCATTTAAGTTTATTTTTATTTATTTATTTATTATGTTTTATTTATTTCTGAGAGAGAGATAGTGTGAGCAGGGGAGGGTCAGAGAGAGAGGGAGACACAGAATCTGAAGCTGGCTCCAGGCTCTGAGCTAGCTGTCAGCACAGAGCCCGACGTGGGACTCGAACCCACAAACTGTGAAATCATGACCTGAGCCGAAGTCGGATGCTTAACCGACTGAGCCACCCAGGCTCCCCAATGGTCATTTAAGTTTAAACACATTCTAAAAACAACTTGTTTGGGGCATCTGGGTGGCTCAGCTGGTTAAGCATCTGACTCTTGATTTTGGCTCAGGTCATATCCCTGGGCTATGAGATTGAGCCTCGCATTGGGCCTTGTGTTGATTATGGAGCCTGCTTAAGATTCTCTGTCTCTCCCCCTCTCCCCTCCCCTCTCTCTCCTTCCACCCTTCTCCCCCACTCAAGCGCTCTCAATCTCTCTCTGTCTCTAACATAAAAGAATAAATAAGAAGAGCTTTTTTATTCCCCCCTCTTCAAAAGATCTCTCTCTCTCTCTCTCTCTCTATCTATCTAGAATAGAATATTATTCTATAGAATAGAATAGTTGTAGGTTTTTTTCCTTTCAGCACTTTGAATATATCATGCCACTCCCTTCATCCCTCCAACATTTCCAGTGAAAAAATCAGTTTCTAGTCTTAGGGGTTTCCCTTGTACATAACTTTTTGCTTCTCTCTTTCTGCTTTTAAAATTCGTTCTTTGTCTTTAATCTTTGACATTTTAATTATTATGTGTCTAATGCATATCTCCTAGGGTTCATTTTGTTTTGGATTCTTTTTGCTTCCTGAACCTGGATGTCTATTTCCTTCCCTAGGTTAGGGAAGTTTTCAGCTATTATTTCTTCAAATAAATTTTCTGCCCCTTTCTCTTTCTCTTCTCCTTCTGAGACCCTTCTAATTGCAAATGCTTGTTCTCTTGATGTTGTCCAAGAGGTCCTTGAACCTACCTCATTTTTAAAGAATTCTCTTCTTTTTGCCGTTCAGCTTGGGTGCTTCCCATTATCCTATCTTCCAGATCACTGATCTTCTTCCACATCCATTAATCTACTGTTGATTCCCTTTAGTGTGTTTTTTAATTTCAACTCTGATTTATTCTTTTTTGCATTTTCTCTTTGAAGTTCTCTTTGAGTTCCTCCATTTTTCTGTCCAGTCCAGTAAGCATCTTTATACTCATTGCTTTATTTTTTTTAAGTTTTTATTTTAATTCCAGTTAGTTAACATGTAGTATAACATTAATTTTAGGTGTACAATATAGTGACAACATTTCCATATATTATCTGGTGCTCATCACAACTAGTACCTTCCTTTCTTTTTTAAAATTTTTTAAATGCTTATTTATTTTTGAGAGAGAGAGAGCATGAGTGGGAAAGAGGCAGAGAGAGAGGGAGACACAGAATCTGAAGCAGGCTCCAGGCTCTGAGCTGTCAGCACAGAGCCCGATGCCAGGCTTGAACCCTCAAGTCATGGGATCATGACTGAGCTGAAGTCAGATGTTTAACCGACTGACCACCCAGGTGCCCCAACTAGTGCCTTCCTTAATCCCTATTCCCTATCCCCTCCAACCTCCTCTCTGGAAACCACCATTTTGCTCTCTGTAATTAAGAATCTTCTTCCTGATATCTCCTTCTCTCTCTCTCTCTTTGTTTTTTCCCTTTCCTTGTTTGTTTTGTTTCTTAAATTCCACATGAGTGAAATCATATGGTATTTGTCTTTCTCTGACTTATTTCTCTTAGCATTATATTCTTTAGCTCAATCCATATCATTGCAAATAGCAAAATTTCATTCTTTTTTATGGCTGAATAATATTCCATTGTGTGTGTGTGTGTGTGTGTGTGTGTGTGTGTGTGTATCTTTATCCATTGGTCAATTGATGGACACTTGGGCTACATCCATATCTTGACTATGGTAAGTAATGCTGCTATAAACATAGGGGTCTGTGTATCCCTTTGAATTAGTGTTCTTCTCAATCATTACTTTAAATTCTAACAGGCATATTGGTTATCTCCATTTAGTTCTTTTTCTGAGGTTTTATCTTATTCTTTCAACTGGAGCATATTCCTCTGTCTCCTCACTTTGCTTGACTTTCTGTGTTTGTTTCTATGAATTAATGGAACAGCTACTTCTCCTAAACTTGAAGGAATGGTCTTAGGTATGGTGATCCCTTGTGTGGACTCTGTGTGCTTGGTGACTTTTGCTGGCTGCCTGGAGTTGTGGCTGACACGGGCTGGGGGTGCGAGCCACTCCTTGCTGGGTCTGCTGGGATGGTAGATGGCCACTTCTTTAAAGACCGGGACCACATCCCACAGTGATTTGTACCTGATTTAAGTGCTTAATACTTAATGGATGGAGCTTGAGATTTTAGTTGAGCCCTAAAACTTTAAATAAATTACACTCAATCTCCATTCACTGATCTATTTTAATGAGCAGGTATTTGAGTACCTAAGTCCTTTACTAGGAGCTGGGGAGACACATCCCTTGCTTACTCACTGTGAGGCTTAGCCCAGTCAGTGAGCCTGATCTGAGTTCAGTAAAGACTGGCAGTCCCCTGCGCCTCCTTTCCTCTAGTTCAGAGACTAGTATGTGGGAGTAGGGAAAAGGAGGTGTCCACTCAGATAAAACTATCCAAGAATGCCAATGTCTCCCAGGCCACCCACTATCCTGGGAATTTTGAGAATCTTTTGTCCCAGCCCCCACGCAGGAAAGAATCTTAGCAGGCAATACCAAGGTGGGAGCCAAGCACTGCTGTCTGAAGTCTCATTCCCCCTCCCCACTGACCTTCCCAGAATCAAAGAGTCTTTATGGAGGACAGGGATGGAGAAGAAGCAGTTTTGCCATTTGAAGGAATGTCCAGGGCCCTCTGAAGAAAGATGCAACACTAATCCTGTGTCTGGGGGGCCAGTCGGGCTATATGTGGGGTTGGGACACTGGTCACTTTCCCTTTTTGGAGACTCCATGTTGCTCCTCTTTCTGTGTGATTCTCTGAGTCAGTTTGTCCCAAGCTCCATGTCTCTCTTTTGGCTTGAGCCCCACTCACCTGCCCTTTTCCATCAACCAACAGCCTGCCAGCCACGCTGGCTTCTTGGCTCCCTAGTTCCTGGCCTAGTGGCCTACCCCATCCTGCTCTGACAGTAGGGGTGAGAGGGGAGGAGATGATGGGGACAAGGAAAACCTCCTGGGGACATCTTCCTTTCCTTTCCCAGGCCTCAAGCGTTCAAGTGCATGCTAGGCCTTCCTTACTGGGGTCATGATGTACCAGAGGCACGTGGGGAGAAATAAGGACGTTGAGGTAAAAACAGTAGAGAGGAGGGACAGAGGGTTGGGGGCATAGTAGAGACTGAGGGGGGAGCCTCTCGAAGTGGAAGCCGGGTAGCCAAAACCACTGGGGAAAAAGGAGGGAGGTTGAGTCGCGCGGCTCTGACAGCCCAGCCCAGCCGAGGTCCCAGGGTTTCCCGTCGCTCTCTCCTTCCAGCTTCTCTTCCTCTCTCTTGTGAGATTCCTCCCCAAGACCTCTTCATGAGACACCACCCCCCTCCTCTGTACGAGTCTCTGCGACGGTCCGCTGGTTTCTCCATCTCGCGCCTGGCTTTGGTCTCCGGCTCAGCCTCCCGGCCTGGCCCTCTTGATGGGCGGTGCTCATTACGCTCCGCCCCCTAGGAGGACTATTGGTGGAGAGGTGTCGAGAAGGCGGTGTCCAGCCAGCGTCCGGGGGTCGGATTGGTTGCAACGACCCAGAGGCGGATAGGAGGCGGAGTCGGCCGGGAGGCGGGCGGGGCGGCTGGGGCCCGGCCCAGAGCCCCGGGCGGTCGCATTGTTTTCCTGCGCGGAGCCGCGGCGGGAGTGGGGGCTGCGACTGGGACCCTGGGCTTGCCCTACAGGACAGCGCCCGGGACCTCCAATCCAAGCTTCATCCCATTCGGACGCTCATCACATCTCGCCAGAGCCCCAATCACGGATTGCGAACTCGGCGCGGTGCGGGGCCGCTGCCCGCCCGCTGCGATCTCGGTCCCGCTGACCCGGATCTCGGAGCAAGTACCCCGGAGCAGGGATAGGGCTGCAGGGAGGCCAGGAGGACGGGGGACGCCTCAGGCTGGGGGCAACCTACCGAAGTGCGAGAGGGAGCCGGGAGGGTGCCAGTGCGCTGTGTGCCTGGCTGGCGGAGAGGGTCAGCGGAGTTGGGGTGCTTGGAGGAAGGAGGGGGCCGTGGCCGAGCCCCGTCAGTGCACTCACTGTTGGGCGCAGCGTCTGGGCGCCTCTTCCCTTCGGGCTTCTCCGAGTCGCGTCCTCTGGATTGGGGAGCGCGAAAGGGGATTATTTGAGGCGCGCACCGTACAGAGGGTGGAAACCCTGGTCCCTCGACTCCTGGGCAGGGAAACTAGGCTCGGAAACCCGCGGAGAACTGGACCCTCTCGATGTCTCTGCAGGGATGGGAAGGGGGACGTGTCGTTCCGGACTTTAGTGTCACAGCTGCACCTCTGTCCTTGTGCAAGCGGCGAGTCTGAGCACCTCTCGGGGGGTTGGCTTGGACAGAGAGTCGGGGAAGGGGCCCCCCGAGAAACAAGTCCCCGTGCCCTTCTCCTTTCTTCACCCCACTCGTCCCTGGGCTTTGTTAGACCAGGGTCTCCCAAGCAGGAGAGCCTAGCTGGAGACTGCACCTTTAGCCCGCTCAGCGCTGGCCCCAGGCCTGCCCTCTTCGATTCCCCGCCTCTGGCCCTGTTTCTCTGGCCTGGGAGACCCGCCTCCTCTCCCCAACCCCCGCTCCCATCCTCACTCTGTCTGAGCCTGCAGGCCCCTCCAGCCCCTCCTCCCGCTAACGTGGCTCTGGGACCCGGTCCCGGCCCAGACTCTGCTACCCGCCCCTCTCGGAGCCCCAGATCCAGTGAGGGGGAAACACGTCGAGCCCCTGGCCCGGGGCCCACCTTATGCCAGGCTCTAAACACCTGGATTATCCTCGTTGGGGGTTGGGTGGGAGGGAGAGTAGGTGCGGAGCCAGGGGCAGAGGGTGGGGGAAATGTCTTGGAGAAGGGAACGCGCCTTCAGCCTGTTTCTCGAGGATCCTCAACGCGCCCCCCACCCCCTCTACCTCCGTCTGCTCCCCCAGAGGAAGGTGGACTGGGGCGGGAGACCAGCCTGAGAGCTTCCTGCTATTGTCCCCAGCCCCGTCTCCCCTTCTCCATCCCTTCCCCAGCCTCCCCCTCCACCCCCCCTTGACTCTGGCTCTGACCCTGGCCACTCCCCAGAGGTGGCTGTAGGGCCAGGAGGAGAGAGAAGGGCTGTTTTCTCTCCCAGCAAAGGGAGGACCTAGGAGGGGAAGAAAGGGATGGCCAGGCCTCCCCCATTTGCTTCAGATGGGGGGTATGATGCATCTGGGGTTGGTCTCAGCCGAGTAAGCCTTTCCCCAGGCCCCGGGTGGCATGAGAACTGCTCAGATGCTGCTCCTCCAAAAACAAATGTGGGAAAAGCCTTCTTAAAGACATATCATGCGAGTCTAGGGGCCAATGCAAAGGCCAACCAAGTGTTTTCAGAGGCTGGACTAATCCAGCCCAAGGTGGGGGGTGGGGTGCAGAGACATTGGGCTGGAGGTAGGCAGGACCTGCTCTCTCAAGGGAGAAGGAAGGGTCTGGGGGTGCTCGCTATCGGAGCATTTTGCCTAGAAATGAAGAGCATGTAAATGAGATGCAAATTAGCCTCTATTGTCCCCAGCTAGGGCGCTTTTGCTGTGAAGGCTGCTGAATTCCGAGGGTTTTAATGTGGGAGTGGTCGGCATGCCCCACAAACTCTCCCTGTCACCCTTTTCCCCAAGACTGGGCCTTCAATTCCAGGAGTTTCTGGCAAGGGGCCAGCCCCAGCCCCTGCCCTCACATCTCTGGGCTTGAAGCCGCGAGCACCTTTGTAATCAAGCTCACTGTCACTGTCAACAGCCCCCCGCCCCCCCCCCAGCTCGTGCCGCGCCCCACCCCCCCACCCCCTTCCCGGGCAGCGTGTCCTTTTCCCTAGCCTCGGTAGACTTCTCCCAGATTTTCACACTTACTTTTAAGGGATGTGGTAAAGAGGTCTCACTAAGCCTCTTCCCTCCTGTCCCTTCTTCCATCAGGTCAGAGGTTTCCTATCCCCCTCAACTCCCTACAGGAGTCACGACCCCAGGTAAGGAAAGGGGCGGCAGCGCTGAGGGCAGGGGGTGGAAACGGGAGCAGGAAGAGGGTCTGGCTGTTCTCCCCACTTGCCAGAGGCCAAAGTTGTTTCCTGGGTGAAGACACCAGTTGCCCAGAGCAACTTGGAGGGGGGGAGCAGGAGGGGGAGGGTAGGAGACAGGCTGTGTCCCTTTCTCTTCCCCTGGGAGCACCAGCATCCGGAAACCTGAGGTGGGGGGGTGGTTAGGGAGGCTTGGCCTTTCGGCACCAGAGGGTCGTTAGCTAGCTGACTGCTCTGCCCCTGGGGAGGGGGTCATCATTAATGTTCCTCCCCCTTCCCCTCCTCCAGCTCTCTTGGGACCCCATCTGACGTCAACCTCCCCACCAATGACGCTGGATTGGGGGTGGGGTACACTTGGGTGCTGGCTCCAAGGGTGGATTTGGGGCGATGGAAGGGGCTGGGCTTGCAAGCCCAGGGTCTCTTCTTTGGGGAATGAGGCGGGATGAACAGCCAAGGATTGGCGAAGGAGAGCTCTCTGTTCACAGAAAGGAAGGATCCGCACCCTGACCTGATTTCAGGAGCTCCTCAGCCCCTCACTTCAGTTTGAGGGGAAGGAGGACAGGAAGCTGGTGTACATACACCTCCCACTGTGGGTCCCAACCAGGGCCAGCTGGGGCGGGCTTGGCGGTGCCGCTGGGCGGGAAGGGGGCTGTCTCACCATCCCTTCCGCCATATCCATCTTTTCCTGGACTTTGGGCTACTGTTGCCTGCCTGTTGTTGAATTATTTATATTTCCATTTTGAGGCAGCCCGAAGATGGAAGGAAGGGAAAGAGGGACATTTTCAGCCATTTCTCCTCACCAGGGTGGCCATCCCTGGCTCCTGACAGGGGGTGATTCTGCTCTTGCTCATCAAGTACATGCCCTGGTTCTTAGGAGCCAGGGAGGGAACAGGGGGTTAGAGAGGTAGGGAGGGGGCACAGTGGTCGGGCAGACAGCTGCAGCCAGAGCTAAATTTAGCTTCTGATCTGGCTTTGATGCAGATTCATTTTTGGCTAAGGCAGCCCCCCACCCCACCCCCGACACCCCTCCCTACCCGCCTTCTCCCAAGTGAGGGGAAGAGCCCTCGAAGCATGAACTTAGACCAAGACCACGACCCCTAGGCTTCCTCTCCGCCACCCTGGTCTTCCTCAACCCCAGACAGGGGATGGCTTCCTCGCAGCTGTGTCTGTCTGGGCACAGCGCCTGACCCAGGGTGCCGAGGGGGTCTGTGAGGGAGGGGGAGGCCGACGCAGTGCCCTCTTCCTCCTTCCAGTGCCAAGGAGTCACTATTTATAATGTTAAGGCTTCAGTGTCTAATTATAACTGAGAAGGGGTTAGCAAGAGGGGGGCCAGGAGGTGTCACCTACCGAATGTCCCAGGCCCAGTCAGGAGAAAGGAGAAGAGGCCGCGTGAGAAGGCTTGGAAGGGGAGCGGGCGTGTCCTGTCCTTACCTGGGGTCATGCCTGCAGGTCTCACACTAGCCAGTTGGGGCCAGTTGGAGAGGGAAAAGGCCTTGAGTGACAGTGACAGCTGGCTGGGACTGAGGCAGTGCCAGGGAAAGGGGTTGTTTCCCCCAAGCCCACAGGGTCCTCTGGGGATAGACCAGGGGGGAGCCTGCCTGGGTCAAAGGTGAAGGGATCCAGCCCCTTCCCCCACTTTTATCTGTCTCCTCTTTCAGGGCCGGCATATGGGTGAGGGGGCACCCCCTGGGGCCTGAGCTGCCCCGCACAGGATGCCCCGTGCCCCCCACTTCATGCCCCTACTGTTCCTGCTGCTGTGGTTCTCACTTCCCCATACCCGGGCTGCCTTTCCCCAGGACCCCGTTCCTCTGCTGACCTCCGACCTGCAAGGTGAGTGCCCTGCACCTCCCCCCGCAACTGTGTGAGCTCAGCACTGGAGATACCTGTGCAGGAGGCCGGGGTGCAAGAAGACACTCAGCAGAGGAGAGTAGCCGGGAGGAGCAAGCTCAGACCAGCCGCTCCTCTCTGCTCGCCCCACTTCCTTCCTCTGGTGTTTAGGAACCCACACTCTCTGCCAGACCACACCTTAGCAGGTCTGATCCTCGCCAGGCTGCTCCTTAGCTGCATGACCTTGGTTAGCCTGTTTAACCTTTCTTTGCCTCAGTCTCCTCATCTGCAAAATGAAGCTAACAAACAGCATTCCAGCTCACAGAGTTATTTAGGGATTCGATGAGGTCGTACACGTAAGGTGCGGAGACCTCGGCCTGGCACCTAGTAAATGCTTTCTCTGTGTTTGCTCTTGTTATTCATTATCCCACAAAGGCCCAGGACTGGTTCCGTGGCTCCCCACACCTCCCCCTTCCCTCTCCACCGTGAAGCCTAGGCCCCACCGTGAGGGAACCCATAGGCCCACTTTTTTTCTGAGAAGAACCTTTCTCTATTTGCAGGTTCCTGTTACGTATGTAGGATTTAGAGTAATTTTAAGGACTGTAGTTAGGCCATTGAGAGTAAGTGTTGGGGGATAAGAATAGCAAACACTTGCATGTGCTAGACGCGGTCTGAGCACCTTACAGACGGTAAACCATCCATGTGCGAACGCTGAGCTCCCTTGAGGGCCGATGATTATGGAAGCCGTGGTCAGGCCGGTGGATGCTGGGGTTGGTCCAAGGAGGCAGTGACCCAGGATGGGCTGAGGTGGTTTCTGAAGAGCCTTGAGGGGGTGACACAAAAAGAGGGCTGGGAGAAATGGAGTAAGTGCTCCAGACAGGACAACGTGTGGCATGGGAACGGAAGGGGGTCACCAGACAGCCCCACGGCCCTTCCAAGAGGGGGCTGTATTCAGCTCTGGAGTAGTATAGACCTGGACCTCAGCACCCACCCCCCCCCACCCTGCCACTTCCCAGCTAGACACATATGCAAATTCCTTAATGGATTTAAGCCTCAGGCTCCTCATCTGTAAAATGGGGCCAGTATTAGTACTGTAAGACCTTCCACAAGACAAGCATTTCTTTTTTTTTTTTAATTTTCTTTTTAATTAAAAAAAATTGTTTATCTTTCAGAGAGGGAGAGACAGAGCACGAGCAGAGGAGGGCCAGAGAGAGAGAGAGAGAGAATTCGAAGCAGACTCCAGGCTCTGAGCTGTCAGCACAGAGCCAGATTTGAGGCCCAGACTCCTGAACCGTGGGAGATCATAACCTGAGCCGAGAAGTCAGACCCTTAACCGACTGGGCCATACAGGCGTCCCTCTAATAAATTTTAACTTGATAAATGAGCGATGTCTTGCATACGAGTAGTACGTGATGCCAAATATCACTCGATCACAACTGAGGCAATGGTTCTTGAAATTCACTTTGATATGCTTTGGATTACAAGCATGTTTCCAGAACAGATTTTGCTCGCAAACCAAGTTTTACTGTACTTCCCTTATAGGGTCGTATTAAATGAGGTAATGCGTCTAAAGTGCTAACATGGTGGTTGGCAGAGGTTATGTGCTCAGAGCTAGTATTATTTTATTAATAGGTGTATTAATGGTATTTTTTTATACCTCACAACTCATCTTCCTCACCCATGAGGCCCATGGCGGGATTTTATCTGGCTGGAAAGGGTACTGGAGAGTGTGTGGTGTCCAGGTGGGCCTCAGCACCTACCTGTCTGTGTCTTCTAGGGACTTCTCCATCATCTTGGTTCCGGGGCCTGGAGGATGATGCTGTGGTTGCAGAACTTGGGCTGGACTTTCAGAGATTCCTGACCTTGAACCGGACCTTGCTAGTGGCTGCCCGGTAAACCAGCTGCGGCACCGTTGTGGGGCCAACATGCATGGTCCTGGGAGGATGTGGAACGTGCATGGCCACTGCAGCATCTTGAGGGGACACATGCGGGTGTACAAGCCATGGGACTGGGACATGCTGGGGCCTAGAGTGCGAAAGCCAAGGCATGGAGTAAGGGGAGGAGAGAGAGCAGGACGGTTGCCCTGCTTGTCTCCGAGTCGCTGAGCCTACACGGGGGTGTGGGTGTGGGGGTGTGTGGGGGATAGGGGGGGTGTGGGGTGTGGTAAGGAGCTCAGGTGGGGTGCCTGGGCTTGGCTCTGATCCCTCCCTCGCTATCCCTTCAGGGATCACGTTTTCTCCTTCGATCTTCAAGCCCAGGAGGAAGGGGAGGGGCTGGTGCCCAACAAGGTAAGAGGCGTGTGGGAGGAGGTGCAGGCACAGAGATGGGGCTGGGAAAGGTCTGGTGGGGGGCAAGCTGTGGGGATAAAGAACCCCAGAGGAACCATAATGTGCAGGGGCATCCAGGTTGCCCCATGGTCTTCCCTCTTTGACTTTCCCCTTCAGTATCTAACATGGCGGAGCCAAGACATGGAGAACTGTGCCGTGCGGGGAAAGCTGACGGTGAGGAGCGCGATGAGAATTTCCAGGGGAGGATTTCCCACACCCGAGCTCCATCCACGTGGATGGAGCTTCCATCTCGGGCCTGGGGCGGGGAAGGGCGCCGGAAAGACAGTGAAAGGTGTTTGCCTTCCTTCACAGAGGAGGGAGGCTCCAGTAGGCCACACGGTCCGCCCGAGGTTGCAGGGTAGCGGGCAGCTTAGCTGGGACTTTACCCCACGTTGCCCCGACGGGCTCACGGGAGGCGGCCTCACTCCCTGTGACCCCCTGTTTCAGTCTCAGGGAGCCCTGTCGCTGACATAGAGTTTTGGCTTCTCTAGGACGAGTGCCACAACTATATCCGTGTCCTTGTTCCCTGGGACTCCCAGACGCTCCTTGCCTGTGGCACGAACTCATTCAGCCCCGTGTGCCGCAGCTACCGGGTACAAAGGCGGGGGTGGGGAGCGATGAAGGGGTCGGGGTGGGAATGGGAAGGGATCCCTTGGTAGGTACCCAGCGAGGGTGGGGGAGCAGGAGGGCCCAGAGGGCAAGGGTCCTGAACGGGTGGGGGAAAGGCACGGGGACACGGGGAGGTGGGCCACCTAGCCGAACCCCAAGACCTTGACTGTTCCAACAATCTGCTCCCTCTGCCCCCAGATAACTTCGCTGCAGCAGGAGGGTGAAGAGCTGAGCGGGCAGGCTCGTTGCCCCTTTGATGCCACCCAGTCCAACGTGGCCGTCTTTGCAGGTGTGGCACTAGGGCTCATGAGAAGCAGGCCTGTGGTGGGAGGGGGCTCTCACCTTAGCCCTCCTCCCAATTCGATCTTCCCCTCTGCTCCTGAGTGGAAGGCTGGGGTAGGGGGCAGGGCCAAGGTGAGTGAGGCAGGGGTGTAGGAGGCCAAAGAAGAGCCAGATCCCTGGGCCCTCCCCTGACTCCTCCTCCCCACCCCTCCAGAGGGCAGCCTGTACTCGGCCACAGCTGCGGATTTCCAGGCTAGTGATGCTGTGGTTTACAGAAGCCTTGGGCCTCAGCCCCCACTCCGCTCGGCCAAGTACGACTCCAAGTGGCTGAGAGGTCAGGGCGGGCCTGGGGGAGGGAAGTTGCTCTTGGGGCGGAGGTGCAGGGGAGGACTGTGGCGGGAGCAGGCGGACCGTGGTTGTGCTGATGCTGTGCACGTGTGCAAAGGCTGGAGGCCGCATGGGGCCTGGAGTCTCTGAGCCTACTGTCTCCCGTCTGTCCCCCTCAGAGCCGCACTTTGTCCACGCCCTGGAGCACGGAGACCACGTCTATTTCTTCTTCCGCGAGGTGTCCGTGGAGGACGCCCGGCTGGGAAGGGTACGGAGGCGGGCACCAGGGCTGGGGGGCTGGAGGCTCTGGCTGGGTCCTGACAGAGCCAGTGAGAGTCGGCGGAGAGCGCCCGGGCCCTAATCTCCACCTGACAGGCCCGTGGCCTCTGAGCCCCACCTTGGAGGAGCCCTCTGCCTCCACCTCCTGCTGTGTCCCCCATCCTCGACCCAGACCCGTCTAGCACACTGCATCCTTACCTCGCCCTGCCCCTAGCAGTCATCCCTCGGGCCTCGGATGCTCCAGCTCCCAGGCCCCGCCAGCGGCCCTGCGGCCCTCACCCTGCTCGTGGCCCTCCTCCAGGTGCAGTTCTCCCGGGTGGCCCGTGTGTGTAAACGCGACATGGGCGGCTCGCCTCGGGCCCTGGACCGCCACTGGACATCCTTCCTGAAGCTACGGCTCAACTGCTCCGTCCCCGGGGATTCTACCTTCTATTTTGATGCCTTACAGGCCTTAACCGGGCCTGTGAACTTGCACGGACGCCCTGCTCTCTTTGGGGTCTTCACTACCCAGATCAATAGGTTAGTACGAGACTTACCAACGTGGCCCAGTCTGCCCCGTTCCACCAGCATCCAGGCCCCCCACCCCAAGCCTACCAATGCGCCTCTGCTGAAGGGAAAGTCCCTTCAAAGCCAGTTTGCTCCTCTGCACATGTTTTTTTCTCCCAGCATGGCCCGCAGAGACAGTCTCACCCTCCTGGGCTCCGTGTCCCACTGTGGTGCATAAGGGTGGCTGCCCTGTGTCACCTGGGAGGGGCTGTGCTGTCCCTCCCATCACACAGCCCTCATCCATTTCTGGCTCTTTCAGCATCCCTGGCTCGGCAGTCTGTGCCTTCTACCTGGATGACATCGAGCACGGATTTGAGGGCAAGTTCAAGGAGCAGAGGAGTCTCGATGGGGCCTGGACGCCTGTGTCTGAAGACAGGGTCCCCTCCCCTAGGTACGCAGAATGGGGGTGGCTTTGTGAGGGCAGAAGCAAGTGGTGTGTTCCCACATGGGGTTATGGGGAGAGGGTCCATGGGATGATGGGGAGTGGGGCTCAGTGGGTAGGCGCGGGACTGCAGGGCTGTGGGGAAAAGGGAGGGAGTAGTTGGATGTCTGTGTGAAGGAGGGCGGGGAGCGGAGGTTACCAGTCATGTTTGGGAGCAGTCGGCAGGGGGCGGGGTATGGGACCTAACTGAACCCTGGGTCCTGTCCTGTCTCCTTCCCATGTGCCCACCAGGCCAGGATCCTGTGCGGGGGTGGGTGTGGCTGCCCTGTTCCCCTCTTCCAGAGATCTCCCTGACGAGGTCCTGACCTTCATCAAGGCTCACCCATTGCTGGACCCCGCCGTGCCACCCGCCACCCATCAGCCTCTGCTCACCCTCACCAGCAGGTATGCGGCCAGACAAGTGACACCACGGCCCGACCCCCGCGCCCCAGCCACTCTCCTTCTCTGGCCTCCCCAGGTAAATCATATGGGTGGGAAGCAGCAGTCACGGAAGCGGAAGGGAGAGCAATGAGAAGGAAAGTCTGGGCTGGGGGAAGGGCTGTTCCAGGCTGTCTTCCACTGGTCACGTTGTCCTGACCTGAGGCCTGTCCCCTTAGGGCCCTACTGACCCAGTTAGCGGTTGACGGTAGGGCCGGTCCCTACGGTAACGCTACAGTCCTGTTCCTGGGCGCCGATGACGGGGTAGTGCTGAAGGTGCTGCCCCCAGGCGGGCTGTCCGGGGGCCCCGAGCCCATCCTGTTGGAAGAGATCAATGCCTACAGCCCCTCCAGGTGAGGCCTTCGTGGGGCAGCCTCCCTCGCCCCCCGTGCCCCAGCAGAGCAGGAGTGGGACATGAGGTGGTCGGGGGAGGCGTGGGCATGGCATGGGCACTGGGTGGGCATCCGAACGGCCGAAGCTGTAGGGGAGAGGGACTTGGCAAGACGCTGGATGGGGGGGCAGTCCTAGGAGTTGCATTCGGGGCTCGTCTGCCTCCCCACCCTGTCCTCTGGCTCGCCCCTGGAGAAAGGAGCCCTGCCTGCCTCACGTCCACTCCTTCCGGCCCCCCCCCCTCCAGGTGCAGTGGGAAGCGGGCAGCCCGGACAGCACGGCGGGTCATAGGGCTGGAGCTGGACACCGAGGGCCACAGGCTCTTTGTGGCTTTCTCCGGCTGTATCATCCACCTCCCTCTCAGTCGGTGTGCCCGGCACGGGGCCTGCCAGAGGTGAGGAGAGGCTGGGGGCGGGCCTGCCTAGGAGCCCGGGGACACAGGCATGGGGGAGGGGGCTGCCTTGCGCAGGTGTGCAGTAACGGGCCCTAGAATAGGAACTGGGGTGTGCAGGATGGGGATACGGCCGGGGCCTCCTGCAAGGCCGGGGTGACAGAAGAGGCCAGGCGTGGGCTGACTGGATCGGAGAGCCTCACGGCCCCCATCTTCCCCAGGAGCTGTCTGGCTTCTCGGGACCCGTACTGTGGCTGGCATCGCTCCAGAGGCTGTGTGGATATCAGGGGGCCTGGTGGGTAAGTGAGAGGCCCCTGGATCTCCTGGGGAGAAAGTTCCCCACCACTGAGAGAGGGAGCCGAGGGCCGGGATGGGGCATGGGGTGAGACACCTCACTGCCCTGAGCCACCTCCGTCCACCTCTACTTCCTTCTAGAGCTGATGTGTTTCCAGCTGGGAGCCAGGACGCCTTGGAGCACAGTGACTGCCAAGGTAAACAGCAGGGGCAGGGGCCGCTGGAGCTGTGGCTGTACACGGCTCTGAAGGCTGTCGGCCACCATGGTGGGGGGTGGGGAGGTGTTCTGTCCTGTGGCACAGTCACGTCACCCCTTTCAGTTCTTTATGGAGCCTGTCCCTGCCCCCCATCTTCACCCCGTCTCCCTTTTTCATAGATGGAGCTACTGGGAGTCAGTCTGGCACAGGGGATCCTGCTTATGGTGAGTCCACCTGCTCCCACCCCTCCTACCTGCGCGGCCCCCACGCCCCTGAGTCTGCGCTCCGCTCCGCGGTGCACCCTGGGCGCACTGAGCGTGTCTCCAGGGTTAGCATACTCCACACGCCTGGCATAGGGCTCAGTGCTTGGCAGGCAGCAGGGTGCTTAATAAATAGTTTTTGGAAAAATACATTAAAGAACGTCCTGCATGGTGAGCCCTTCCCCACGCGCAGAAGAAAGTAGAGGCTGGAGCTCTGGACTTTTGGGTTCCGAAGGGGGTGGGGTGGGGGTGGGGAGGACCCTCTGAATGGTGTCAGAGGTGGGAAACAGGAGCCTCACTGGCTCTGACCTGGTCTCTGTCACCAGTGCTTCTGGGTCCTGGCCCTCCCCCTGAGACCCCCAGCCCCCCCAGTGATGCCCACCCCCGGCCCCAGTCTTCCACTATTGGAGCTCACACTCAGGGTAAGGGGGCTGGCGGGGCGGGACAGGAGTGAAGCACGGGGCTGCTGATTCTGGAAGAATCCGAAGCCCCTCACTGACGCGTTTGACGCTCACTAATGCCTGGGAGCCTCCTCTCCCCAGAGCCCGGCATCCTGTACCCCCCTCCTTCCGCACGGGCAGAGTTCGGCACTTGCTCTTGGCATGGCTACGGGGCCGAGCTGGGATGGGGCCTCCCCGGGCCCAAGCTCGAGCCTGCGTGTGAGGACTAGTGTGACGGGCTGTGTGTTGCGGGGTCCGGGGAGGCCATTCGGAGGAGGGTCAGGCTGTGCTGGAGCGAGGCCCAGTCGCCCAGCCGCAAGAGAGAGGTGCGGCAGGCCCTCCCGCACCCCCCCTACCTCGGCTGAGCCTCGCTCCTCCCTCTCGGTCGGCAGGCGTGCGCCGGGACCTCCCCCCAGCCTCAGCCTCCCTCTCCGTCCCCATCCCACTCCTCCTGGCCTGTGCTGCCGCAGCCTTCGCCCTGGGCGCCTCGGTCTCTGGCCTCCTGGTCTCCTGCGCGTGCCGCCGAGCCCACCGACGTCGGAGCAAGGACGTCGAGACTCCGGGGCTCCCGCGCCCTCTCTCCCTTCGCAGCTTGGCCCGGCTGCACGGTGCGGGCCCGGAGCCGCCGCCGTCCAAGGACGGGGACGGGGCGCAGACGCCCCAGCTCTACACCACCTTCCTGCCTCCCCCCGACGGCGTCGCCCCGCCGGAGCTGGCCTGCCTGCCCACGCCCGAGTCCACGCCCGAGCTGCCAGTCAAGCACCTCCGCCACGCCGGAGGCCCCTGGGAGTGGAACCACAACGGGAACAACGCCAAGGAGAGCCAGGGCCGCGTGCGGGGTGTCAACGCAGCGGGCGGCCCCGCGCCGCGCGTGCTGGTGAGGCCGCCGCCGCCCGGCTGTCCCGGACAGGCAGTGGAGGTCACCACCCTGGAGGAACTGCTACGCTACCTGCACGGCCCGCAGCCACCCCGGAAGGGGGCCGAGCCCCCGGCCGCCTTTACCTCGCGGGCGCTCCCGCCAGAGCCGGTCCCCGCGCCCACGCTTTTTGCGGGCTCCAGCGTCCTCCCGCGGGAGTGTGGGCCGCCGCTGAGGCTGGACGTGCCCCCCGAGGGCAAGTGCGCGGCCCCCTCCCCCCGGCCCGCGCTCTCCGCCCCCGCTCCGCGACTAGGAGTCGGGGGTGGCCGGAGAATGCCCTTTCCCACGCACCGTGCGCCCCCCGCCTTGCTGACTCGGGTCCCCTCCGGGGGGCCCTCCAGGTACTGCGGGGGGCCCGGCAGACACCTCCTGTACCTGGGCCGGCCGGAGGGCTATCGAGGCCGCGCCCTAAAGAGGGTGGACGTCGAGAAGCCCCAGTTGCCCCCCAAGCCGCCCCTTGTCGCGTCCCCCTCCCAGTCGGCGGTCCCCAACGGCAGCCATTTTAACTTTTAAAGGGAGCCGCGCCGCGTCCTCGAATTGGGCCCCTGAGGCCCGGGCGCACGAACGCGTCTCCAAGGACAGAACCCCTCCCTCTCTCCACGTTCCGCACCTCCAGCCTTTCTGGACTCTGAGAGTCTCCCGGGGTCCCAGCCCGCCTCGGGTTTATTTATTGTCTTTCCCCCTGTCCTCGAGAGAGGAGTGGGAGGGGAGAAGCTCGCCCCCTCTGTGAGCCAGCTTTTCGGGGGGGACCTGGCGCACTCCCACTCCCCCCTCCCTCAGCCAAGCTGCCTTAACTCGCCCCTTCGGGCTTCCTCCATAGACTGGGCCGCGGGCGGGCCGCAGGACGGACGGACCGACGGGGCTGGGGCTGCGCGCGCGCTGTGTACAGAGTCCCCGGGCCTCCCGGGACGTGCCTCCTCCTACTGTGTAGGAGCCTCCGCTTCCCAATACAGCTTCGTCCCCGAGCCGTGCCTGACTTTCCGAGCGGAGGGGGCGGGGTGGGAACCGGTCTGCTCGTGAGGCGCCTCTGTCCCCGGACCTCTGCCCTTACCTTGGCCTTGCACTCCCCCCAGTAATTGGGACGGCTGCGGTCCCACCGGGGTTAATCAGGAGAGGTTTCCTGAAGGAGGCAGGCTAAGAAATGGTGTGTGCAGATGAACACGGGCCCAGGAGACCCACGGCAGAGCTTAGGTGGGGTGGGGAGCGCACCCGAGCACCTTCCCGATCGAGGACGCTTTCCTAGCTTGTTCCATGGGGTAGGGGGAGGGTATCTTTTGAGAAATAAAATGAAGCTGCAGCGCAAGTGATTTAAGTTTCACAACAGGAAATCTTGTCCTAAAGAATTTGGGCTCTTTGTCGCGTGACAGGGAGGCTGCAAAGGACAGCAAGGGGGCCCGCGCGGTTGGAGGCAGGGCTACCCTCGGCAGCGATCTGAAGCAGTTAGTTCCCCTCGGCAGAGCGGGAAGGAGTCCCCAGAGCGCGTGGTCCCTCACACGCATGCGTGGCCTCTTCTCGCGGAGGCTCGGGCGGCACTCCAGCCCCGCGCGCCGAGGGTCGGCTAGCGGGTGCCCGCCCACTCTGTCGTTCCTCTAACTGGGGCTGGCTGAAGGCGCCTGTCTGTTACCCGGGGGCCAATGGGAGGGGCGGACAGGAGCGTCTGCCCCGCCCACTACCTCGAGTTTAAGGTCTCTTCAAGCCCCACTCGCGGGGGCGGGGGCTGCTTCTGCGGATTTACAAGTCCGGGGTTTTGCTGGCGCGTGGCGCGAGTAGCCGCCCCGTTGGAGCCCTAGGGCGCCGTCCTCCTGGCGCCGCCTGGAGGCCGGCCCGAGCCCTGCAGCTAAGGAAGTCTTGGGAGTCCTTTACCAGGTGTGCGCGGAAGGGCCTTTGGTGGGAAACTGCGGAGAACAATTGGGTGAGGAACCGAGTCGTTCCTCCTTTTACTATCTGTAATCGTGACGTCAGAACTTTTCCTTGAGCCGCAGTTTTCTCATCTGAAAAATGGGGTTGTTTGAGAGGCTCAAGTAATGGTAATGCGTGTAAAACTACTTTGAAAGGAGAAAGCAGGGTACCTTTTGAGATGGCGATTCCTCCAAACTGATGCTTAGGCATCAGTCCTAACTGCGACCTTATACGAAACAATCTGTTTCCCTCGGGGTCCATCAGCCTTCATGAATAGATTTTACCCCCAAGATTTCTTGAACGTCGCCCTCTGAACATGCCCCACACCTTGTCCTGCCGTATTTGCTCTCTAAGTCTACCTACCCTCTGCTTGGAGCGTCTTTCCCCGGGTTGGAGAGGTCCTTCGGTCTTAGTGTTCCCCTCTCTGGACGCCTTGCTCAAAGCAAGATGTTTGCTACCGCTGCTACTTTGCTAGTCCGTGAAGGAGAGCAAGGAAGGAGTGGAGAAGCTTCCCAAACCCCTGACTTCACTCCCCTCTTCAGACCGAACCGAGGTTCAGACGGGGACCAAGGCAAAGGTTAGGGCTGCCTCCTTTCTCAGCCTTGTGTTCTGAGGGACAAGTCTCAAAATACTTCAGTTCGTGCCCTGAAAATCGTCACAAGAAAGGGGTAATGATCCTCAGGTTTAAATATAGACTCAAAAGCGAGGTGCAAGAGAAGTTAACCGCGTGACTCTGTGCGGGCAGCAGCAATTTACAGGTTAAAGTCCTGCTTTCGTTTTAATCGGGAAGGGTGTTCATTAACATCTACCAAGTATGGCGACTCCTCTAGCCAAGAGCGCCTGGACTGGACTCTCAGAAGCTTCTCGGGGCTAGTGAAAGCAACTATGTTGCACTGAGAAGGAAAGTCCTTGGACTCTGCCGCTTAATAGTTTTGTGTGTGACCTTGGCAATTCAATTAACCTCTCTGAGCCTCAATTTCTCTCGTTAAGCGTGTAAAGGATATATGGCAACGGGGAGGGGGGCGGAGGTTGTAATAAATCACCATATAAATATATAGGTTTAAATTAAATGCTTTGGGGGAAAAGGTTGTTTTGCCCCAAATAAAAGAGATTACTACTAAGTATGCAATTCCTTAATATTCATGAAATACCTCATCCTGGCGGAGAGTAGTGAATAATAAACTAAGAGAAGGAATTCAAATTATTGTCACTGACAACAGAGGGATAAACATGACCCCTTAATTTAAGGATACTTAAATAATTTAAGGATACTTAATGTTGATTTTTTTTTTTTAATTAGGATATTAGTTTGGGGCTCCTGGGTGGCTCAGTCTGTTGAGCATCTGACTTTTTTTTAATGTTTTTTTTAAATGTCTGTATTTGAGAGAGAGAGAGTGTGTGAGCTGGGGAAGGGCAAAGAGACAGAGATGGAATCCAAAGCAGGCTTCAGGCTCTGAGCTGTCAGCACAGAATCCCTGTGGGGTTCGAACTCACAAGCCCTGAGGTCATGACCTGAGCCAAAGTCTGCGCTTAATGGACTGAGCCATTCACGTGCCCTGAGCATCTGACTCAGGTCATGATCTCTCAGTTCATGGGTTCGAGCCCGCGATGGGGCTCTTTACTGGCACTACAGAGACTGCTTGGGATTCTCTCTCAAAAATACATACATACAGGGGCACCTGGGTGGCTTAGTCGGTTAAGCGTCCGACTTTTGCTTAGGTCATGATCTCGCGGTTCGTGGGTTCGAGCCCCGCGTTGGGCTCTGTGGTGACAGCCAGTTCAGAGCCTGGAGCCTGTTTCAGAGTCTGTGACTCCCTCTCTCTCTGACCCTCCCCTGCTCATGCTGTCTCTCTATCTCTCTCCTAGAAATAAATAAAACATTAAAAACTTTTTTGACTTTAAAAATACATACATACATACATATATAAACAAACTTTTAAAAATAAAATTGGAGGCGCCTGGGTGGCTCAGTCGTCGAGCGACCAGCTTCGGCTCAGGTCATAATCTCACTGCTTGTGAGCTTGAGCCCCGTGTCGGGCTCTGTGCTGACAGCTCGGAGCCTGGAGCCTGCTTCAGATTCTGTGTGTGTGTCTCTCTCTGTCCCTACCCTGCTCGTGCTCTGTCTCTCTCTGTTTCAAAAATAAACAAACATTAAAAAAATTTTTTTTTTAATGGGGGGGAATTGGGTGGCCCAATTGGTTAAGTGTGCAACTTTGGCTCAGGTCATGGTTCAGTTCATGAGTTTGAGCCCCACATGGGGCTCTCTGCTGTCAGTGAGGAGCCCGCTTGGGATCCTTTGTCACCTTCTCTCTCTGCCCCTCCCCCGCTCATACTCTCATACTCTCTCTCAAAAATAAACATTAAAAAAATTAAATGTAAACCCACAAAATTAGGATATTAATTCAAACTCTGTCTTTAGAAAAAGCCAGTATGTGCCAGCGGGAGGATAAGGTTGTCACCCTGAGGGATTCTCAGAGGCACCCTGGGAGGTTAGGGAGAAACCAGGCCCCAGTGGGCGGCGTCCATCAGCTTGTGTAAGACTTTGGGGATCTGAAACACAGAAGGTTCCACAGTTGCAGAGCTTTAAAAGCTGTTCAGCATCTTGGGTTCTTTGGGAGCTAAGTCACAGGGGCCTGAGCTATTATTGTCCCTCAGATTTATGTCTCCTCGATGGCACTACCCCACACTTGGGAACCACACAGGTATGAGTCACTTTCTGCTACTTAACCAGCAGCTGACCCTTCAGAACTGTTGACTTATAAGAATTTAAGGTTACATGCATGAGAGCGAGGCTGAAGTACGTGGATAAAATAAGAAGCCTAGGAGTCCAAAAGATTTCCTACCTCTACCACAGGTATTAAGGTCCTAACAGGAAGGAGATAACATGCTCAAAATAACCAAGGACTGATTTTAAAGTGTGGGCAAGGGATAGGTCAGTAACAGGAGGTAGTAACAGTCTTGGGCCTGAAAGGATAAAGGGACATATTGGTTGTTCGGAACTGGAAGGAGAGACTGCATTGAGGGGAGCAGTGACCTTTAACCAAAGGATATGGGTAGGCCCAGGGGACCCCAGTGAATGGAACCTGGGAAATCCATATACTGATTTCAGGTTTTGCCTCTCCTCCAAGTAGAATCCAAAGTACAAGGGAGCCCACTGATGAAAGTCATAGCCTCCCAGGACAGAGAAAAAGACAAAGAGGGAGGGGAGTAATCTAGAAGGAAAGACAGAAGCCATCCAGCATACCTAGAGCTGAAGACTCCATCTGTTCTTCACAAGGGAGTGACCTCGTGACTCTCCGTGCTCAAGTACTACTGGCCAGCAACTTTGTGGAGGTGCCTCCTGAATTGGTTCTGGAGCAAAACTGACCTTGAGTTTGTTTAAAAAAAAAAAAAAAAGGCTGCTTGAAGTTACGTTACCTGTGTCTTAACTACCTGCCTGAGGCTGAGTAAGGTTCTATTCCAACTAAAGGACAAATTACAGATGAAAGAACACCAAGAACAATGTTGAAACTGTGGTTTTATTATTTATTTATTTTTAATCTGAGTGAGAGCGAGTGTGGGAAGGGGCAGAGGGAGAGAGAGAAAGAATCCCAAGTAGGCTCCATGCTCAGCACAGAGCATGGGCTTGATCCCATAACCATGGGATCATGAGCTGAGCCAAAATTAAGAGTCAGACGCCCAAACCAACAGAGCCACCCAGGTGTCCCAACTGTGGTTTTAGAAAGTATATATATATTTAAAGCTGAGGGACTCTGGGCAGTCACAATCTGGTTTTTTTTAAATCTATATTCTGAAGATAATATATACCTTGTAAGATAGTATGTTTGTGTATGGGAAGTGTCTGGCTCTGTGGCAGACATGTAGCAAAACGCTAATGCATAGAGGGGCACCTGGCCGGCTCAGTCACTAGAGCATGTGACTTTTTTTTTAAATGTTTATTTGAGAGAGATATAGAGCATGAGTGGGGAGGGGCAGAGAGAGGGAGACACAGAATTGAAGCAGGCTCCAGGCTTTCAGCTGTCAGCACAGAGCCCGATGTCTATGAGGTCTGAAACTCATAGACTGTGAGATCATGACCTGAGCCAAAGTCAGAAGCTTACCCAGCTGAGCGCCTCAAGCATGCAACTCTTGATCTTGGGTTGTGAGTTCAAGTCCCAAGTTGGGTGAAGAAGTTAAAAAACAAACAAACAAAAAAAAACCCCCCCAAAACCCAACCCCCTCACACACAAGAAAACCAAAAACAAAAACCTAAAAGAACTAAAGAAAACCTTAATGCATAGAAGCTGTTATTATTTATAATATTGGCCTCCCTCTCAAACATCACTCCTTATAGTAAGAACTTTCTTAAACTTTAGGACTGGTTATGGGAGCAGAGTGCAGCCCCATGCTTTGCTGAGGGGTGCCTTAACACTTTTAGCATGTGTAAATTGTGTACTGGACATTACTATTAATTTCCCAGTTACCTACTACCATTTTTTTTTAAAGTCCCCTATAGTCATAACAAACTTACTCTATTTACCTATCAGACATCTTGCACAAACCATACATAGCTGTGGTTTTCCCTAAGTTGCTTCCACTTCAACTTTCTCTTGTATTTTCTACCTGCTGATCTTCTTGGAGCAAAGGGCTCCTATTCACAGAGGGAATCTCAGAGGAGTTGCCCTAATGCATGTTTTTCCCCATCCTTTAAGAATATTACCCTTCAGAGAACTCTAGGTCCCTATCCCTCCCATTCCCTTCCCGCTTTCCTGTGCTCCTGATGATTTCTATCACTAGGATTTTAATTCAGCAGGACTTTTCTTTCTTTCTCAAGCCTCAAGTCCCTGCCCTCTTTCTCTCAGCAGAACAAAGGCTGTGTACACCTTTATGAGGTACTCTACCAGATGCACCTTATAATTAATATATATACAGGATCTTTTGACTATATATATATTTACCAAAAAGCAACTACTATCTACGTGCAGCCTAGTACTTGGGAGGTGTTCAATTTCCCAAACACTGACTTGGAGAGCCTTGCCTTGGAGGTTTTACTTGTTGAACACAGATGCTTACATGTCCTTGGCTTTGGCTTTGGTATTACCCTCCCTTATTTAAGAAAGGCATCCTGGGGCACCTGGGTGGCTCAGTCCATTAAGTGTCCGATTCTTGATTTCTGCTCAGTTCATGATCTCATGGTTGTGAGACTGAGCCCTGTGTTGGGCTCTGAGCCAAGCGTAGAGGCTGTTTAAAATTCTCTCTCTCTCTCTCTCTCTGACCCTCTCCCTGGCACTCTTCTCTCTCTCTAAAATTAAAAAAATATATTTTTATTTAAAAAAATTTTTTTAATGTTTTATTTATTTCTAGGAGAGAGAGAGAGAGAGACAGCGCGAGCAGGGGAGGGTCAGAGAGAGAGGGAGTCACAGACTGAAACAGGCTCCAGGCTCCGAGCTGGCAGTCAGCACAGAGCCCGACGCGGGGCTCGAACCCACGAACCGCGAGATCATGACCTAAGCGAAAGTCGGACGCCTAACCGACTAAGCCACCCAGGCGCCCCAAGGATGCCTTTTTTAAAAATATTTTTTTGTGGGCGCCTGGGTGGCTTAGTCGGTTAAGCGTCCGACTTTCGCTTAGGTCATGATCTCGCGGTTCGTGGGTTCGAGCCCCGCGTCGGGCTCTGTGCTGACTGCCAGCTCGGAGCCTGGAGCCTGTTTCAGTCTGTGACTCCCTCTCTCTCTGACCCTCCCCTGCTCGCGCTGTCTCTCTCTCTCTCTCTCCTAGAAATAAATAAAAAATATTATTTAAAAAAAAAAAAAAAAGGCATCCTTACTGCCAGTGGAGCTTTTGAGAACACTGTGCCCAGGATGGGGACTCCGTCTAGCCAGGCAGATGGGTCTCTTCAGCCCCAGACGGCAGTGGTGGGGGTGGGGGGGAGAGCAGGGGGGGCATAGTACAACTGGAAACCTACTTGCATTTACTTAATATGTGTCTTCTGTATTGGACCGAGGTAGCAAAGAAGCACCTTTTTAACCAAGAGTAGCTGAGGAGCCAGCAGAGCAAATGTATTTCCAAGCCTCCTGGAACCTCATGTCCTCCCCTCCCCTCCCCTCATAGCTTAGCATTGACTTTACTCTCACACAAGGCACAGAGTCCTCGCCTGCGATCTGTCCCAGTTGTTTGCTTTTAGGGAAGGGGCTGCGGAACTGACAGAAGGGAGGAAGATGGAAATCTAACAAGCCAGAGTCAAAAGCTCTCTCCATTCTCACTTCAGTCCTTACCTCCGCCTGCTCTGACTGTTAAGAATATCAGCTGAGGAGTAGCTGGATGAGGAAAATGCAGAGGCTCTGAGTGGTTTAGAAGAGACCTCGACAGGGGAAAGAAGAACCCTCCACACCCTCCCCCTGCTCTGCCTTCATTAGCTCAGCTGCACATGAACTCAGCTCAACTTCCTGTTGAGATTTAGCTGTGATCAGGAACGAGATGTAATTTTTGTCCAGGAGATAGAAACATTTTCTTTTTCTTTTTTAAATGTTTTTATTTATTTCTGTGTGTGAGAGAGAGAGAGAGAGAGAGAGAGACAGTGTGAGTAGGGGAGAGTCAGAAAGAGAGGGAGACACAGAATCTGAACAGGCTCCAGGCTCTGAGCTAGCAGTCAGCACAGAGCCTGATGCGGGGCTCAAACCCACGAACCGTGAGATCATGACCTGAGCCGAAGTCGGGCGTTTAACCGACTGAGTCACCCAGGTGCCCCAGAAACATTTTCAATGACACGCTGAAATGGTAAGACTTTGACATTTTATTAAGAAACATCTTATTTTGAAATGATAGTACAAAAATTGTATATATAACATAGATTTGTACAGGGATATATACACACAAAGGCTCACCCACACATACACGTGGTCCTCCTCATCAAAATCAAACCCTATTAAAATCCTAAATTTAAAAAAGAGAAGTATATTTAAGCTTTCCTACAACATACTGTACATAAAGCTGTCAGAAAACCTGAAAAACTGAGGACATTTTCAGAAGAATCTAGGTACCCCCCCCCACCCTCTTTCTCTCCTCCACCAACATGAATGACCTTGGAGGAGGACAGGACACAGGACAAAGCCAGAGAAGGGAGCCGCAGTGTTACCCCTGACTGCTGATAGACCAAGATGCCCGAAAGCAACTGGGAAGCACGGGGATACAGGGTGTGACCTAGATTAACTGTCAAAAACAAACTATTTCAGAATAGACAGAAAATATGTAACAGGGAAGGAGGGGAGTGGAAAGAGGAAAGATAAGGCCCACAGATTAGAAATGACCTATTAATTAAGTATTAATGCCTGGGAAAGGCGAAATGAGATAAGAACAATGGGGTCACAGAAGCAGTAGTTAGAGGGAAGAGGGAGGAGAGAGAGATAGGGAATGACAGTTTCCTGCCATTAACAAGCCAAATTGCTATGGGAGTCTAGGAATGTCACCCCACCCACTAATCCTAAAGAAGCTCCAAGGGCGGGGGGTGGGGGGGTTGGGGGGGGATTCAGCACCAAAGGTTCAAAACTACTTCATTCGAATTCACATCCTTCTTGCTCCTGCTCTCCTGTGAAACACGCTGGCATGGGAAATAGAGACGGATTCAGAAAACATGCATCACATATATCCCGTTCTGAAGCTCCTTTCCTGGCCATACAGAGATGTCTGCACAAGCACTTGGATAAAAACAGACTCCCCACCCCCCGGTGTTCGACTTCGGGAAAGAGTTCACTATATGCCTGTAACCCTCTAGCTCTGGAAGCCCATGATGATGTTTGGGAGAGAGCCACACACGTTCTCTCAAAGCGGTCCTCTCTCAAAGGGGTGAGGCTTCTAAGCTGGGGAAGCGGAGGTACCGAATGGCTGCTCCTCGGGGCCGTGGCCCCTTCATCCAGGGCTTCTTTCCTGCATGGAGCTGTAAGGAAGTCTACAAGTGCCAGTCGAAAAGCCTACCTGCCGCCTGGGGAGTGGCAAGGGGTCTGGCGCTGCAGGAGGGCGGCCCCACCCCTACCCTGCCCCACCGCACAACTCACAACTCGGTTCACACAACTGGCTCTGTAGGGCCGGACACTGGCTCTCCTTAGGGCTCCGCTCACAGGGTTTCTCATCATGTCCATTAGAGCACCTCTCAGACAAGGGCCCAAGTAAGGCCCTTTCTTCTTCAGCCCCTTTCATGAAGCCGCAGAAACCCCCTCTAATGTGTTTAATGAAATGGAAGTATTTCCAGGTTATGCCAGGCACTTTACAGTGGAACCTCAAAGAAACAAAGAGAAAGGTGGGAACATCCGTACGTATCTATAAATGTACACATGGATACACACCCAACAAAGGGGTTTTAAACAGGCCCTGGTCACAGAGCCCTCTGGTAAATTTATTTCTTTTACATCAATATAAAGAAAAGAAGTCATTCTGCATGCCATAGATTTCTAACAGTACTGAGCAGACACAAAATGTTAATAATTCAACGGTAAGGCTGAAGAAGGGGCAAATGCGACACTAACGAGAACTACACATGGCTCTGACAGAGAAAAAGAACATCTTTTAAGGCACTAGGTTCAAAACATAGAAATCCTAAAGTCAAGTTCTCCCGGACTTCCATTAAGAGACCTCAACTCCGGCATTACAATGAAGAGATCCCACAGAGGTAGTGATGGGAAGGAGTGTTCGTTTATAGATTTATAAGTAACTTCCCTGAAGCCAGGAACAAGACCAGAAATGTTAAGGTTTCTTTCTTTCTCTCTTTTGGGGGAAGGCTTAAGACCTAAATCTAATGTCGAGTCTACAATTCATATATTAATACTGATACTGTTTAAGCAGCTTTAAGGTGGCAATCATACTGGGCTCCAGGTTTCTCCACCTAAGTACCAACTCTGAATGCTGGAATGTTATTTGATTCTCTGTAATCGAATCTTGCCAATAAACCAGTTGAATCCCCCAACCCAGAGGATCTAGCTACGTTTTCCCAACATCCATTGCTGATCCAGAAAGATATGCAAAATCGTAAAATGGCATTGCCGTAAATGCACTTAATATTTAACTTCTAACTACCTCAAGCGATCCTGACCTACCATTCTCTCCAAGGCGATACAACTGGAGATCAAATCCTATTTCCTTTCCTTGGGATGCTACAATGTGTATTTCAAGTAAATAACAACAAATACCTTTTTGCTACCCACCCCTTTCCAGACATTTCCCTTTACTCTTTCCCTGTCCCAACTCCCTATCTCAGAGACCCCACCATCAACAACGACTATATTAAAGATTTTTATAGGTTGAGAATGATCGCCTCCTACAGAAAGAGAATAATAAGAATTCTAAACAGTTCCCCAAAGCAATAAGGCCTCTAGGCTCACCAGGCAGTGCTGGATGGCAACTCCCGCCCCCAGTCAGAAGCTGCCCCAAGGAGTGAGGTGGCTGGGCCTGGATATCCTCTGGGGAATTAGCCTCCACCCCCTTCACAGAAAAGGAGGGGAGGGGAAGGAATTAAAGTCAATATATACACAAAGAACATACAACAAATCTGAAATGGTGCTCGGTCCCTCCATCCCTGCTGCTAAGCCAAGGCTCTGCGAAGGCACACGACAGCAGTTTATTGTTAGCACCTGGCTCACAAGGGGGCTCAGAGAAAAGAAAAGGATCACAAGCAAAAAAAATAAAAAAGAAAGAAAGGATGGTGTGACAGCAGATGGCACCATTTTACCCTCCCCCTGGCCTGTGCTCCTCCACTGCACTCACTCCATCGTGCCCCCAGACCCAGGGTTAGCTCTGAGTCCCTGGAGAAAACCCAGTCATGGTGGCCAGTAGCCAAGATTCATTTCAAAGCTGGTATTTTTGCCCATAAGCCTCTAATAGCCAATTCTGTTCGCTAAATCTGGTTTGGGGAGTTATGTTTTCCGTCTATTTTGAGCCCCAAGTGATTCTGCACCTCTGGAAAACTGCAGCAAATTACTTCACTAATCAAGGTAAACAGAGCCATGTTAACCGTCAAGTTTTATTCCAAATTAAAAATGTATGTTTTCCCCATGATCGCTAATTAAGAAAACCGTATTCTAAACAGTCATTCAAATGTTTACTTGGCACATCTCCCTCTGGTTTCTTCTTCTAATTTACAATAAAGCAAGCAAGCAGGTCGAGAATGATGACGGCCCAATTTCAAAAGCAGTAACTTCTGTAATGTAACCTCTCCACAACCTCTCTCACTCTCTCTCCAGCCATCAACCCTTTCTTTTTTTTTTTTGAGGGGGGGAGCAAACGTCCAAACTGGCACACAAAGGAAACCCAGCAATGAACCGCTTTCAATAGCACGGAGGCAGAGGGAGCAGGCACAGGGGTAGAGAGGGGAGTCGGGCAGACAAAGTTCTCAGGCTGAAACTCCTGGGTCCTTACTTCATGGCACCTCCGTTTTTCACTCCCTCTGACACACACACACCGAGCACCGAAAAGGCACACAAGCCCTGCGCGGGGCCTGACCTTCAGGAAGCAGGACACGTTACTCATCTGAAGTCAAACAGAAACAAAATTCCACCGACACCCTCAGCACCCACCTCTCTGCCTTCTTTTTTTGCAAGTAAGAGGCTACCATGTAAACTCCACAGAAAGGCACGCTTCGAAAATGCCACAACATTTTACAAAATGAAAAAGTTGGTATTAAACCGTGGTATCATATAAATACACGTTTGGAAGCAAGTTGTTCTAGCAACAGACGGCCCTCCTGATGGTGATTCTATGAAGTCCAGCCAGAGCAAAGTTTGTACCTCGGGCCCAGATGGCTTCACAACCCCACAGGCTCTCTGGACACCTTCCAGCGCTGGGAGCACAGCCTGGAGGGTTCTGGACTGACATACACTTCTCCCCCATGAACATGTTTTCTTTCCTTTCCAGTTTTCAAATATTCCACTTCAGTGTCTTCAACTGACATCTGAACTATGGACACGTACTGGATGCAGGGTTTGTGAGGCAGCTGCCGGTTTCTTTCAGGGGGAGTGAGCTCGGGCGGGGGGGGAGCGGCTGCTCCTTTGGGAGTGGGATAGGTTTCCTTCTCTCCCCAAAGCTTGCTCCTCACCCCTCCCAGGTAGTCGTCTTCTCCACCCGGTACGCATAAACCGAAAGCAAATTATAAGGTCACTTGGTGGTACGACTATTAAAGGCCCTATGTGTGTTCACACTAGGAATGTTATCTTAAAATCTTCTGACAGAAAGTTATTTAAAAAAAAAATCAACCCACAATACTCAGCACTCTTTTACCTCGAAGCTTAAAAATGATGTGAGCTGGAAATTTGGTCCTTATTCTCTTGGTCTCTCAGAAGAAGTGTTCCCCTAAATTTGGCTTTGAATTTTCCAGTTGCATAGAGGCCTCCTGAGTCCGAGCACTGGACCCCGATATGGTTTTCTTCCTTAGGACATTCTTAACTTTTAGACGCTGTGTGTCCCCTGTATTTTCTTTTAAAAAGAGGGAAGAGACGGACACAGTACATGTTGTGGCCCTCGCATGTTAAGATGACACGGTTTCCATGGAAACTCCAGGATGTGGCTCTGCCGTCCCCCCTGCCCCGGTTACTTCCGTCTCTCCCTCGGCAACTACAACGGCATCGACTGCCGCCGCCTCTTCGACCACAGTGAGGTCAATCCCGTTGGGCTGCTGGCGGGCCATGGCCTCCAGCCGCAGGCGGTACTGCTCTGCCTCCTGCTCCTTCCTCAGGAGCCGGTGCCGGTACTCCTGAGCCCTGCGATTGGCCTCCTGGAGCTGCTGCTGGAGGAGCTCTCGCTCGGCACCTCCCTGGAAAGGAAACCGGTCACCTGCAGGTAAGACCTCCCGACCCCTGATTATGTAGGGAGGGGACAAAAATGTAAAGGGGGGTTCAGGCCTCCAGAGTTCTGCCTTCTGGGTCTTTCCCTTGTCCTCTCTGTCCCACTCCTACACGCGTTACCTTGCCTTCCTCCGCACCGGCTGTCGTCTCTTCTGTCCTCGGTTTCTTAGTCAGCGGCAACTTCTCTGCATCTTCGTCCTCTTCTGCTTCAATCACAGTCTCTTCTGCAACCTGACCAGCAGGTACAGTTAGAACTACAAGCCAAAGCACATCAATGGGAGGTGATGAATACAGAGCGAAACAAAGAGGTGTTGCTTGCTTTAAAGTTTTTTTTTTTTATTTCTTTTGAGAGAGAGAGAGAGAGAGAGAGAGAGAGAGCAAGCAGGGGAAGGGCAGAGAAAGGGAAGAAAGAGAAAATCCCAAGCACGTTCCGCACGGGCAAGCACCTCACTGACTCCTACTGCTTGCTTTAAATTAGAAAATAAACTAAAATATGTTATCTGAAATCTTATTGTTCATATCTCTTTGGATTGTAGAATCAATAGGTAAAGCATGGCCTTAAAGAGAGAAACAGAAAGGATTAGAGGAGCAAGTTTGGAAGCCATGCAGTTAACGCTTAGGTCTGAAGCTCTTATATAAAGATGTCTAACTCTAGGTTAGAAGCTATGGCTAGTAAGCTTATAATTCTTTGTTGTTGTTTTTTTAATCTTTATTTATTTTTGAGAGACTGGGAGGGAAGGGCAGAGAGAGAGGGAGACACAGAACCCGAAACAGGCTCCAGGCTGAGCTGTCAGCACAGAGCCCAATGCGGGGCTTGAACTCACAAACGGTGAGATCATGACCTGAGCTGAGGTCAGATACTTAATCAACTGAGCCACCCAGGCACCCCAGCTTACAATTCTTTAGGAGTGACTTGGCTAAAGAAGGCCTGATGTCTTTACATAAGATTTTTAAGAAACTTCACATGGAAGCAGTTTGCTATTCCCTGTGTCTAATTTACTTAGATACTTATAGATAAGTGAGAGAAGGGTCAACACACACATCACGCACTACACATCTATCGGTATGGCTAGAATTTTAAAAATAGTGAAAACACCAGATGCTGATGAGGATGCGGAAAAAGTGGATTATTCATAAAATTGCTGGTGGGAATGTAACATGGTACAGTCACTCTAGAAAACAGTTTGGCAGTTTCTTACCAAACTGCACATGCACTTACCATGCAACCCAGCAACTGCACTTTTGGGCATTTATCCCAGAGAACTGAAAATTTATGTTCCCATAAATCCTGCACAGTACTGGTCATAACAGCTTTGTTCATAGATAGTCCAAAACTAGCAACATCTGAAATGTCCTTCAATGAGTGGTTAAACTCCATACCAAGGACACTATTTAGCAATAAAAAAGAATGAAGTACTGATACCAACAGCAACCTGGATAGCTTTTAAGGGAATTATGTCGAGAGAAAAAAAAAAAAACACCACCAATCTCAAAAGGTTATATATTACATGATTCCGTTTATATAATATTCTTTTTTAAAAAAAAATTATTTATTTATTTAGAGAGAGACAGAGAAGCAAGTAGGGGAGGGGCAGAGAGAGGGAGAGAGAGAGAATCCCAAGCAGGCTCTGCATTCTCGGTGTGACGTGGGGCTTGAACTGCGGGATCATGACCTGAACGGAGGCCAAGAGTTGGACCCTTAATCGACTGAGCCACCCAGGCGCCCCTATAATGTTCCTGAAGTGACAAAAGCATAGAGGTAGAAAACAAAGGAGTTAGTGGTTGCTGGGGGTAAGAAATGGGGTGGGAAGGTGGGGCGGGGCGGCTGTGGACATAAAAGTAGCCCAAAGGACCCTTGTGAGAGAAGTGTTCTCTGTCCTGACTGAGGTGCTCCCCGCACAGATCTACACAGATATTATCCCGCATAGAACTCAGTATATACACAGATGCACAAATGACTGGGTATAAAACTGGAAAACAATCTCAATAAGGTTGGTGTACTGTATCAATGTCAATTTCCTGTGTTATTGCACTATTGCACAATGTTACCAACGGGGGAAGCTGGGGGATAGGTCCCCTGAATCTCTCTGCATTATTTCTTACAGCTGTACATAAATCTACAATGATCACAAAATAAAAAAGCTTAAAATTCTACTTAGGTTTTAGGGTACCCTATGATTTTTGTTTAAAATGGAAGATTTACCTAGTTATTTGGTTTGGTTGATTTAAAAATCAGTTTGTGGGGCGCCTGAGTGGCTCAGTTGTGAAGCACCTGACTTCGGCTCAGGTCATGATCTCACAGTTTGGGAGTTCAAGTCCCACACTGGGTGAGCTCGAGCCCCAGTTTGGGTAAAACACGAGCTCTGCTTCTCTCTCCTCTCTCTCTCTGCCCCTTGTGGGATTCTCTCTCTCTGCCCACACTCTCTCACTTGTGACCCCCTCCAAATACAATACAATACTATGAAAGTTAGCTTGTTTTCCTTGGGCACTCATCATCAGGTGATGGCAATAGAAATCTGCTAAGTGGAAAAAGCACTTCAGTCTGGGTTTTTTAACTTTCTGCAGATAATTCACAAAATCTCAGCTGTCTGTCTTTGTGCCTGGTTAAATACACTTGTAAAAAGCAGTGTCGTTCATCCAGGCAAAACCTCAAAAAAAATTTTCCCTTTGAAACAAATCCAATCTCATTTATTTAAACTCCATTATAAGCAGAGTCTCTCACCCACCCAGTAAGGCCCCCAAAGCATTAAATGGTGATCATGTTCACAAAAACATCAATCATATATTTCCATATAAAACTATTAAGAATTTATGATACCAAAACTTGGATTATAAAGGTTTAATTCCTATTCTTTCTTCCTATACTGCAGAGATTCACCAATTTAAACAGTATGAAATTTATAAAATTCCCATTATTTAGGCCAAGTCAAAATTTTGGTGACTCAAATGTAATAAACAAACACTTCAAACTCCAATTTTTTTTTTAAGTAGGCTTCACTCCCAGCACAGAGCCCAACATGGGGCTTGAACTCACAACCCTGAGGTCAAGACCTGAGCTGAGATCAAGAGTTGGACGCTCAACTGACTGAGCTCCTAAACTCCAATATTTTTAAGAAATGAAGTTGTAATGATTAGTTTCTTTCTCTTCAAAAAAATTTACTGATATATTTCTTGAAGAAGTAACACATTCATATGTTCAAAAATTAAAAGCTTAAAGGATATATAATGAAAAGCCTCCCATCCATCCCCAAGTACTGTCTCAGGAGGCAACCAATGTTATCAATGTTATTGTTAAAAAAAATTTTTTTTATGTTTTATTTATTTCTGAGAGAGAGAGAGAGACAGTGTGAGCACGGGAGGGCAGAGAGAGAGGGAGACAGAGAGTCTGAAACAGGCTCCAGGCTCTGAGCTGGATGTCAACACAGAGCTCGATGCAGGAACCCACGAATCATGAGATCATGACCTGAGCCAAAGTCAGACGCTCAACTGACTGAGCCACCCAGGCGCCCCAATCAATGTTATTCTTGAACATTCTTCCAGAGATGGTCTAAGTCTATGAATATATTAGCAAGTATACATAGATCTCCCCCTTTTTAAAAATACAAATATAGTGTATTCTACACACTGTCCTGCATCTTGGGGCTCTTGTAAATTCACAGTACAGTTTGGAGATAAGGTCAGGCTGGTACTTAAGGCATTTCCTCATTGTTTTTAAATAGCTGCATAGTATTCCAATGTATGGGTGTAACAGAATTTCTTTATCCAGTTCCCTACTGATGTATACTTAGGTTGTTTTAATTTTTCATTTTCATTTAAAAAAAATTCTGTTTTTCTTTTTATTAGAGGCACCTGGGTGACTCAGTTGGGCAAGCCTCCAACTCTTGATTTTGGCTCAGGTCATGATCTCACAGGTTGTGATCAAGCCCCAAGTTGGGCTCTGCACTAACAAAGTGGAGCCTGCTTGGGATTCTCTCGTTCCCTCTCTCTCTGCCCTTTCCCCACTCATGCTCTCTCTCAAAATAAATAGACATTAAAAATGAACAAATAAATATATATATTTTTTAAATTTAGGGGCACCTGGATGGCTCAGTTCATTAAGCATCCAACTATTTTTTTAATGTAAATATTTATTTTGAGAGAGAGAACGTGTGTGCGCACGGGGGTGCGGGGGTACAGAGAGAGGGGGAGAGAGAATCCCAAGCAGGCTCTACACTGTGCCCAGAGCCCAACGTGGGCTCCATCCCGCGAACTGTGAGATCATGACCCAAGCCCAAACCAGGAGTGGACACAACTGAGCTATCCATTTGCCCTGAGCATCCAACTCTTGATCTCAGCTCAGGTCTTGGTCTCAGGATTGTGAGCTCAAGGCCTGTGTTGAGTTCTGTGCTGGATGTGAAGACTAATTTAAAACGAAAAAAAAAGGAAAAATGTTTGAGTACAGTTGACAGATAATGTTACATCAGTTGCAGGTGTACAACACAATGATGCAACTTTCCTATACACGGTGTTACATTCACCACATACAGCTACCATCTACTTAGGTTCTTTTTAATCTTCAATGATTACTAATGCTGTAATTAATAGCTTAGTATATATTTCACTTCTCTGTGTATGAATATATATTCTTACAAAATAACTTTTTAGTCAAAAGGTATGGGTATCTTTAATACTGACAGATACTGAAGCCTGTTCTTTAGAGAATACATTAAATTACACTCTAACCAATGATTTTTTTTTTAAGATTAAAAAAAAATTTTTTTTAACATTTATTTTTGAGAGACAGAGATATAGAGCATGAGCAGGGGAGGGCAGAGAAGGGGGAGACAGAGAATCCAAAGCAGGCTCCAGGCTCTGAGCTGTCAGTCCAGACCCCAATGCGGGGCTCCAACTCACGAATCAGGAGATCATGACCTGAGCTGAAGTTGGCCGCTTAACTGACTAAGCCACCCAGGCACCTAGGATTTTAAGTATTCTCTACACCCAACATGGGCTCAAAGTTACAACTCCGAGATCAAGAGTCCCATGCTCCACCAACGGAGTCAGCCAGCGATTTATAAGAGTGTTTATTTTGGGGCCCCTGGGTGGCTCAGTCGGTTAGGTGTCTGACTTCGGCTCAGGTCATGATCTCATGGTTCATGAGTTTGAGCCCCACATGGGGCTCTGTGCTGTCATTGTAGAGCCCACTTCGATCCTCTGTCTCCTTCTCTCTATGCTCCTGCCCCGCTCACACTCCCTCTCTCTCTGAAAAATAAACATTAAAAAAAAAGTTAAAAGTGCCCGTTTCCCCACACCTTTGACAACACTGTTCTAATGGTATCTCAGTGCAGTATTACATTGCATTCTCTTGCTATATATGAAGTAGGTTGAACATATTTCCATATTTTAAGAACCATCAGTATTTTCTATGAACCATTGGTTCATATTATTTCCTCTTTTTTCTATCAGATTATTGACAGATTGATCAGATTATTGGCTTTTACTCACAAATTTTATATATAGTAGGGAAATTAGGCTTTGCCAGCCTGATTTCTGTTTTTCCTTCTATGTTGGAGCATCTTTGCCCAATCTGGCATCTGGCATTCTCCTAGTCCCACCACTTGCTTTAATGCCTCATTTTTAGAAGAATGTGGAGTGTCTGAAATACCTTTTAGTAGGCATTTGTCTAAATGGGATAACTCACCTTGCTGTCCATCTTGCATAGTTACAATGAATGGCTGGCCGATGCTTCCAGGAGGGACTGCAGTCTGGATATTACCCAGGGGGACTCCATCAGTCACTATGGTGATGACCCTTTGGCCTCCACTCCCCACCACTTGCTGGATTGATGAGTCAACAGAATGTCCCTCTATGATTTCCTCTGCATTAGCTACAGATGACAAAAGCGAATTTGAAATTTCAGCTTTTTAAAATTTAAAAAATTTTTTTATTATTTTTTTATTTTATTTTTTACAAATAGTTTATTATCAAATTAGTTTCCACATAACACCCAGTGCTCATCCCCACAAGTGTCCTCCTCCATGCCCCTCCCCCCTCCCCCCCCACATCCATCAGTCCTCAGTTTTTGTCAGCATTCAAGAGTCTCTCATGGTTTGCCTCTCTCCCTTTCCCCCACCATTTCTCCCCTTCTTCTCCCCCTTGCTCCTCAGTTAAGTTCCTCCTAATCCTCCTATACGTGCAAACATATATTTGTCCTTCTCTGCCTGACTTATTTCGCTCAGCATAACACCCTCAAGGTCCATCCATGTTGCTACACATGGCCAGATTTCATTGTTTCTCATTGCCATGTAGTATTCCATGGTATAGATAAACCACATCTTCTTGATCCATTCGTCCGTTGATGGACACTTAGGCTCTTCCATGTTTTAGCTATTGTTGAGAGTGCTGCTATGAACTGAAATTTCAGCTTTTTAAAAAATAGGACTTTAACAATTTCAGCCTCCTTGAAATTGATAATAAATATCAGGGATGGGAAAACTTTAAAAAAGAAGTTCAATTCAACAGTTTCTAAAGCAAGCTCTTGTGAACAATGCTAAGTCAGAGGAGAAAAGAAAATAGTGAATGCTTTATAACGTATTTTCTAAAATGTCTTCATTGAGATGTTAATAGCTTTCACTAAGGATGGGCCCTATGCAGAAATGCATTTTCAAAATGCCAGTTTAAATACGCTTAAATTTTTTGTTTGTTTTGTAAGAAGTATTAAACCCCACCAGGCTAATGAGCATTGTGATTCTCCAACCGGGGTAAGATATGCTGAGTTTCCCCAGCGTAGCTGATCATAGAATTCTTTTTTCAGAAAGCATCTTGAAAGTCTAAATAAACCTATGGAGCTTAGAAAAATAATTATAAATTAGAGTATATCTATTTCTGTAAGGAAACGGAGGTATTTAATAGTGAATTAACAAAACAGTCAAAGCACTGAAGAAGTCTGATATAGACAAATGGTAGGTAGCTTCTCCTATCTGACAGATAAACAAGAATATCAATAGCAACTAACACCGACTACATACAGAGTAGCCAGGTACCTTTTTAAGAGCTTTATATATATTATGTTAAATCAAGGTATTCATGGGGCACCTGGTGGCTCAGTCAGTTAAGCATCCAACTTTGGCTCAGGTCATGATCTTAGTTTGTGGGTTCAAGCCTTGCATCAGGCTCTGTGCTGACAGTACAGAGCCTGCTTCAGAGCCTCTGTCTACCTCTCTCTGCAACTCCCCCACTCACACTCACAAGCTCTCTTTCTTTTAAAAATAAATGAAGGGGAAAAAAATAAAAATAAACGAAGGGGCACGTGGTTGGCTCAGTCGGTTGAGCGTCCGACTTTGGCTCAGGTCATGATCTCATAGTTTGTGGGTTTGAGCCCCGCGTCAGGCTCTGTGCTGACAGCTCAGAGCCTGGAGCCTGCTGCAGATTCTGTGTCTCCCTCTCTCTCTGCACTTCCCTGCTCATGCTCTATCTCGCTCTCTCAAAAATAAATAAATGTAAAAAAAATAATAAAAATAAATAAATGTTTAAAAAATGGCTAAGATGGTAAATTTAGGGATGCCTGGGTGGCTCAGTCAGTTGAACATCCGACTTTGGCTCAGATCCTGATCCCATGGTTCAAGAGATCGATCCCCATGTGGGGCTCTGTGCTGATGGCTCTATGCTGATGGTTCGGAGCCTGCTTTGGGTTGTCTGTCTTCCTGTCTCTCTGCCCCACCTGCTCTCTCTCTCAAAAATAATAAACATTTAAAAAATTAAAATATAAAAATAAAATAAAATTTAAGATATTCAGTTTGGTAATTAAAAGGTGAGGTGTGGGGGGGTTAGTGCCTGGCTGGCTCAAGAGCATGACTCTTGATCTTGGGGTGGTGAGTTTGAGCTGCACATTGGGTGCAGAAATTACTTAAATAAATAAGGCTTAGAAAAGATTTTCCGTTTGGTTGGTCAATATCCCTAGTAACTATTAGGGAAGAGAGTTCTCACCACTATGGAATTTCTCTATCTGAGTTAAAGGTAAACTTTGCACGAAGTGCAGTAAGGACTATCCACATGAGACACAGGTAGCTAAATGGAAATAGAGCACTGACATCTCTTAAAACAAAGAACAGTTAAATGTTATGGCTAAAAGAGCTTCGACAGATAATCTGATCCAACCATCCAACCTCAGCCAGACGTGAGGAGATCTGGAGAAGTTAAGTAATTTATTCAATCAGAAAGCAAATCAAGGGCACCTAGGTGGCTCAGGCGGTTAAGGAGCCGACTTTGACTTTGATTCATGGGTTCGAGAACTGGGTTGGGCTCTGTGCTAATAGCTCAGAGCCTAGAGCCTGCTTCGGATTCTGTGTGTGTGTCTCTCTCTCTCTACCCCTCCCCTACTCGAGCTCTGTCTCTCACAAATAAATAAACGTTAAAAAACTAAAACAAAAAGAAAAGCAAATAATTAACATATTGTTTTCCCTCTTCCATGATGCATGTTCATACGTGTCTGAACAGAGACCTTTATGACTGCTGCCGGTTGGAAAAATGGGGTTGGAGGAGTGTTCTCACACCCACGTGTCAATGGCAGGAAGAAGACAGAAAAACTCACTCCCATTACAGCGGAGCAGACCCCCAGAGGGCTACCGAGGTTCCCACACGACCGTTCGGCCTCGCCTAGAGCTCTGCCCCCAGCTTTATGAAGCTCTGTGCCTTTTCCCCATAGATTACTAGCTCCGGCTGCGTGACCTGAAACCTCTTTATTTTAAATATTAGAAGGGTACCATACAGCATATGTGGCTCAACTCCATGAGAAATGCCAAAATATCGGGGCATCTGGGTGGCTCAGTTGGTTAAGCATACGACACACGATCTCACGGTTTGTGAGTTCAAGTCCTGTCGTTGGACTCTGTGCTGCCACAAAGCTTCAGATTCTGTGTCTCCCTCTCTCTCTGCCCCTCCCCCACTCGTGCTCTGTGTCTCTCTCTCTCTTTCTCTCTCAAAAATAAACATTAAAAAAAATAAGAAATGCCAAAATAAGAGCTCCAGTGAAAATGAAAGGAAGCCACCCTTGAGTATGCAGGACATGACGAGAGAGGTAGCAGTCCTACGTATTTTGATGCTTTAATAAATACAACATATCTCAGCTGCTATTCTGAATCATTCTATGATAGCGTCAGTCAAAACAGAACATAGAGTATTTCCCAAATAATGTGTTAACAGAAGACTAAACATTTCAATCTGAAGCAACCAGAGTCAGGGCAAACAGACTCGGGACTGCAAAATACAAAGAAATAACTTGGACGTTCTCTAATATTATCCGGCCACCTGAATGTATCGCTTAGTCATCTTTCTTTCTGATGCTCAATGACTCTACATGCCTCTTTCCTAGATAGCTCTAATTAACAATAACTCTTTAATATTTCATGCAAATTAAATCTGCTGGAAATGTAAAACAAAAGAGAACTGGTGATTTAGGGTGTCTGGGCAGCTTAGTCAGTTAAGTGTCCAACTTGGTTTTGGCTCGGGTCATGATCTCACAGTTCGTGAGATTGAGGCCCTTGCTGGGCTCTGTGCTGACAGCTCAGAGCCTGCTTGGGATTCTCTTTCTCCCTCTCTCACTGCCCCTCCCCCGCTCTCCCTCAAAATAAATACAGTTAAAAAAAAGAAGCAATGGTGGTTCACCCAGCAGACGTCCCTTACCTACCTGTGGCCCTGTGGGGGTTGGAGAGGGGGGCCGATGCCGCAGCGAGAGCTGCAAGGGCGGCCAGCACTGCGGTGCTGGGATTGGACACATGTGCTGCAGAGGAGGGGTGGGGGTCACCTATTTTGGTAAAAAAGGCAAATGAGGTCTGGTGCAGAGAATAAATGGAGATGAACTAAAAACGGTTTTTCTCATCTGGGGCGCCTGGGTGGCTCAGCTGGGTAAGCATCCGACTTGGTTTCAGCTCAGGTCCTTGAACTCATAGTTTGTGGGTTTGAGCCCCGGCATCAGGCTCTGCACTGACTGTGTGGGGCCTGCTTGGGATTCTCCCTCTCCCTCTCTCTCTGCCCCTTTCCTGCTCACTCTCTCAGAATAAACATTAAAAAAAAAATGCCTTTATTAAATCAAAACCTCAGCTTTTCCTTCCTTTGCTCTCCAATACAAACTGATATAAACCAATGTTCATGGTATTAACACTCTTGCAAGGCTTGGAAAGTCTTTCCTTCAAAGTGGATTAAGGTAACATGCGTGGTACTGGGCCACTAGGTTCCCCACCCTGGCTCATCCTCTCGGCACTGCCAGTGCCAGGCGTCCGTAGCCAGCAGACCAAGAGTGGTGCCCGCTCCCCCAGCTGGTGGTACAGAGCGGCCCCGGGCAGTGGGCACACGGAGCAGACTCCACTACGCTATGCGCTGCGGGGGTAAGAGTCCTGCCCGGGCTTCACTGAACCACACTACCTCCATGCCTCCGCCAGACAGGTGAGAAGCGGAGGACTGGCCTCCAACTGTGAGATCGGTTACAAACGGGCCATTTCACTTACTGAATGGCAAACAGCAGTATGACCAATTTGTGCTAAAAAACAATTACTTACTTAGTTATTTCATGATGTACTTAAAAAAAAAAAACAACACTTTGTTCATAACCTTTTCTTCTTTTTTCTGTGCGCTATTCTTACAAGTAAGTTCCAGGAAGAAAGTGCATTAGATCTGGCAACTTCCATGCCTAACCTTATGAACCCAAACTATTCCAGAGGCACTTGGGCGGTTCAGTCAGTTAAGCATCCGACTTTTGACTGTGGCTCAGGTCATGATCAAGACACACATGGGGCTCTGTGCTGACATCAAGGAGTCTTCTTGTGATTCTCTCTCGTTCTGCTCCTCCCTGGCTCGTGTTTATGTTAATAAATACACATTTTATTTTATTTATTTATTTTATTTCTAGGAGAGAGAGACAGCGTGAGCAGGGGAGGGTCAGAGAGAGAGGGAGACACAGAATCTGAAGCAGCCTCCAGGTTCTGAACTGGCTGTCAGCACAGAGCCCGATGCGGGGCTCGAACCCACGAACTGTGAGATCATGACCTAAGTGAAAGTCGGACGCTTAACCAACTAAGCCACCCAGGCACCCCAATAAATCAACATTTTAAAAAAGTATTACTTGATAGTTTTGCATAAATCTTTTATAAAATAAATTGCATTTCACTATCTTTCATTATAATTTCAAAGATACTTTTGTGTCAGTTGTGAATTTATTGCTTCTCAGCTCTAAATCCACCCTTTTTTGCCTTACCTTGTCATACTTAAACTGGACCCTTATCAATATTTCTTGACAATTAGCATGAAATTAAGTTTTGTCCTTAGATGGAGTTTCTGCTCCCTAAATTGGCTATTCTGGTATTCTTTAGAGCTCTCCTCGCATCTAGTAGTCAATCCACTATTACTAAGAATTTTTTTTTAAATTATACATGTGTTTAGACATACTTACAAATTATATGTTATATATTATTTTAAAAATTATACAACTAGCCATGTAGTCTAGTCTCCTGACTGGGCTCTGATTGAAATACTTATCTTTTTGTTTTCTTTTATTTTTAAAAAATATTTATTTATTTTGAGAAAGAGAGTGGGGGAAGGGCAGAGAGGGAGAGAGAGAATCCCAAGCAGGCACACGCTGTCAGAGTGGGGCTCAATCTCATGAACCATGAGATCATGACCTGAGCCAAAATGCAAGAGTCAGATGCTCAACAGACTGAGCCACCCAGGTGACCCAGATAAACTTTTCCTCTTTTTTAAATGTACTTTTAACTTTCTTTAAGATTTTAAGTAATCTCTACACCCAATGTGGGGATCAAACTTACAACCCCAAGATCAAGAGTCACAGGCTCTACTGACTGAGCCAGCTAGGGGCCCCAGTACTTTTTTTTTTTTTTTTTTACAATTTTAAAAAGTGTTTTATTTATTTTTGCAAGAGTGCAAGAAGGGAGACAAGTATCTAAAGTGGGCTCTGTCCTGACAGTAGCAAGCCCGATGTGGGGCTCAAACTCACAAATCATGAGATCATGACCTAAGCCAAAGTCGGACACTCAACCGAATGACCCACCCAGGTGCCGCTTCAATGTACTCTTAATTTTTATGTTTTCTCACCATCTATGCTTAAAGATTCTCTCCAGCCTTTTGTTTATCAAAGTGCCAGTTATCTGTAAAATAAAGAAATTCCCACTTAACATTCCTTATAATAAATTCTTCCACAGAGCAAAGAATCCTTTTCTGATATGATTAATGTAGGTAAATTAACTGGTTTATAAATTTAAATTTCAGAAGATTTGCCTTTAAAAGGTGGATTACTTGTACAGTACTCCTAACTGCTATAGATTATCTTCTTTTTAAGTAGGCTCCGTGTCCAATGTGAAGCTTGAACCCACCACCCTGAGATCAAGACCTGAGCTGAGGTCAAGCATTGGACACTCAACTGACTGAGCCACCCAGGTGCCCCTAAACTATCTTCTTTTAAGTTTATTTTTTTAGTAGTCTCTGCATCCAGTATGGGGTGAAAACTCACAACCCTGAGATCAAGAGTTACATGCCCTACCGACTAAGCCACCTGGGCACCCCAGCTACAAATGATCTTACTCAAAGCTTTTGGATGATGACGGTGGCAGTGGGTAATTAGGGTGGAGACAGTATTGATAACCCTGTTTTATTTTAATCCTCTCATAAAACATTCAGGGAAGGAAACAGCCTGAGTGGAACACAGAGTGCCTGACCTCCAGAAAAGAATCTACGTCTATCCAATGATTTCATGTAGAGCAAGATCCAGCTATATTCTCTAGTGTTCCCACTAAATGAATGCTTTTCCCATCACCCAACTTACCATACCAAACACTGACATAAAAATTCACAGATGAGGGGGTGCCTGGGGGGCTCAGTCAGTTAAGTGTCCAACTTCGGCTCAGGTCATGATCTCATGGTTCATGGGTTCGAGCCCTGCGTTGGGCTCTGTGCTGACAGCTCGGAGCCTGGAGCCTGCTTCAGATTCTATATCTCCCTCTCTCTCTGACCCTCCCCTGCTCACTCTCTCTCAGAAATAAATAAAAAACATTAAAGAAATTCTAAAAAAAGTGATTCACAAATGAGGGGGTGCCTGGATGGCTCAATGGTTTAAGCATCTGGCTTTGGCTCAGGTCATGATCTCATGGTCTGTGAGTTCGAGCCTCGTGTCAGGCTCTGTACTGACAGCTCAGAGCCTACAGCCTGCTTCAGATCCTGTCTCCCTCCCTCTGTTCCTCCCCCGCTCACACTCTCTCTCTGTCTCAAAAATAAACATTAAAAAAAAAAAACCTCACAAATGAAACAAGGAACGATTTTTAGATATATATATAGTAAAACCAGAATTGTAAGTTGTTCTGTGAGTGTCCCACAAGACCAGCAAACATTTCTTTTTTTTTTTTTTTTTTTTTATTTCTAGGAAAGAGAGACAGAGACAGCGTGAGCAGGGGAGGGTCAGAGAGAGAGGGAGACACAGACTCTGAAACAGGCTCCAGGCTCTGAGCTGGCAGTCAGCACAGAGCCCGACGCTGGGATCGAACCCACGAACCGCGAGATCATGACCTAAGTGAAAGTCAGACGCTTAACCGACTAAGCCACCCAGGCGCCCCATGACCAGCAAACATTTCTAATAAATTTTCACTTGGTAAACAAGTGATGTCTTGCAATAGGAGCAGTATGTGACACCAAATGTCACATGATCACAACTGAGCCAATGGGTCTCCTCTCTCCCTCTCTCTCTTTCTCTCCGTTGCTTGCTCGCTCGCTGCGGGATTGTGGGTGATTATCTCCCATGCTCAGATGCTTGGTCTTAGAGGCGGTATTTGGCAGAAACCAGTGATGTTTCAGAACATTGGAAGGTGCCCACAACTGGCACTAGTGTGGACAGTCCTTTGCTCTTCCCTGCAAGAGTGAGCTTGGGAAGGCTTTGCTGCATTCTAGGTCAGAATGCCTGCAGACATAGACCCTTTCCTCTGCTGCCTTATTGCCAGTTACATTAAATACAGTAACAAGAGTTTATGAATACTGTACTATAGTCAACACTGTAGATGTATACAATGGCCCCCATGCAGTAAAAGATCCCATTGAGCCAATGGAAGGCAGTGATTCCATTAGTGATAATGAAAGTCGTCCTACACATTAACCCTCTTCTCTCTTGTCTCCCTCACACCAGCCATGATGATTTTCAAAGGGAAGCACAGGTTAACGTGTTTATTTTTCTTTATATTTTGTATTTTCTTTATTAAATTGTATTACAGTAATATAATCATTTTTATATGAATATTTTGGGGTTGTAGAATGAATTATCTGAGTTTCCAGTATTTTATTTTTTTATGTTTATTTTTGAGAGACAGAAACAGAGAGAGAGAGAGAGCATAAATAGGGGAGAGGCAGAGAGAGAGGGAGACACAGCATCCAAAGCAGCCTCTGGGCTCTGAGCTGTCAACACAGAGCATGACATGGGGCTCAAACCCATAAACCACGAGGTCATGACCTGAACTGAAGTCAGACACTTAACCAACTGAGCCACTCAGATGCTCCTCCAGTATTTCTTATGGGGAAATTCTCTTTGATATACAAATGTTTTGGATTATGAGCATGTTTCCAGAATTAATTATGCTCCCAAACCAAGGTTTTACTATATATATATCTCTCTCTATATATACATATAGATATATATAGTAAATACTATATATGTTTATATAAATACTATATACATATATATACTATCCTCGAGGAGGGTAGAATATATATGACAATAGTCACTAGCAATCCAAAAACAGAGTTATCATTTTATGACAGTTAACACACACACACACATACACACACATACACACACACAGCTGTTATAATTAAAGTTCAAGTAGGCCAAATCTCACATAGGTCACTCAGCTAAAGTAGGAGAGCTGGGTAAAACTGCTTCTTGAGAAAGCATTATATACTTTTCAGTACATGATGATACCAGGCTAAGGGTATTCTCCCTTTGATTAATAACTCACCCAACTCTACTCAACAGCAAAATGAAGAAAGAACATTTGTGAAAAATTGGGTTTAGTATTCTGACATGTATAGTTGAAACTGAAAAGAGATACTAGTTATCTCTTTAGACTTATCCCAGTGAATTCTAGTAAAACAAGGTCCTTTACTGTTAAACAACATTGTGGGGCACCTGGGTGGCGCAGTAGGTTAAGTGTCCAACATCAGCTCAGGTCATCATCTCACGGTTTGTGAGTTTGAGCCCCGCGTCAGGCTCTGTGCTGACAGCTCAGAGCCTGGAGCCTATTTTGGATTCTATGTCTCCGTCTCTCTCTGACCCTCCACTGTTCACGCTGCCTCTCTCTCTCTCAGAAATAAATAAAACATTAAAAATTTTTTTTAAATAAAAAAAATTAAAAACAAAAAACAATATTGCTTCTTTCTCCTCAATATAAGACCCAACATCAAAGAATGTAAAATCTGCATGGATGCTGTTGCTTTCAAACGAAATGACATTATCAATGAGTACTCTCGTTACCAGTTCAGAATGTGGCTTAGACAAACTTTTCATTTGGGGGAGTGTGCTGTGCTAAGCTAGGCAATTTCAATGAGCTGGTAAAAACCAGATCCATAAAAACTAAATAACTTGCCCAGGTCACACAGGTAGTAAATGTCAGAGCTCAGATTAGAATGCAATTCATTAGATTCCAAAGACTGTACTCCTTATGCACCAATACAAAGTTATTTATATTTGGCTTTGGAGTGCATCTTATGATCCTACAGAAATAGGAAATACATCTCCATAACTCTGTTTTGCCCTGATTAATGTTTAATTTAGTCTATCTGCCTTTTTGAACCACTGCAGTTTGATGGTAGCCCTAATAATCAGTGTATCTTTGGTCACAAATGGAGAAATGAAAGCAAGCTTTATAATCTGAATTTTATTATCAAAAATATCCATCAAAATGATAATCTAGGATCCCTGAAGTTAAGTGTGTGTGTGTGTGTGTATGCATGTGTGTTAGTCCTTCCCTTTAATTCTTAAAAATATTACTGGATGTTGGGGCGCCTGGGTGGCTCAGTCGGTTGAGCATCTGACTTTGGCTCAGGTTATGATCTATCAGTTCATCAGTCCGAGCCTCGCGTCGGGCTCTGTGCTGACAGCTCAGAGCCTGGAGCCTGTTTCCAATTCTGTGTCTCCCTCTCTCTCTGTCCCTCCCCTGCTCATGCTCTGTTTCTGTCTCAATAATAAACATAAAAAAATATATTTCTGGATGAAAAAAGTTTCACTGAATGATGGGAAACAAGAAGCCACCCACCATTCAGGAAAAGAAAATCCTTTAACCCGTTGAGTAATACAACCTGAATTTGTCTTCTAACCCTTCTCTCTTTCATCTGCACTGATTATCCCCCCCGAAGGAGAGAGCTAGGTAGAACTGCTTCATGCGTAAGATATCCCTGGAGAGCACAGCTCCATTATGTGATGGTTTAGCAATCTCAATTTGTGGTCGGCAACATACAGAAGAAACAGTAGATTTGCCAAAAGCAACCTGACAAACACGATATAGGCCCACGGGAACCAAGGCTAAGGAGTTCTATTCTTTTTTTTTTTTTTTTTTTTTAAATGTTTTATTTATTTCTAGGAGAGAGAGAGAGAGAGATACAGCGTGAGCAGGGGAGGGTCAGAGGGTCAGAGAGAGAGGGAGTCACAGACTGAAACAGGCTCCAGGCTCTGAGCTGACCGTCAGCACAGAGCCCAACGCGGGGCTCAAACCCACGAACCGCAAGATCATGACCCAAGCGAAAGTCGGACTCCTAACCGACTAAGCCACCCAGGCGCCCCTAAGGAGTTCTATTCTAAATATCTTCAACTTTGCTTATCATTTAAGATCAGGGTCTGAAGAATTTCAATAATTAGATTACCAACTCTAGTTCCTTTCACATATTTGTGAACAAATTACTAGCTTCTAAAAGATTTGAGATTATAAAGGCATTTGTTCTAAACACTGCGGCCTTAACCACAACAAATCCAAAAAGTTGTGAATGTTCTGATTACATGTATCCGTATATTTAAGCTAAACCTTTTGAATCATCTAGCTGAAAGCAAAGCACAGTGATTTTAAATGATAGTCGATGGCTCACAAAATGAAGATCACTACTGCCCCCTTGAGGGCATAACAATAAACTTTCATTGAGAAGTTACATTTTCATTTAATACTACCTATTACTCAAGTCCTGCTATAAAATGGAAAATATAATCTCAAAGTCTCACAACCACCTCATAAAGTACCTATTATTATACCCAGTTTGGTAGATAAGTAAAGAAGGCTTCGAGAAGAGTTTTCACAAGGTCAAGCATGTAGTCAATTAATAAATCAGTATTTGAATGCAGTTCTGAATGTAAAATTCTATGAATATTGTGTATATGCTGTTTCCTTTTGCCACATTACCTTTCAATAATAATACTTCATTCACGATCTTCCTTTAATATTATACAAACTTAACTAAGAACACAATGTCTTATTTAAAAAAAATTTTTTTTAATGTTTATTTTTGATAGAGAGAGACAGAGCACAACCAAGGGAGGGACAGGCAGAGAGGGAGACACAGAACTGGAAGCAGCTCCAGGCTCTGAGCTGTCAGCACAGGGCCCGATGCAGGGCTCAAACCCACGAACCATGAGATCATGACCTGAGCCGAAGTTGGATACTTTACTGACTGAGCCACCCAGGCGACCCTATCTGTCATATTTTAGACTATGAATACTTAACTGTTTTCCTTAGTGGTACCATACTGAAATGCCCTTATATTTTCATTTTGTGGTCACATATAACCCTTTCACAGATTAATCTGTAAAATATTTTACTTTTAATACATGAAGCACTCATGTATAATCCCTGTGTACAATCTCCCCCTTCCCTGGAAATAAAAAGTGCATTAGCTTTAAAATGTATTATAAACCGGGGCGCCTGGGTGGTTCAGTCGGTTAAGTGTTCAACTTTGGCTCAGGTCACGATCTCACAGCTTGTGGGTTTAAGCCCCGTGTCGGGCTCTGTGCTGACAGCTCAGAGCCTGAAGCCTGCTTCGGATTCTGTGTCTCCTTCTCTCCCTCCCCCTCCCCTACTTGTGCTCTGCCTCTGTCTCTCAAAAATAAATAAATGTAAAAAAAATTTTTAATAAAAAAATGTATTCTAAACCTATCTGTCAAATATTTTAACAAAGGACAGGATATCCATTCATCTCATAGAAAAAACTGGGGTTTTGTTCATTTCAAGTCTAAAATAAATGCCATGTTATCAAGGTGTTACCTGTGGTTGTTTTGGTGCTGGCTGAAGAAACAAGGCTGGCAAGGCTGACGACCTCTGCGGGTGTGAAGATGAACGGGGTAGCCACAGTCCCGGAGGGGGCTCTCTCGGGATTAGCATTCACCTGATTCTGCATCGCTTCCTACAAAACAAGTCAGAACAGTTCACAGCCCCAGCCCATTGGCCGTGGTTACATAGTGACGGAGCAGTGCCTATTGAGCAGAACTCGCTGTGGCACGCCACGTCCCGGGCAGCTCGCTCGGGGCTCTCATTACGATCACCGGTCTTGTTTTGTTTTTCCAGACCAGGGCAACAAAGGTGTTCAGATGTTTTCCCAAGTTTATTTCTAATTTAAAGAAAAAAAAGCATTATTGTTTGCAAAAAAGTGTATTCTTTGTAAAAACTTCTAAACAATTCTCTTAACCCGTCTGGATCTTGTTTTTTATTTGGAAAATGAGGATAGTGGCCTAAAAAGTAATTTCCAGCACTAATACTCTTTGATCAATGAATTATGTACAAGTCAATGCGCTAGCAGCAGATCCCTACGGTGAATCTACGGAGAAGAATATTCTCCAGAGTTTTGTCCAACTACTTGTTCCACTTGGCCAATGAAGAAATTCCTAAGAGAATTGGTAACAAGCAGATAAACGAGTGCCAGATTTTCAAGTCTAGTTCCATATGCTGCACTTTGCTTCCAGGGATATCTGTACCATTTAGGTGTAAAGGTGCTCATCTTTTATTTTATTTTCTAACTTTCAGAAGCAGTTTTCTACAAACATGATAATTGCTTCGAAAGTCCAGTTTGGAAAGAGCTCTAAGTAAGAAACTGAAGCTGAAGAGGACTACCAGTCAGTCTATAGGGAACCATCTGTCAGGGAAAAAAAAAAACCCTGAAAACGCGACAGAAATGGCTACCTATTTTTTACATATAATTATCCCTTTGACTCCGAGCTTCAGTTGAAACAGATTACCCATTCTCTGGTTACTGTCAAATTCCTTCTCGAGTCTGCCTCTTCTTCTACACTCCACTATGATTTCCTTAATTCAAGCCCCCACTGGCCTGTGCCTGGCTTAATGAAAGTCATATTAAAGTTTTGCTTCTCCCAGGTCAGTGAACTACACTCCAAACAATCATCTTAAAAAAACAAAACAAAACAAAACAAAAAAAAACTTCACAGGGGCACCTGGGTGGCTCAGTTGGTTGAGTATCTGACTCTTGATTTCCACCTAGGTCATGATCTCACACTGTGAATTCAAGCCTCACATCAGGCTCCGCACTGTCTGTGTGGAGCCTGCTTGGGATTCTCTCTCTCCCTCTGTCTGCCCCTCATCTGTTCTTTCTCTCAAAATAAATAAATTAACTTTAAAAAATTCAGTTACAAAAAATAAGATAAAATAATTTTTAATTAAAAAATTTTTTAAAATGGGGGTGCCTGCCTGGCTCACTTGGTAGAGCATGTGACTCTTAATCTCAGAGTCCTAAATTCAAGCCCCATGTTGGGAGTAAAGTTCACTTAAAAAAAAAACAACTCAATCTTCTATTTAAAAGCTTCTATTGCATTCCCATTACCCACAAAATAGTTTAAACTCCTTTGCAACACTTTACAACACTCCTACATTCAAAAGCTAGTCTAAACTCCTCTGCATGTAAACTGTATGTAACACCCCTACATTCAAAACCCAGCCAGGGGCACCTGGGTGGCTCAGTCGGTTAAGCATCCAACTTCAGCTCAGGTCACAATCTCACAGTTTGTGGGTTCAAGCCCCATGTCGGGCTCTGTGCTGACAGACAGCTCAGAGCCTGGAGCCTGTTTCAGATTTTGTGTCTCCCTCTCTCTCTGATCCTCCCCAGCTCATGCTGTCTCTCTCTCTCTCTCAGAAATAAATAAAACATTAAAACAAAACAAGAAAACAAAACCCAGCCTAACCCTTAAGCTTCAGCTCAACTCCTAAACTCCATTCCCCTTGCTCAATCTTTAGTCACAAAACTTATACTTTCTTGAACATTCCATACTCTTTCATACCTCTATGTAATTGATACACTCTTTTTCTAGTCTAGAATATAGTTCTCTTCTTTGCCTACTTCTTCAAAACTCAGTTCAGGTTCTACACGTACTTTCTTTTTCTTTTAGTAATCTCTGTACCCAATGTGGAGATTGAACTCATGACCCCAAGATCAAGAGCGACACGCTCTTCTGACTGAATCAGCCAGGCGCCCCTCTATATACACTTTAATCTTTGCATTAAGCATCATTCATACTCCCTCTTCTGTGGTCCTGCAATGCTCGATAAATATGGATTTATCAATGTAATATTATAATGCTTGATTCCTGGGGCGCCTGGGTGGCTTAGTCAGTTAAGCGTCCGACTTTCACTTAGGTCATGATCTCGGGGTTCGTGGGTTCGGGCCCCGCGTCGGGCTCTGTGCTGACTGCCAGCTCAGAGCCTGGAGCCTGTTTCAGTCTGTGACTCCCTCTCTCTCTGACCTTCCCCTGCTCACGCTGTCTCTCTCTCTCTCTCTCCTAGAAATAAATAAAATAAAATAAATAAATAAATAAATAAATAATGCTTGATTCCTGTCCTTATCTTCATCACACCATAAACACTCCAAGGGCAGGCATGTCTTATTAACCTTTGTTCCTTCATCCTGTTATTCCCTGATATACAAGTGCCAGATTAAGAAATTCAAGGGTAAAATCCTCACAGCTACTTTTTAATTCTGAGATGGCTTTCTTAGGAAGCAATATGCATTAGAGCTATGTACTGCCTCATACTGCCTGATATATATTCAGAAAACAATATACTAAAAGAGGCTTTTAGTATTGTCCCAAGTCAAGCTCAATTAGAAAGGGAAATTTTCATGGAGAAAAAACACTCTAAAACCAAAGAAACCTTGTTTTTGTACTAGCCACAACACTGCCTTTCAATCACCGTGACTGATTTAGGGCTATCAAGAATGCTGCTTTTTTTAAGATACCAATGCAGGGCACCTGGGGGGCTCAGCTGGTTAAGTGTCTGACTTCAGCTCAGGTCATGATCTCAGGGTTTGTGAATTTGAGTCCCACACTGGGCTCTGCACTGATGGTGTGCAGCCTGCTTGGAATTCTCTCTCTGTCATTCTCTCTCTGACCCTCCCCTGCTCATGCTTTCTCTGTCTCTCAAAATAAATTAATAGATTTAAAAAATAAAGTCTGATGCTCAAAGAACTGAGCTACTCAGGTGCCCCTAAATCATAGACTTTTGGGGTGCCTGGGTGGCTCAGTCGGTTAAGAGTCCAACTTCGGCTTAGGTCCTAATTTCACATTTTTTGAATTGAGCCCCATGTTGGGCTCTGTGCTGACAGCTGAGAGCCTAGATCCTGCTTCAGATTCTGTGTCTTCCCCCACTCTCTGCACCTTCCCACCTCATGTTCTCTCTCTCTCAAAAATAAATAAACATTAAAAAAAAATACTGGGGTGCCTAGGTGGCTTAGTCGGTTAAGTGTCTGACTTTAGCTAAGGTAATGATCTTACAGTTCGTGAGTTTGAGCCCCATGTTGGGCTCTATACCGAGAGCTCAGAGCCTGGAGCCTGCTTCCGATTCTGTGTCTCCCCCTCTCTCTGCCCCTCCCCTGCTCATGCTCTGTCTCTCTCTCTTAAAAATAAATAAACATTAAAAAAAATTTTAAATAAATAAACGTTAAAAAAAATACTAATGACAATGAGTCATAAGGTTGAGCCATATTAGAAGTACTACCTTGATAAGATATAGAAAATATAAGAAAATTCAATTTTGATTTAGCTCCTACAAAAATCCTTAACTTCAGTTAAACTATACTCTAAGGGCATAAAAAGAACCAGACCTGAAGGATGACCAGAATCTCAGCATTCTTTTTCTCCAGCGCTATGTCAAAGGCAGATTTATCAAACTTGCTGAAAGCATGCACATCAGCTCCATACTTGATAAGCAGCTCCACAACGTCCCGATGGTGGTGCTCTGTGGCCCAATGTAAAGCCGTCATCTTCAGCATGTCCTTGGCATTCACATCTGCACCATTCTGTCACACGATAGTAATTTTTTCGAACAGACACTGGTTATAGTAGCACAGGTGCAAGATCCCAACACCCAAATAAAGAGGATTTCCATGGAGATTACACATATTCAAATTTCGATCACGTTTAAGACATATCAAAGGGAGAAACATTCTTCAAATTCTCCTGAATGATGGCAGACATAATGTCTTCAATGAGTAGGTTTTCTAAGGACAACTGGGAAATTATAACACATGGGAAAAGAAGGAGAAAAGAACAGATTTTTGTCGCATTTATTAACAGAGAGCTGAGCACCTAGAAAAACAGGCCTAAGTACAGAGAACACCTGCAGAAGGGAATGAAGAAAAATCAGTAAAGTCTGCTTAGCCTGTAAAAGATTAGAAAACCAAGTCCTCAAAGCCATGATGACTCTTGAAAGAGGTACAAGTCTCTGCTATGAACTGTCCTAAACTTAATCTTCCCCAGCCTAGTTTCCTAGCGCCCGTGTAAGTTAAGAAGACAGGGAGGTGGATGTCTTTCTCACAGTACAGATCCACCACTATTACCCTAACAAGCAGCTCCACGATGTGTGCGTGTCCGTCAGCTGCAGCCATGTGCAGGGGGGTCCTGTCCACTTTGGTCCGGGCATCCCTGCTAACGCCTGCTCGAAGGAGCACTTCTGCTGTGGAATAATGACCATACTGGGCTGCAAGGTGGAGGGGTGATGTTCCAAGCTGTGGGAAAATAATACTCATTGAATATCAACTGTGTGCAGAGTCCTAAGTCACTGAGAGACACAAATGAACAAGAGGTACAGTCTATGGTTCCTGTGCTTGGAGACAGAGTCTGGTTGGGCAAGAGGAGTAAAGAATATTAATTAAGAACTTAATCTACTAACAGGCAAGTAAATATACCACCAATTAAATAAGTGCTAATAGATTTAAGTCGGGTGGATTTGTCAGACAAGACTCTCTAAAGGACATGATGCTAAGCAAGGCTTAGAAGAAGGTAAAAAAATGGATAAACAGGAACATTCTGCATTGGGGTAAAGGTAAGGGATAGGCAAGTTCAAAATAATTCTTAGGAAAAGGGCAGAGACTAGAAAGTTACTGAGAAATTTGGGGTAAACTTTTAAGTGGTTGGAATAGAAGCCTGTTACCACAGTAACAACAAAGCAAAAAGATTGATGAGATGAAGAGGCAATACGATTTTAGCCATGGCATGTCAACAGCAATAAGCAGTCCATCTCATCTCAAAGTAAACCTTTCACGACTTCTCTATCTTTGGCCACTTTGGCCAGAAATCTATTCCTTTCTTTGTGTTAGGTTCTTTAAGTTCTTTATTCTTTGTTTCTCTTATATATTCGGCTTCTCTGCCTGACTGGATTTAATTCACATTGCTCTTTTCAGCTCTTATTTATAGAAATGCTAATCTCATAGGTTTCCTTTTCTTCCTTTTTGTGAGGTGCTAAGAACCTGCTGACCTCTAAAGCTATGAATTAATCACCCCAGGATAGAGGATGTTGGCCCATCAAATTGTTCAAATTAGGCAATGCTGGGGCGCCTGGCTGGCTCAGCTGGTAGACCACGTGACTCTTGATCTCGGGGTTGTGAGTTTGAGCCCCATGTTATGTGCAGAGATTACATTAAAATTTTTAAAAAATTGGGGCGCCTGGGTGGCCTAGTCAGTTGGGTGTCCGACTTCGGCTCAGATGGTGGGTTCAAGCCCCACGTCGGGCTCTGCACTGACAGCTAGCTCAGAGCCTGGAGCCTGCTTCAGATTCTGTGTCTCCCTCTCTCTCTGACCCTCCCCTGCTCACGCTGTCTCTCTGTCTCTTAGAAATAAATAAAAAACATTAAAATTTTTTTTACATTAAATTAGATACTGCTTACAAAATCCATGATTGTTTAGCAAGCCCACATTATAACCTGGACCTGGATCTTCTGAAACTGCTCTTCAAGCGGCTGCTTAGGCTCATGAAATCAGCACCTTCCTCTTAATGTATTTTAAGTGGTAAAAAGGAAACAAAACACCTAGACTCTTCCTTACTAACCAGGATACTTTAGAGGAAAAAAACCAAGTAGTTTATTAGTTTAGAAATGCACTCTTATTATGCTGATTTTGTTTAATTTCTAGCTAATTACAGGAGCCTATAACCTAAGTACACTCCAGGGAGAATTAAACCTTCAGAAAATACTCTAAAAAGCATTATGGAAAAGCACAAATATATAATACCTTACAGTGACCACCTATATACATCCACAGGAGACTCTTTCAATTTGGAAAACTAAAAGAAAACTACATACTTAGATAAAACAAAGAAAACAAAACACTTGTAGGGAGAATAAGGCAGAAAGAGAAAGAAGAAAAATCAACACAGTTATGTTCAGCCTTTAAGAAAAAGGTTGGGGCGGGGGTGCCTGGCTAGCTCAGTCCGTAGAGGGTGCAATTTTTGATCTTGGGGTTATGAGTTTGAGCTCTACGTTGGGCATAGAGATTACTTAAAAATAAAATCTTTGGCACCTGGATGGCTCGGTCGGTTAAGCGTCCAACTCTTGATTTTGGCTCAGGTCAGGATCTCACAGTTCATGGGTTCAAGGCCTGCATGGGGCTCTGCACTGACAGAGTGAAGCCTGCTTGGGATTCTCTTCCCCTCTCTTTCTCTGCCCCTCCCCTGCTTGCATGCTCAATCTCTCTCTCAAAATAAATAAATAAACTTTAAAAAAATTTTTTAAAAATAAAATGTTGGGAGGATGGAGAAAAAAGAAAGAAACTGGCAACCTCACACATCAGGAATAATTAAAAGAGCTTACCCAGTCTGTGGTGAATGGGGCGCCATTTGCCATCAAAGTTCTCACTTCATCATCTTGGCCTTTTCTTGCTGCTTCTAGTAACCTCTTCCCCAAGTCCACCAAAGACATCTTTATGCATAGGAACAGAAGTTTTCAGGAAGCTATAACTCAAACACAAGGAAAGCTGCCTATAAGATGTTTTTAGAAGACCTCTTGTACTTAAATATATGTAAGACAGTTCTCAAGCTGACTATGCAGTATGGCACTTCCCTCCCACCTCATCTAACACAATCAGATATTTGGAAAAGTGTAGGCCCTAAACAACAGTTCCCTAATGTTCAATAGTCAGAAAAATACTTTGGAAATCCGTGCAACACATCACCACCTCTCTAGCTTAAGAAATCAATAAAACAGTATTTCATCCCTTTGAAACAACTGTGGGGAGAAACATATGTCAGGGGCACCTCGGTGGCTCAGCTGGGTAAGCATCTGACTCTTGATCCTGGCTCAGGTCATGATCTCACGATTTTTGAGATCGAGCCCCATGTTGGGCTCTGTGCTGACAGTGCAGAGCCTGCTTGGGATTCTTTCTTTCCCTCTCTCTCTGCCTCTGCCCCGTTCAAGTGAACATACACACTCTCTCTCAAAATAAATAAACTTTAAAAAATGTCATGTCACACCAAAGAATGATGAACAGACAAACCAAGGATATTGAGACTCAGTTATACGGCAGAAACCTTTCCAAATATGAACAAAGTAAGCCTGCCATTTCAAGGAGAAATGTTCACTGCCAATTATTAAGTATAATTAGAGCTTTCGAGCAAAATTAGAATTTTGGGAAACAAATCCACCACCATGAGTTAACAGCTTACTATAAACTTTTCTGATGAAATTAGCGATGATACGAATGTGATTTTTTAATACTGTAAAATAAAATGCATCAACGTTTGGATGATCTACATAATTTGCAGAAATAATATTTTTCAAATAACCGATGCATGTTATAAAATCATGTACAGGTAAAAACAATAATTTAAAGTGAAAGAACAATTGATTTTAAGGTAATAGAGTATAATAATTTCATTGATATAGTTTCAGATTTCTCATTGCAACTAACTTTTAAGAAGTTGTCACTTTGTCCAGTTTTTGTGTAGCACCAAAGAAGAACACCCACAATTACCTGAAATAGCTATTAAAATACTCCTTTTTCCAAGAACCTATTGCAACAGATTAAATGCAATAGATATGCAGCTGTTTTCTTTTCTTTTCTTTTTTTTAAGTGTTTATTCACTTTTGAGAGACAGATAGTGCAAGTGAGGGAGGAGAAGACAGAGGGAGACACCGAATTGGAAGCAGGCTCCAGGCTCTGTGCTGTAAGGCAGGCTTGAACCCACCAACAGTGAGATCATGACCTAAGACAAAGTCGGACGCTCAACCAACAGTACCACCCTGATGCCCCTAATGCAGCTGTTTTCTATTAAGCCAGAGGTTAGAGAGATTTGCAAAAACATAAAACAATGCCATTCTTCTCATTATTTCACTTGGAAGACATTTTTTTTTATAAAAAAATGTGTTATTTACCTTAACACGTATAGGATTTACTATTGTATTTTAATTAATGAACATTTTAAAATTAATTTCCAGGAGCACCTGAGTGGCTCAGTCAGTTAAGCATCTGACTCTTGATTTCAGCTCAGGTCATGATCTGACTGTCCTGAGATCAAGATCAGGCTCCACACTGGGCATGGAGGCTGCTTAAGGGTTTCTCTCCCCCTCTCCCTCTGCCCCTCCCCAACACGCATGCATACATGCACTGTCTCACAAAAAAATAAAAGAATAAAATGCATCAGGAAATATAATTTCAAACAAGTACCCGTCATATTTTCAAATAAATAAACACAAATTAATTTCAAAAATAATACCAATAGATATAACACAGGAGTGTCCTCAATAATTTTTAAGACTATAAATGAGTCCTGAAACCAGAAAATCTGAGAGTCACTGGCTTAGGCAAGTCATTCAGCCACGATGTGATTTGATCTTCCAGTCTATATCATAGAGCACTATCCTCAAACACGGATGTCCAGGAGGCCACCTGGGAGTTTGCACAGAATGAGTATAGCCCAGGCTGTGGTCCAGACCCTTTAAATGAGTATGTTCACAAGGAGAGGATGGCCTTTAATAGTGTGAACTTCTGTAACCTAAATGTCAGTTTTTACAACTTAAGAAAATGCAACAGAAAAAAAATGATAAAACCTTATTATAGAAAAACAACACTTTGTATTTCTCCATAATTACCTTCCTTTTAAAATATCAAAATTGTGGAAACCAATGTGACAATAAACTATTTGTAAAAAAAAAAAAACAAAAAAAAAAATAAAACATCAAAATTGCCTTTCAGGGGCGCCCGGGTGGCTTAGTCGGTTAAGCGTCCGACTTTCGCTTAGGTCATGATCTCGCGGTTTGTGGGTTCAAGCCCCGCGTCGGGCTCTGTGCTGACTGCCAGCTCAGAGCCTGGAGCCTGTTTCAGTCTGTGACTCCCTCTCTCTCTGACCCTCCCCTGCTCACGTTGTCTCTCTCTCTCTCCTAGAAATTAAAAAAAAAAAAAAAAAAAACTTAAAAAAAATTGCCTTTCAGTTTAATTACCTTATTAGTAATACTTAAGAATATTTTTTAGGTGGTTCATCAGTCATAATGACTCCCTCACATTTTCTCAAATTACACTACACACATATATATGATATATATACATAACACGTATGTATATATACATCTATATACACATGGTATATATAATATATGGTGGATGTATATATAGATACATATAGATACACATGGTGTATCACCAAGTCTTAAACACTTCCATAACTGGTCATAAAGGGAAATGAATGCTGGCAAAAAGCAGAAGTATCCTTTTTTTTCTTCTTTTAAGTTTATTAATTTATTTTGAGAGAGAGAGAGAGAGAGAGAACGCAAGTTTGGGGGGACAGGGAGAGAGAGAATCCCAAGTAGGCTCCACACAGTCAGCATGTAACTTGATGTGAGCTTGAACTCAGGAATCATCCCAGAAGTATCATAATAGTGAAATTTCATCTGTTCTATACCACAAAAAAATACTGTTGAAGGTTGAGATATTTGCCTAAAGAGAAATCTGGTTTGCTTTACATTCCAGGGAAGCTGACTCTTTTAAAAAACAAGATCCTTTATTTAAATAAGCTGAGTTTATCCCACTGAAACTGTCGTCTTCAGCACCTGAACTCTTCCAAAGTATCTTTTTTTTTTTTCCTAGAAGAGAGAGAGAGACAGCGTGAGCAGGGGAGGGTCAGAGAGAGAGGGAGTCACAGATTCTGAAATAGGCTCCAGGCTCTGAGCTGGCAGTCAGCACAGAGCCCGACGCGGGGCTCGAACCCACAAACCGCGAGATCATGACCTAAGCGAAAGTCGGACGCTTAACCGACTAAGCCACCCAGGCGCCCCAAGTATTTCTGAAGTCAATTTTTTTTCACCACAGTCTGCCTTCATATACACATGGATTGTATCGCTTTTCTTTAATCACATTTGTGAGCCCATGTATCAGTACCACTAAATGGCAACTGACTCAGATTTGTCATCCCATTCTTTTTTTGTTGTTTCTTTATTTATTTTGAGAGAGAGAGAGAACTTCAAGGAGGCTCTGCACTATCAGGGCTGAGTCCCAAGTGGGGGTCGAATGGGGCTCAAACTCACAAGTCATGAGACCATGACTTGAGCCAAAATGAAGAGTTTGATGCTTAACTGACTGAGCCATGCAGGAACCCCTGTCATCCTATTCTTTAAACAGGCCATGAAAAGCCTTATTTCTTACTATACAAAGATATAGTTAAACTTTGGAATTAGAATGTAAGTAGGGAGTTAATTCATCACCTGATTAAAAAAAAAATCTCCTAGAAATGGGCTCTTCAAGGTTCTTTTCTCCCCTATCCTCCACTCTTTTGAGTTAACCTGAAGCATCTATCTAAAGTTAAAACAAAATGTATTTTTACAACAGTATTTTGGGGCATGTGGCTGGTTGTCAGAGGAGCATATAACTCTTGATCTCATGATCATGAGTTCCAGCCCCACAAGGGGAGTAGCAATTACTTAAATAAATAAAACTTTAAAAAACAATAATCGGGGCACCTGGGTGGTTCAGTTGGTTAAGCGTCTAACTTCGGTTCAGGTCATGATCTCATTGTTCATGAGAGCCCCGCGTCAGGCTCTGTGCTGACAGCTCGGAAGCCTGGAGCTTACTTCGGATTCTGTGTCTCCTTCTCTCTCGGCCCCTCTCCATCTCTCTCTCAAATGTAAACATTAAAAAAAAAATGTTTTTATAATAAAACAGCAGCATTTTGTATGCCATTCTCCCATATCCTATGTAAACGCTGACAATACCCACCAGATACGAGATGTAGCCAAAGTCGCGAGGACAATCTAGGCACTTTCAAGCTCCCTGATTATTAAAATAACAGGGAAAACATTCTCCCTTCCTGGATGTACCTCTACTTTTCCTATATCAGAGGTGAAGAACAAAATAAAAATCTAACTTGTCTCTTAGGCTTTTGGAGATGAATAAAGTACCCACCCCCTCTCCCAAATAAACATACAAAAACTCCAAATCAGTGTGTTTAAAACAATTTTTTTAATCTTTATTATTTTTGAGAGAGAGACAGAGTGTGAGCAAGGGAGGAACAGAGAGAGAGGGAGACAGACTCTGAAGGAGGTCCAGGCTCTGAGCTTTCAGCATAGAGCCGATGTGGGGCTTGAACTCACAAATGGTGAGATCATGACCTGAGCCAAAGTCAGATGCTTAACCAACTGGGCCACCCAGGTGCCCCTAGATATGTGTGTTTTAATAATTGATGAAGTGCTTGGGCTCTTGACAACAACAAAGCACTCTATTATCATAGAATAATTACATATGTTGACATAAGAATGCGGGGGCGGGGGGTGGATGTTGGGTGGCTCAGTCTGTTAAGCATCTGACTCTTAGTTTCCACACAGGCCATGATCTCACCATTCATGAGCTAGAGCCCCAAGGCCGGCTCTGCAGCTGACAGCAGGGGGCCTGCGTGGGATTCTCTCTCCCCTTCTCTCTCTGCCCCTTCCTTGCTTGCACTCTCTCTCTCTCTCTCAAAATAAATAAATACACATACACACACACACACACAAAACAGTTTGGGTGGGGTAGTTCTCTGTTATCAAAGAGTGTATCAAAATAGATGCTTAATAACATCTCTACTTAACTAGGTGGGTCAAACAGCACCAGGAAACTATGGCCCCAGACGGCCAAGAATGTTGTTAAATTGTTGGAGGTAAGCCATCGGATGTCCTTTCCCATAGATGTTTAAGAGGGAGAGGAATGGGATCATCTCTGCTGGCTCAAGGAAACCTGTGAGACCAGGAGAAAGCCAACGAGAAGGAGAAATGGAATTGAACAGTAGGACGACCCTTTTTTTCTTCTTCGATTGCACACGTCTCCACCGGGCAGCCAGCTGTACAAACAACTGGGCCACGAATGAGGGCGGGGCTCAGATTGGCGCGTTCACGCAAAATCTTTAAGCTACTGCTGAAGTCAGACAATTAAGAGTCCCCGTCTTCCCCTCCATCACCGCTCCTCCAGTCCCAGGCAGCAACGCTGTCTTTATGGAAGAAGAGTCAATGGGGGTAGTAAGCCAGGGTCTCGGCTCCGGGGCGGGGGCAGCCCGCCGGCCCGAGCTCCGCGCTGCCCCCTGGCGGTCACCTCTGCGGCCCCAGCTTCCCTGGGTCCGGCTCCCCAGCCCCAGGTCTTACACACCCCCCCTTCATCACCTCCTCCCAGTCCCCTCCCCTTCCTCCCGGCCGCATCCCCTTCCTCTTCGTCCCCCTCCCTGAGCTTCCCCCGCTCCGGCGAAGGGGCGCCGCTCTGTCCGCGCCCAGAAGTTCGGGGCTGGGCTGGGACGCCGAGCAACTTCCCACGGCAGTCTCCCTTCCAGCCCTCCAGAGTCCACACATCTTCGTCCCCCTCACCTCCTCGTCCGGGACGCTGCCGGCCGCGCTTCCACCGAGCCCGCCAGTTTGGTCCCGTTTCCTTCTCTAGTTAAGCCTCCCTGTCACTGACGGTTACTTTTTGGCCTTTTCATATATGCATATTTGGGGGGCCTTTAACCCCCCCTCGTGGAGAAATGGAGGCAACAAGATGGCGGACCCGGAAGTGAAGCCTCAGCGAATGCAATTCCTGGCGGAGGGATCCGTGAGGAGAAAACGATCAGAAAACCCACATTCCCGTTAGAACAGAAGAGCGGCGCACCGCCGACGCGCATTTGCTTTCCAGCGAAGGCCTTTTGGCGTGGAAAAGTGTGTATCCGAGACGACCTAGCGGGGACTATTTGGCGAGGGGCAGGATTGTTGATTACGTGTCTTACGTGTCGTGTAGTTCCGGTAGGGGATGGACCCGCGTGTTTGTTTTGGCGCCAAGGGCCCGGCGGCGGGCCGAGGAGCTATGTGTATCGGCGGCGCTCAGTGCCCCGTTGGTAACTTGTCTGCGGGCTAGCCTTAGCACTGACGGGAAAACCATGTTCCTCTGTCTCACCCTCGGGTGAAACTGTTGGGGACGTTCCTGGTCTTGCGCGCAAATTGAGCCCTGGTGCCTGACAGCCGGGTGTCCGATCGCGGCGTGAACGTAGGTAGGAGGTAGGGATCCCGCAAGCTGTCTGCCCAGAGCAATGGGACAAATAACGGAGTCTTTTTCGAGGGGCTTGAAAGGGGATGCGGCGAGAGTTTGCAAATCCCCCTACGCATTTTACTTCCCAGATGCTTCCCCTCTTCACACCCCCCTCCCCCCATCGCCACTGCCTAAGGGCGGCGAGAAATCGGGAAGGAAGCCCTTCGAAAGAACGTGAACGTAGAAAAGGACACAACCCGGCCCCATTCTTTTATTAGGTTTTGGCTTTTTGTCGTTTATGGTGGGCCTTTCAAAGCCAGCGGTTTTCGCGTCTACCTCCCTTTCTGAACTTGGTACTGCCATCTCTGAAGTATGGCACGCTCCCCGGGCACGATCCACCTTGCTGTTTACGGGTTCCCTTTTTGAGAGGCAAAATCTTGTTTCATTCCTGTGTATATCCTTTTTTATTATCTGGCCCATGGCGTCTCATATAGTAAGGACTCAAAAACTATCAGTTTGGTTTTGTGTTTAATGAGTTGAATTATAAGTAAGCAGGTAACGTATTTGGGTGAATTAGTTGGTTTCTTTTTAGGCAACTATACTGAGACCATGAAGAGCATGTTTGGTAGTGGGAATTGCTACCTCCCTATGTTGGGAGCCACTGGTCAAACAGAAGAGTAGTCGGTTGCATTTCTTCCTATATACTTTAAAATTTTAAGTGGATTTCACCCTGTTTGATACCTGTCCAGCCTGATGTTCGTTTTTTTTTAATGCACAAAGGCTACTAAGAGAACTCTTATTGAAAGATAAAAATACATAAGCTGAAGGTGAAAGCAAGGCTAATTTCGGCGATCTCTACCACTTCTCTTTGAAGAGAGAGAAAAACAAGAACCCAGGCCTGGGATTAAATGTCTTTATTAAAGAAATGAGTAAATGGCAGCACAAATCAGCAGCAATAACTTTGGAAGGAACGGGGGTACAAGGTGTAGGGTCATCATGTGATTATTTCAAGGTCTCAGGGTAGCTCAAGAACTGTGCCTGAGGCCCAGTGGTCAGTATTCTCTATTGCAGATGCGGGAGGGCAGGACTAAAACACTAGAGGCCAAACCCTATGCCTTTTAGACAGGGAATCAGACTTTACAAATTATCGTAGTACTCAGCAAGATTGCATGTTAAGATTTGAAATTGGGAGTCATTTTCCTCAGCTAGAGTTCGGAGCAAAGCGTAGAGGCTTGAAGAAGGACTACCCCTTTGAGAATATAGTTATTTCTGAAACGATTCCGTTCTCTCCCTTATTTTCATTCTCCATGATGTATCATTTCCTCTTGTTTTATACCTTTAACTACACCCAACTTCTCTGAGAAGAAGAAGGTACTGTAAGGAGCAGGATCAAACAGCGAGACTTAACACCTTAACAGCCTTTTCAAAATCCTGTCTTGTAGCAGATAATCTCAGCGCTCTCAAGGTATTCAGCAACTGTTGAAGAAAGATTCGTGTTTACTGATCTGGAGCAGGTATTGGGTTTGAACAATTTCTGAAGAGGATTAAAATGAAAAAAAAAAGAGCCCCCCATCTTGTACTATTATACTACTCTGTGGTGCCCCCACCAGGCCTGTTTCTGGAATTAGTATGGGGGAGAGTGCTTTGTGGCTTGAGGGCTTTTGAGAGAAACTGATAGGATAGGCAAATAAATAAATAATAAATACAACACAACTCTGGCAGATTCATCAGCACCACCTCAACACAATAGAGGGGAGACAGCGAGATTAATAGGACAAGGGTGGGAAGGAAGGGGCTTGTAAGGGAAGACAGTGAGGGCAGGGTGGTGGGAGAGAGAAGTCTTGGGCTTAAAGCAAGTCCAGTTCAAAAGAGTGGATGCTGGCAATGGGAGCTCTCCAGAAATTGAAGGTGCTGTATTCAAGGAGGGCATCGCCTTCGGAGTTTTTCTCCTCAACTCCAGTTGGTTGCCCGGTCATTTTGCCAGCGCTGCCGTCTTTGACCTTGTAGGTGGAGGTATCTGACAGACCCAGGCCTTCCAGCTCCGACAGATCCAGTTCTGGAATGGGCATCCTCCAGAAAAGAAAGGAGCTGTACTGGCTACTCACAGGGTCCCTCATAATTTCCTAGAAAGAAACCAACTGTTAGTCTTCATGCTACGGCAACCACTTCGTGGCCCATGGCCCTTCCTTGCTTAAAAACTTCGCAGGGCCGCCTGGGGGTCTCAGTCGGTTAAGCACCCGACTCTCGATTTGGGCTCAGAGGTCATGATCTCACCATTCATGAGATGGAGCCCGCCTGGGATTCTCTTTCCCCCTCTCCCTGCCCCTCTCCCAATTGCATGCATGCTTTCTCTCTCAAAATACATGAACATTAAAAAAAGAAAAACTGGTATAAAGAAAGAAGCTTGGGAAAAAAAAAACAACGTATTCCATTTGCCTCGGTATATAATCCAAATTTCCTAGCACAAGCTTTGGGAATCTTTCCTTTATTACCATTCTCTACCATTTCCTAACTTCTCCCATCTTGGAAGGACTTCCTCACTGCCTACTGCTTCAAGTCAGTCTTGGGTCTGGTTTTCAAGCTTTCTAGAATGTGGCCCATCCTTCCTAGCCACAGTACATTCTCTGGGAGTTATGCTCATTCCTGTCTTGCTTCACTTTGTCTACTCACTATCTTTTGTATTTTTAGTTTTTTACCTCCTAGATCATCAGTTTATTATAAAAGGACAGAACTTGGGACCAGTAGCTGGGATGGAAGAGAGGCACATGGCCAGGTACAGGGAGGGGCACAGAGCTCCCGTGCCCTCTCCAGGTGCACCACTCCCCCACATCACGTGTTTTCACGACCTGGAAGCTCCTCTATTCTACACAAACGCTACCCACGTTTCTAGGCTACTAGGAGTCCCTAGAAGAATTCAAGTCCCTAGAGAAATTGTTCCCTTGAACTCTTAACTATGTTTTTAATACCTAACTTCTTCCTGACTTTGGTTTAATAGGTACCTCTAAAAAGGGCTTCCGTGACATTTCTGCTTTCTGTTTTGCTGTCTGCCTTCTAAACCCTACTAGAAACTCCCCTTTTCCAAGAGGACTTCCTTAAACTTATTCAGCTCCCTCTACCCTGTACCTTCCAGCACCTCCCCCAACCCCCTGTAGAGTTTTACAGACTATATTAGCTTAGGGCTACATACAGACCACCGCTGTATGTCCTCTATCCACCTACTTCAAGAGATTGAGAGTTTCCACAAAGGCAAAACCCAGTCTATACCTTCTTTACAAGTGCTGGGCTTAGCACACAAGACATTTGAGGCTGCTGATTAATTTTCTCTGTTTAAAAAAAATTTTTTTAACGTTTATCTTTGTGAGAGAGAGAGACACAAAGCATGAGCTAGGCAGGGGCAAGAGAGAGAGGGAGACGCAAAATCTGAAGCAGTTTCCAGGCTCTGAGCTGTCAGCACAGAGCCCAACGTGGGGCTTGAACCCATGATCATGCCCTGAGTCAAAGTCAGACACTCAACTGACAGAGGCACCCAGGTGCCCCTAGTTTTCTGTTTATCCGTAACTTGCCACTCCCATCTTTTAGCCCACAGATATGCCTTAACAGCCTATATTTATATTTCTCTCTAGCCTACCTCTCCTTTAAAACAAAGCCCAGGTGCTTAAAAGAATTTTCCTGTGCTATAGCAAGTCCTTTATTCTCTGATCCTAATGCTAGAATTTACCTGAAACAAATGGATTGGGAATTCCAGGTAAGGAAAGTAAGAGTTTCGATCAGAAGGAGAAAGTCCTTTGACGGAACTGGAGACTTCTCTAGGACCTTCTCTAGGTACTCCTACCATCTTTTCCCACCCACACCCTGAGGTTATAGGACCTCCTGCACCCTGCTGGGTACCAGCCAAGAAGGGGCCGAAAGCGTTAGTTGAAATGTTCCCAAAGAGCAAAATGAACATTCCACTGCCTCCAAAAATAGAACCTGCATCTTAAAAGGCCTTCCTCCCAGTATATCCACTGGCTCCTACCAGGCCTGAGGTTCTTAAACGGTGGCTTTAAATAGGTTCCCAGCTGCCCCCGTATAATGTGCTAGGCGAACATGAGAACCCCTGCACCGCATAAACTATAGCCCCATATAATGTGAACTGTCTCGATCAACACAGAACAAAAAGGCCTTAATCCAGAGCACAGTTATGTGTGAGTGTAGGGGCTTTAGGACTGGCGAGTGGGCAGACTGGGAGGTTTTTCATATGAAAAGCCAATTCCCAGTGGCGCTTTTTCTTCTGAAGTTCAGGCTCCAAAATAAACCCTGGGAACCGAGCATTACTCAGCAGAGAAACTGCTTAGGAGGGTTATGTGGGGACTGGGACAGGGCGGGGGAGGGTGCTGGGAAGGTGAGGTCATCATCCTCTGATACTCCGCTTGATCATCTCCACAGTAATTTCCAGAGACACGTGCACAGAGAGAGCGCTGCAAAAAATGGCTGTACCTATCAGCCTACCAACTCTGGCTTCAGACAGGGGTTACATACCTCCTAAGATGCAAACCTCAGGACCATCAGTGTTCCTGACTTCTGACCACAGAGAGTTTTTTCTTTTCTTTTTTAAAACTATATTGCCAGTGATTTGCCTACATTGCTGGTTTTTTGTTTTGTTTTGTTTTTTAATCTCCTCCCTTACCAGTCTTCTCCAGATAAAGCTTAGTATAATGCTGGCCACATAATAGAGTCTTTAAAAAATAGAACCATTGGGAGAAAAAAAAAAATCACAGAATTTTAAAACTAGAAGGACATGTTTCGGGTTCCTGGCTGAGTGGAGCGCGTTACCCTTGATCTTGGGGCTTGAGCCTCATGTTGGGTGTAGAGATTACTTAAATAAAATAAATATACTCTGTGCTATAACATACTGTATATTTAAAAAAGAAAAGAATACATGTTAGAAATTATCTACTGACTTGTGAAGGCTTCCAGCCAGTTAGAACACAGGTCTCATTCCCAATCTGGTCTTTTTTGATGTATTGTACATAGATGGCTGCCTACAGTTTTATAGGGTCCTATATCAATATTCTCAAAACTTGCAAGAATTCTTAGTTGCTGAAGAACAGATACTCAGTGGCTTAGGTGCTGATTGTTCCTGTGATTCTGATCTGAATGACGAAAATGCAAAAGGCAGTAGAGAGCAAGCTAAAATCTGAGACAGGGAAAAAAGCTCTTTGACAAACTGACTCCTTTTCCTAAAACCAGGATATGTCCAAAAATTGTCCAAACAATCCCTGAGCGTCTGGCAGAGCATATCTTGCAATTAAAAGTGCTAAAGGAAATTTTACAAAATATTAACTTACAAGGCCTAAATCTCTAGCTATGTCATTGACTCGGAGACATGTACAGAGAGTACCAAATGCATTCTAGAAAGACACTCATACAAGCAGGGATGACATTTAAATTCAAGTCAAGAACACTGATTACACAAAATTGAAACTAAAATACCATTCACACTACTTTCATTACTAATGAAATTCTGGTGTCTAATTTAGTGTGGATTTAATTCCCAAGTCTCCAAATTTTGCAAAAGGTCCCTGTTCAGCAAGCCGTCTCTTCCCCTCCCCAAATGTTCTCCACCCATACCTCCTCTCTCTTTACATTTCTTAAAGGGCTTGGACAGTGCCTTGTACCACAATATATGCTCAATAAATACTTCCAAATGTCCTTCATAAATCTGGGTATTTTAGGCAAAGGTAATTTCTAAATATCACCGTCTGTTCGTAGGGATGCATGATTAGCACATACATAGTATAAAAAGACACACCCAACTACTCTTTGTCTAGACCCTCTGTGGGAATCCAAGGCCTACCTGCCCGAGAGGGCCTTGCTGTGTCATGCTGCCACCATTGGGGGGAATGACAGGGATGGTGGTGGGAGGGGATGGAAGCTCTCTGGCATCTCAGTATATGTGCCTCATTCTGGTTTTGGGTTTTCCAGTTAGACATGTCCTTCCCCTGTCTATTCCCACTGAGCTGCAAACAAGCATTCCCCTTCCAGAGTCTGCCACCATATGTAGCTTTTGTGGGCTGTACGGATTTCAGTTCCGCAACACAGAGGCTGCCACCTTCCTACCTCAAGCTGCCTCTTTCTTTGGGGCAAAGGTTTGAGATGGGGAGTGGGAGACTGTTAAAAGAGAGGTCCGGATTACTTTCAGTATTATGTCATCCCTTCCCCCAAATTCACTCCTAGGGAGACAAATAAGTTTGGGGTGAAGGTAGACACATCAATGGAACACTACAGAAAAAAATAGGGAAGTACAAGCTAGAGCAATACAGTAAGACTACAGATTCATCAAAAAACAGGTAAAACAAATTATAGCTTGAAAAGGAAGATATAGATAACAACTGAAGATAATAAAATACTTAAAACAAATTATAGGCAAATAGATGCTTGACATAAGGAGATAAATGCTGAGAATAACTACATGTAAATTGTCAGAAATTAATGTCTGTGGGTTATAAGGCAAAGATGGAAACCTTAGCAAAGAGATATAAAAGGTGATCAAAAACTACCCATTGTTCATAGCGCCCCCTTCTCTTGAACTGTCTCCCCCCCCCCCCCCGCTTCATCGTTATTAAGGGTCTTCAACCTAACCAGAAGCACCTGCTTTTTTATCTTTGCAGCCCCCTGCCCCCCTTCCCTCAATTTAGTTTACCTGTTACCAATGAATTACTAGCGTGTTCCCAAGATGGAAGGAATACCTCGGGGGCTCGGCGTCTGCTCTGGGCTGGAGAAAAAGAAGGCTGTTGGGGCTTTGACGGCTTTGTCTTCTCACTCCCTCTCCCGCTCCAGTGGCTGAGTCTATCTGCTCAGTCTCCCCCTGCAATGCAGCCCCTCCTAGGAAGGGCGGAAGGACTCCCCGCCCCCTCCTTGCCTGACTCGGCTAATTCAAACGATAGGTTCCAGAACACTTTAGGGAGGGAGACAGGATTAAAGCATCTCCGTAGGCCTTATTGGTCGGCACAATGATTCCCCAGCTCTTCCAGCACCCCCATGCTGACTGGGGTGCAATGAATGAAGCAGTTAATTGTCCCCTAATTTTAGGCTTATGGATTAAAACGCTTAACTCTAGATAACAATAGAGGGGTGTCCCTTTATTCCTCAATTTAAGGATTTTAGGTTACGAAATGTCTTATTTTTGAGGACCCGAGAACGCCTCCGTCCCTCCCCCCTCCAATCCCTACTCTTGCGACTCGTCTCCGCACCCTCGCAACGAGTAAATAAACCTAGGCCCGCTCCACCTTGAGTAGAGCACGGGGGGATGGGGTGGGATGCTTCTACGACTCTCTCAACCCTCGGCCGGGCCCCGGGGGACTTGGGGGGGCTCCTCTTCGTTTTGCCCCGCGGTGCCTGACGCGCAAGGGGGGGCGTGAGACTGCGGGCCGCGCGGCTTGCGGCTTGCCCCCCCTCACTCCCCCTTCCTCGGCTAGCGCAGCGGGGGCGCCGGCCGTCGGAAGCCGCCAGGCCACCTCCCACGGCCTCGCGTGGTGCAGTGCCTCCCCAGCCCAGGGGGGAGCAGTGCGCCCAGCTCCCGGCCGGACGGGTTTCGTAATCGCGTCGCCGCCGTTTCCGCCCCGAGCCGGCCCCACCTCTGCCGGCCCGCCCTCGGCTCCCCCACCGCGCCGCGGAGCCAGCCCGGGAAGCCCACACCGGCGGGCGCGGAGCGGGAGCCCCCCACCCGCGGCAGCCGCTGGCCGCTACGCCGGAGCGCGGCAGGTGAGACCGCGGCGGGGGTCCCCCGGCCCGTGAGCCCCGCCCGCCCCGCCGGGCGGAGACGCACCGGATGCGGGGGGTGGGGGAGGAGGGAGGCCGGGGAGATGCTGGGTTGGTGGGAACGGGGGTGCGTTCCTGGAGTAACAGCTTCCATCCACGCCGGTGCGGGGCGCAGGCCGTGGCCGCTCAAGAGTAGAGGGCCGGGAGGGACCAAGGTGGGGAGGCTAGAGGGGGATGAAGTCTCTCCCCGAGACTCACTGACCTCGGTGGCGGGGTGTGCAGGACAGAGTGAAGCACAGCTGGGGGCCTGGAACGGCTGAGCCTGAGACCGAAGCAGCCACGCGGGACAGAGCCAGGGCCCGAAAAATTCACAGCGGGGGCCCAGTCCTAGTTCGGCGTTGGGAGGAGCAGAGGATTTCTGGATAGAGCTGGGGAGGAGGCAGAAAGGCAGTCCTTGGGACTCAGCGTCCTGGGGAGGGAGCTTTGGGCCTAGCTCTGCTGGTTCCGAGTAAGCCCCCTCCCCCCCGACCCTTCTCGGGAAGGGCCCGATTGGTACTGGGGCCGATGCCTGTCATTTGACTGAAGGGCGCGGTTCCCTCTACCCCGGAGAGCCCTGGAGCCCCTCCGCAGCCCTGCGCCTGTCGCCTGCCGAGGTCCCCACAGGGAACCAGCTGCAGCCCCGGGCTTACAGCCAGAAGTGCCCACTCCATTCCCTCAATTCTCTTTCTCTTTCTCCTTCTCCAGCTGCTTCTTGTGAAGGCTTGTTAGGCAGCGGGTTGGAGGCCTTGGGGCTGAAGGCAGCGGGACCGGGAGAACCGGTTTGGGGCTAGACCAGGACCGCGGAACTACCTCTGTACATCCTTTCCCTCTGGAACCTGTCTCCCATCCCTCCTCCTGCTCACTCCCCCAATAGTTTGGAAGCTCCTTAGCCCTAGTGTGTGACCTTGGTGTCTCTTAGCTCCGTATTTCACCCTTCCTATTCGGGACTCGGGCCCAGTCCTCAGTGCTACTTGGCTGTCAGGATGTGGCCTTACACAGTCTGATCCTGATTCCTCCTGCTGTTTTCCTAGCCCCTTCCCCTCCACGGGGGTGGGGGTAAAGGTAGTGGGCAGTGAATGCAGGTGGCTCCTCCTTCTGGGCTTACCAGCTCAGTACTTCGTTTTTCCTCACCCCACTCACATCTAGATATTTTCGAGGACAGTGGCGGCCCGTTGCTCTTACTTCCTTCTCTGGCCTGTACCCCCTCGCCGCCCCCACATTCACCCTGCCCACCCTTCTCCACGCTCGGACGGTGCTGCCAAGTGTCAGAAACCCTTATGTTCTGTGTCCTGGGGAATGGAATTTCCTGGTCACTTCTCATCATCGTTGGCCCTTTCGTGCCAAGTCCTACACACATGCTTTCCCTCTATCCAGCTCTGGCCTGCTCCCTGGAAAGGGAACAGAAACATCCTTGTTCTCTCCACTGCCCCCTTCCCTTCCCCCCACTCCGCCCCTCTTCCCTCCCACCCTCCACTTCTGTCCGCTCAGCTGGGCGTTGGGAGAGAGTCCACTCTCTCTACAGCCTGTCTGGTGGGATCGGGGGTTTCCTCTGATTCTCCATTGTTTTCTTCATCCCCCCCGCCTGCAGCCCTCACCACCCGCTGCCGCCGCCACCATTGCGACAAGCCTTGTGACTGACTGACTTCCCCACTGCCCACAGCTCCCCTCTCTGGACAGCTGTGTTCTGACTTCCTCCCTGTCCCACTACTCCTCCCCTCCAGTGGTAGGAAGGGAAGTAAAGCCCAGGCTCCTGGTTCTCTCTCTCCCCTACAAGCCGTAGCTCTGTGTTCTTCGTGAGATCTCCTCCCGAAGCTATTTTAGAAAATCCTCTCAGTTGTTAGATCAGCGTAGGGTGCAGAGCATCGGGGTTCTAGCCGTGGAGGAGCGGGACATTCTTGTTCCTGCTAGAGGGTAATGCTCCTGACCAGCCCTGTTTGGAGCCTTTGAGGCTGCGTGTATCACAGGACTGGGAAAGTGCGGTGAGCACAGGGGAAACCCAGCTGTGCCCTAGCCTGGCCGGCAGTGAGCGAAAAAGGGCAGGAAGTTCTTCCCTGGACACTAACGCTACTGGAAAGTTCCTCATGTCTGGTTGGCTGATGAAGCTTGGGAATGGAAGTGGAGAGGAGGGAGGAGAGAACAGGTCACAGCATGAGAAGAGGAGGCAGGTGGGGAGGCCTGGGCCCTGCGGGGTGTGAGGCAGACCAGAGTGGCACGATGGGACATGTGAAGAGGGTGGGGAGCTGGGGAAGATGCCTTGTGGGACAGAAGATGCCTGGCACATAGGTCCCTACAGCCGGTGCACAGATAGTCTGTACACAGAGGTGCACACAAGGGAGTACTGCGGACACAGCCTTCGGGAAAGACCTCAAGGTCAAGTAATAAAGGAACTGGTAAATGGCTTCTAGGAGAGGTTGGATCTCAGTTGAAGGAAATGAGGAGGAACAAGGGCAGGGATTAGAGAGGGAAGAAACTCCTTGCTGTAGAAAGTTTCTCCTGAGGTCCAGCCTGCCGCAGTTACACACCTACAGCCTGGGCAGTCAGGGCCTTTCTTGGTCTTAAAGAAAATCTAGATGTTCAGAGTAAGGTAAGGAAAAGGGGAGGGACACGGGTGGAGGCCCTGTTTGTGAGAACAAAAAACCACCATTTCCTCTTCAAGGTCACTTCACCGCCCCTCCCCTTCTGCCCTGAACCCAGGGAGAAGGGAGGAGGGGCTCGTAGCACCCCCAGACTGCTCATTCCTGCTACTGTCCCCTGGCCCCTCCCATCTGCACCCTAAATGCTTCTATCCCCTTCCTCTCCCTTGGCTCCAGCATCTCTGCTCCTCAACCGAGCTCCCTCATGGTTCTTTCCCCTTCTCTGGGAGTCCAGCTGTGGGCTTCCTGTGTTTGGAGAGGTTAGTGTTGGGTGCAGGATGAGGGCCTTTAAGGGCGAACAAGGAGACCTGGGCTCATCGGGAGGGAGGCTTCTCCAGGAGAGGGTAGTGGTAGAGTTTTTCTCACCAACTTTCTCCTGTCTTTACTTTCCGTTCATCCAGGTTCCTGGATCTGAGGAAGACATAACCTTGTGGCTGCCCCCCCCCCCCCCCCCCAGTCTGGTCCTGCCAGGCCCTCAGGGTCTGAGACGCTGACCTTCACCGCCCAGCCAAGGGTACCACGGAGTTCGCCGTCTCTAGCCCTGTGCAGCTGAGTGGTGTCCTGTCCTGAACGCCCAAGGACACCAAGGAGTGGGCGTTCAAGGCACCAGAGCAAGCGCCCTCTGGGGCCTCAGGCAGAGGAGTGAAACTGGAACCGTCAGGGAACATGAGTGAATTTTGGCACAAACTAGGCTGCTGCGTGGTAGAGAAACCCCAGCCGGTGAGTCCCCGCACCCACCCCCACCCAGCACACACACAAGTCAATTACCGGGTCCTGTGAGGCACACACGCCACTCAGAAAGCACCCTGCCTGCCGCCCTCTCTGTCACGGCAGTCTGTCTGGCCAGGCAGGTGTGTACATGGGGTACAGGGGGGCTGGGAGGGAGCTGGAGGAACTGAGGAGTCCTAGCTGTCACTTCCTCTTTCTGTCCCTTCTGAGTTGGCGGGGTTGTAGGTGGAGCTTCGTACCTGTCAGTTTCCCCCCATTGTTGCCTCATCAGCCAGAGGTGACTTAGATAATGTCCTTTCTTTGCCTGGTGCTTGCTGTGCAGGCCCCTGTCCTCACCGCCTTGCCTGCATCCCCTCTGCGTCCGTCTTATTAGACCTTTGTGACTTCCCTGCTCTAATGCCACGTAATCTGGCTCATCAGGCCCTTAGCTCTTCCTTTAGCGGTTTTGCTGCGCTCTGGGTGGAAGAGGGGGCTTCAGACCTAACCCCGCTGTCTTCTCTAAGCAGAAGAAGAAGAGGAGACGAATTGACAGGACCATGATCGGGGAACCGATGAATTTTGTCCACCTGACTCACATTGGCTCTGGGGAGATGGGGGCCGGAGACGGACTTGCCATGGTAACCAGGGAATGGGGAGGGGCTGACGTGCGATTGTGGCCTGGAACCATTCCCCTTGTTTGAAGTTTAAGTGGGGGGACATAGTGAATAGCCAGTGGGGGGTAAGAGGGTTCCAGTTCTGGTCACCAGTTGCATAAACCCGAGACCGTGCATTTCAGTTTCTCACCTAGGCTGCCTCATTTTTACAATTAGTAAATCTTTGTCTATGGCCGTACCACCCTGAACGTGCCCGATCTCGTCAGATCTCAGAAGCCAAGCAGGGTCAGGCCTGGCTAGTACTTGGATGGGCGACAATTAGTAAATCTTTCTTCATTGGGGCGAGGGATATATATGACTCAAGAGTTACTTGGAGGGCTTTTTCCCAAAACCAGAGCCCTTCTATTAATTAAGAATTAATAGTAAGTCATAGCGCGGCTGGGTGTGTTGGGACAGGAAAGAGACTGAGTCCTCCCATCCTAAATAGTGTCTAATACACTTTCCTGCTCTTGGAACGAGGGGAATAGGCCTGGAGATGGTGATGGAGTCTTTTCACCAATTGTGAAACTCAGCTGAATATGAGAGAGTCCTTTGTGAGGGAGGCTTCTTAGTAAAAGACCCATTTGATCTCATCCTCATGAAAGTCAGTATGAAGGGAGACATTGAAACGTCCCTTGGAAGAATGGTGGTTGGTTTTAACCTTTTCGGATTGATTTTTTGGGGGGGGGGCCCCAAGGCGATGGGGTCTGCCTCTTCCTGGAGGGCACCGGTGGCGGGGGTGGCAGGGAGGGGAGCGGAGGTCACTTACTATGTGAGATTGAGACTTAGGACGGGAGTCCCACGTGTGCTTCCCACAGACAGGTGCTGTCCAAGAGCAGATGAGGTCCAAGGGAAACCGCGACAGGCCGTGGAGCAATTCCAGGGGCTTGTAGCTCCACCAGAAATGGTGAGTGGTAAGAGACGCCCACCCAGCACCCCCAGCCCCTGCCAACACACCCTCGTGGCCTGCTTCAGAACCCCCATCCCCTGCGAGAATGGGAGGTGAGAGGAGGGAGAATTAAAATGGAGGAGTCAAGACGGGAGGACCCGGAAGGGCAGAGAGACAGGGAGGTGCAGACAGCTAGAAAGCAAGAGGAAGAGCACATTGTGGAAATAACCCAGTCAACACTAGGGGGTGCCTTCTCCCCAAGGCCTCAGTTTCCCTTGAGGCTAATCTTCCTTCAATTTCTTTTTAAATCAGGTTCTGCTGTCTGAAGCCTCCACTCCATGTCCAGCTCGGAAAAGATGCTGCCCCCTCCTAGAACCAGTGACCCCAGGGCCCCTCTTTTCCCTATCTGCCTATCAGTGCCTCGGGAGGCTTGGGGGCTGGACTCCCTCTATTCCCTCTGGCTAGAGCCCCTCCTGGAGATGGGGTCAAGGCCACAGGACTGACCAAGTGACTACTGGTTGGCCAGAGGAGCTCAGCGGAAGCCCTTGGACACACTCAGATCTGAGATAGGAGCTCTCTGGGAACCCGGGATGAGTTCCCTTCTCCTGAATGACAGTCGAGGTGCCATCTGTTTTAAACTCTTAACCTGGAACTCCTTAAACGGGGTAGGTGAGCGAGATTCCCAAAGCTGAAGCCGGCTTTGCTGGGAAGCTCTCCTTACCTCCCTGCCCTTCTTCTTCCTCCTGGAATGAACTGAAGCAGACGTCGAGCAGGGAGGGGGGGGGGAGGGTGACCACTGCCTAGTCTACTCTTTCTCTCTAGACTTGAAGCTCACAGTCCTTCAGTATCTCTCTGCAACTACCAGGGTCTTGCTCTAGTTAGGCCTCTAACCCTGTGTCTGTCGCATGGTGAGTTCCCCCAACATCCATCTTTCTTCCTTTAATTAAAAATTTAATTTGAGTTCTCTTAATGACCTCCCTCCTTCTACTACCTCTACCCCTGACCCCATCCCTGCCAGGAACCTTATTGTTTCTCAGTGATTAAGACCTAGGTAACAGGTGGATCTTTTAACCTGATGGTATTCCATTTAACTCTTGGGGACCTTGCCTGCCCTCTGCCAATCTCCCTGCTGGCCCAGGTGAGGAGAAAGAGGGATCTGGAGAGAAATCCGGAACGTTGCAAAACTAGGAGGTAGGTCTCTGAGCGGACCTCCGAACCACTGAGGACGGGAGGGGTGGGTGGTTGAAAACCATCATCTGTAACTTTAAGGATCTTAAGGTCCTCGCCGCGTGGGAGCGGGGGACACCTCCAGTGCACGCACTCTCGACCCAGGAGCTTCTGACCTTGGGTTGGGTAATTCTTTGTAATGGGGGACTGTCCTGTGCATCATAGGACATGTTGTAGCCTATCTGGCCCACCCTAGTTAGGATAACCCGGACTGTCCAGATTATTGCCAAGTGTCTCCTTGGGGACAAAACCACCCCTAGTTGAGGGTCACTGCTCGAGAGTCCAGGTATTTATTTCTCTTTCGAGTGTTTTCCTCGCCCTCCTCCCATTTCATTATTCATCCTCAGCCTGCGCCAGGCTCCACGGGCCACATAGAACCTCTCCACAGGCTCCTTATTCAGTGTGGGGCTCTGCTCGCACGGGTTCGCGTCCCCGGTGGATGCGTTATCTGCTTCTCCATTCTTGTCTGTGGAGAAGGGGCTCCTACGGTGTGGACTCGGGAACGGGGTTTAGTGAGATTGGGGAAGAGAGGGAGAAAAAGCAGAAGAGAATGCCACGGACACCCCGGTGTATCCTCTGCAAACTTTAAGGTCTATTTCTGTGCCCCAGTCCTAGACCCAGACACAAATAAGACTCAGGGAGTTTTGTCTGAAGACCAGGTCCCACCCCCCACCTGGCTGGAGTCTGCGTTTGGTGGGAAAACAATGCAGGAACAGGGCCTTCAGGCAGTTTGTTTTCTCAGGTGTTTTTTCTTCTGGCCCCTTCCTTGCAGGGTGGGTAGGAAGGCAGGTCAAAACCGGTGGGCTTCTACCTGTTGGGAGGCTGAGAGGGTGGGGTCTCTCATTAGCTCAGTAATTAGCAGCATCCTGTCTGATGGTGACAGGGCAGGACTGTGGGAACTGGGGTCCACCCTGCTGCCTCCACCATCCGTCCAGGTTATCCCTCCTCTAGTGACGGGTTCTAATTGTGTCTCCATTTCAGTGTATTTCCTGCCACTTTTCAGGGTCCAAGATCAGTCATACATTCCCGATTTACTGTTCGAATCTAGCTAGTTGTTCTGAAAGTAGCTCATTGTGTCCTAAAGTAGCTTAATGGCCTGCAGATCACACTCAAACCCTAACAGGATAGGGTGGAAAGATGGGGGGTGCATGGACTGTTTGGTCACCCTGGTCTTTAGCCTTATTCTGATGTCTTTTCTTTGGACACAGTCCTCTTTGGTGTTCTCTCGCCTTTAGCTACCTTTTCTAATATGTATGCTACCATCACTTTAACAGTATTTAAGAGTGATGGCAATGGGTTCAAGAGTCATAATTTATATTAAAAATGTGTTGGACTTTTAAATACATTTTTCAAATAAAAAATGTTTAAGCAAAAGAGTCGCAGAGTGATCACTACAGGTGTGTGTGTGGGGGGAGGGGGTCAAGGGATAGATGCAGTTGATGTAACTCCTAGAAAATAGCCAGCATGGAATTCTGTGCCAACGTCACCCTTTTCCAAGGAGAGAAGGCCAAGTACTGTGAAGGCAAGAAGACCACCATTCTCTGCCAAGAGCTCACCTCATTCTTCCTGTTCCCTCGTCCTGGCTTTCATCTGAGATTTTTCCGTCTCCAAAGAACCACTAGCTTAAAAACGACTTCAGGGGCGCCTGGGTGGCTTAGTCGGTTAAGCGTCCGATTCTCGCTTAGGTCATGATCTCGCGGTTCGTGGGTTGGAGCCCCGCGTCGGGCTCTGTGCTGACTGCCAGCTCAGAGCCTGGAGCCTATTTCAGAGTCTGTGTCTCCCTCTCTCTCTGACCCTCCCCTGCTCACGCTGTCTCTCTCTCTCTCTCTCTCCTAGAAATAAATTAAAAAAAAAACACAAACGACTTCAGAAAGGAGGAAGAGGAGCAACCTCAACATTTCATCCTGGGGGGCGGGGGGAGGAGAGGGATGGAATAGGCCGGAGACAAGGGAAGGCAGGCCCCATGGTGTCAGCTACACAGTTGGTTTTAAGGTTGAAGAGATTTCTGGTCTCTACCCTCAAGATACCTCTGTAAAAAGACACAAGACCAAACAATGATTTTTCTAGTTTTGTTTTTCTGTACTAAAAATATCCAGGAGATTCTGGGACTGAAAGGGTAGGGAGGTGGAGATGCTGACACCTTCTCTTGTGGATGAAGTGGCCATTACCTGCGGTTTCTCTCTATCTGGGTGAGGAAACAAAAGAGAGGAGGGGAAGTATTATAACCACATCTATATTCTTGTCCCTTCCTCTTCATTCTTGCTTCATCTCCCTCCCCATAAGCCCTCATTCCCTCAATGCTACTGGCCCCTATTTAGGCTTCTTTATATTGAATCGATGGTATTGGATACCCAGGAAGGAAGACAAAAACAAACTGGCAAAATGACTGACCATACATATACTATTTCATCATGCTTCCTCTCTGCCCCAAAGGTCCTGAGCCTATGAACTGAGAATATTTTATCGGGTCAATCAGAACCTTTGGTAGTTCATTTGATAAAGCAGAGGACTATCCTTCCTGAAGAATTCTTTACTTAAGTTACTGGAAATAATCCCAGTTGGGACAGTGCTGGTTAAGAGCATCGGCTCTGGTGTCAGTGCCCCCCACTTCATCTATAAAGTGAGTATGAGGGGCACCTGGGTGGCTCAGTTGGTTAAGTATCCGACTTCAGCTCAGGTCATGGTCTCACGGTCCATGGGTTCAAGCCCCGCATCGGACTCTGTGCTGACAGCTAGCTCAGAGCATGGAACCTGTTTCAGATTCTGTCTCCCTCTCTCTCTGACCCTCTCCTGCCCACATTGTCTCTCTCTCTCTCTCTCTCTCTGAGAAATAAAATATTAAAAAATTTTTTAAGTGGGGGCGCCTGGGTGGCTTAGTTGGTTAAGCGTCCGACTTTGGCTCAGGTCATGATCTCACAATTCATGGGTTCGAGCCCCACGTCAGGCTCTGTGCTGACAGCTCAGAGCCTGGAGCCTGCTTCAGATTCTGTGTCTCCCCCTCTTTCTGCCCCTCCCATGCTCATGCTCTGTCTCTCAATAATAAATAAACATTAAAAATTAAAAAAAAAATAAAACTTAAAGTGGGAATTATACCTCACAGCATCATGAGGATTGATCCTGGTAAAGCGCACGTAGTAAGACCTTACATATGAGCTATTGTTACTAATAAACTGCATTAATGAGCTGAGAACTATGTCTTCCATATCTATTGTCTGCATCAAGAGTTGTCGATATATTTATAGTCTTCACAATTTGGTCAATAATCCTCTAATGACCAATAATAAATACATGTTGCCCATTAGGCAACCAGCAGTTGCTCAAGAAATAAGCGGCGTCAACGGCTAACAATAATGTGAATGACTAGTGTATTATGATTCAATGACCAAACGGATAACACTTCATGCAAGCACCTGGCTGGTTCAGCAACGGGATTTTGGCTATCAGGACTTCTCATCAACCAAGATCCTGGCTATCTCCAAACACTTACTTACTGGTTGCATCTCTGTGAACACTGAAGACAGACTGTTCCAAATATCCTCTAGCCCCATCCTGACTCGTCTCCAAAAAGCGAGGGCCGGACTGGGGCTGGGGCTGGGGCCAAGGAAGAAGAGGGTTGCGGGTCTGAGCCTGTCGCTGAGGGGGGGTATGGGAGAGGTGGTGGTGGTGGTGGTGGTGGCGGCGGCGGTGGTGGTCTGAGTGGCGCAGCTGGTGTCAGAACAGAGACTGGTGTCCAGGGGGCACTCCTCCCGGAGCCGGTTGCAGGGACATTGCTGGTAGGTGCAAGGCCGGTGCTCTGTGCGGAGTTGGCTGAGCGCCCCGACGCGAAGTCGCCCCGAAAGACCCTGCAGCTTCCCTGCCCTGGACCGGCTCATGGTGCCAGACCTGCAGTGGCAGTGCCATGGGCCCCAGGGCATGAGCACCAGCTGCAGATCCTCGGGTGGGGGCATGGCTGTTGGCGAGGGGTGTGGCCACCGACTTGGGGTGGAGCCTGCTGTTGACCACTGGCTACTGTAGGGGTGAGCGGTGTCCTCAGCCGACGTCCAGGTGGAGGCCGGCTGGTCCGAAGAAGACATCCTGATCTCAGGCTCCTGAGTGTTAGCTTTAAATCTGGGGCTGGGCATCCTCACTGTGTTGGAAGTCGCTCTGAGCACCCCTCCGCTCACGTTATTCTTCCTGGCGTTAATCACAACGCCCTCTTCCAAAGACTCATCCTCCTCCGGCGACGACACAATCGACTTACGGACGCCGGTAGCCACCGTGGAGGCCAAGAGCTCGGTGGCGGCCGGGCTTGCCAGGCGGTCAGCACTGGCCACGAGGTCATCCTCATCCTCCATTGTCACCCTCATCTTCTTGGGAGCCCCGGTCCGGAGGGAAGTTCGGTAGTTGCGGGACATAGGGACCCCGACGTGGAAACTGACCCGCTGCGTCTCGGTCGCAGTCAGGCCTCGGGCCCCCGCCGCCCGGGGCCCCAGACTCAGCAGCAGGGCCCATAGCAGCGCGCTGGCGGCGGGGACCATGGGGCCCCGGCAGCGTGCGGCTGAGAAGGAGGCCAGCGCAGGAGGCCGGGCCTCCTACCTTCTCCCTCCCTCCCACTCTCGGGTCGTTGGAACCGAGGCCTGTGGGGCTCCTGCCGCGCGCCACGCCCCTCCCCCAGGCCCTCTCGGCGCAGCCCCCGGGGCTCAGCTAAACACCCCGGAGCCTCTGCAGCCAGAATGAGCCCGAAGCAACAGATGCATTGTGATGTAAGGCCCCGGGCAAGCAGTGCACTTCCTCGCAGCGGGGCTGAAATCTCGAAGGGCAGTTTATTGACGACCACAGAGCTGGACTGACTCCAGAGGACGCAACGACTGGCTTTGACAGCACTCCTTCCCAGGCTCACAGGCAGCGGGCGGCACAGGGAAGGAAGCAGCAGTTCTTCAATATCTAGGGAGCGGACTCCTGGTTCCCAGCAGCCAGGCCAACTGCGGTCCGCTAGGCCCCGCCCACCCCTCCACCAATCGCCCAGCGTCACAGACCAGCAGCCCCCCCCCCCACTTTACATGGGAGGAACGCGACACTCAGAGAGACGCAGTTCTGTGCCGACGGTTCTGCAGCTCCAGCAGGACTAACACCCACAGCCTCGCCCTTTCCCGCACAAGACACCCCTACATGCACCCCTATAGCTGAAGTGATGGTTCCCCGGGCAGATCAGGTGGCGGGCCTCGGAGCCCCGCTTTGAAGGCAGGGTTATGAGAGGAATGACAGGTGAAGGTCCAGTGGCACTGGGATTGAGGATGAGGGGGTCGGATGTTTCAGGGGTAGGACACGGGCAGATGGATATCTTTGCTTGGTTCTGATCAGGGTCCTGGGTTCCTGTCTTAGGCTAGGTCCCTCCTGAGCCATGGAGATCCCGGTCCAACCTAGGAGAGAGAGAAAAACAAAAAAGCGGTACAGGAGCGGGACCTGGATTTTACTCACTGGTTTGGAGAGAGAAACCAGAGCACTGAAAGAGAAGATCGGGGGCTTGAGCCGGTGGTCATTAGGCTCCTTAGTTCCCTCGGACCTCCGGCCACCGCATGTTTTCTCCTCTTCATTGCCAACCTATCCCCTCTTGACCTCTTGGGGAGATCTCAATCTCCTCTAAATTCGGCGCTGTGAACATTCCTTTATGCTCTGATGCCTCAGCACTTACATGTATCGGGTTTTTTTTAGTTCCCCTGCATCTCCCCGGAGGCATTAAGAAAGTGGGAATTGGCTTTATACATCCCACCCCGAACCTTTATCCTTAAGCTCAGAACTCACTGTCTGACAGCTTCAGGGATGTGAACCTGATCCAAGGAGATGAGTTGGGCCAGCTCTCCCAGGCTGTTCAGAAAACGGATCTTTCGTGTGAACTTGGAACTGAAAAGAGAGGATAAACCAGGGCTCCTGGAGAGGCTTACAAAGGGAAATGTGACAAATACGGTGCGGGGAAGGCTAGGAAGAGTCAGGGTGGGGGCGAGAGCTTCTTAATCGCGATTTTGAAAACGGGAGCAGGTCCTTGTCCCCCAGGCTCGTACCTGATGAAGGGTCGCAGCAGCGCCAGGAATGCCTTCACGTACCAGGTCGCGTGGACAACCACCAGAGCGCTCAGGTTTTTCCGGAGCCTACAGAAGAGGAGGTCGTCCTCTTCTCCCACCGTCGTTCCAGAAACTCAGGTGGAGCTAATCTTCTGCCCTTTCGCTTCTGCAGTTTCTAGATTTCTCTGGCAGTCGGAGCTAGTCCCCTGCAGTCTGAGCTCCGCCCACCATGTTTAGCCCCGCAAAGCTCCTCAGTTTCACGAAGCCGTCTTGTGGGAACTCCTCAGTCTAGCGGCCTCTGCCCCCTCTCCCTCCTGTGCCCTGCCCTTGCAAAAGGCCTTGGCGACCCCCCTTCCCCCTCCCCCTGTGACGAGGACAACTGCCAGAACTCCAGGTGGAAGAAGACCGTGAGGAGAAGAAAAAAAGAAGAGGCCAAAAGAAAGAACAAAGTGAGCAAAGGGAAGATGGGGAAAAGAAAGGGGGAAAAGAAACATCGCGTGAAACAAACAAGTCAGGGAAACAGGCAGAGAAGAGAGGCAGACAGTGGCTGTCTGGGAAGTGAAATAAATGGAGAGATGGTGACAAAAGGGAGCCCCTTCTGGGTGCCAGGCGACCCGCTACGCGGATTTACTTGATTTCCACACGTGTCCAGTGGCAAAGGCATTCTTGTTGCCATTCTGCGGAGAAGGAAACTGAATCCCCGCAAGGCGAAGTGACTTGCCCAAAGTCACACGGCAGGTAAATAGGAAAGGCAAGATCTGAAACTAGGTTTCCCTGACTCCGGAGTGAGGACAGAAGACCGGAGAGGCCTGGAAAGGGGTGTGGAGGGACGAGGAAAAGAGGAAGGGACTACATGGAGGAAGGAAGAATGGGAAGAGGGAAAGAGCAGGTGCAGAGAGACTTGCCGCCCTCCCAGCCTCGAGGCTCACCGGCGGTCCAGAGCGTGGTAACATTGGCGGATCCAGCCCAGAGCTGGGACCTGGGCCCTGCTCGTGCCTCCACTCAAGTGGACAAGCAGGTAGTTCTCAGCTACCAGCAGCTCCAGAGTGCCCACCATATACCTGGGGGACACACAATCGTCAAAGAAGGTACATGCTTCGGGGCGCGCGGTGTGGGAGGAACATTACTGTAGACTCGGCAGTGAGCTGCTCATCACACATTTCTTTTTTTGCTTTCCCCTCCCTACCATCCACCCTGGAGCCCTGCAGGGCTTGGGCCTCACCTGAACAAGTGCTCCATGACATAGGTGTAGTTGGGGACACTGCTGCTGGGGAGATAACAGGAAGCAAAGACGATGACAGCGTTGAGGCCATCACCATGGTAACCTGGCAAGGACAAAGGGACAGCCTATTCATCAACAACTACACACTGACAGACGGTACGTCTGCTTGGGTGGAGGGACTCTGAGGGTCGCTGGGAGTTACAGGGAGGATTCTGTACCCAGTCACCGAGTTTCCAACTTCAGCATTTTATCCGGGAAGTCATAGTTCTTACCCCTCCCCTTTTGGTAGTCATTACCTCCATGAGAGAGGACTTTCTTGTAGGGCTCAATGACAGTCATGTCCACTCGCTGCTCCCGCTGTCCTGTTCGGAACACCCTCCAGTGACGACCATCTTCTCCAGCCACATCCCACATACAACCCCGGCCCAGCCTTTCTGCTGCGTCACTGGCCCCCAGTCCCTCTGCGCGGGGCAGCTCATCTGAAAGAGAGGGATGGGAAGGGTCCCTAAGGCACAGCACATACCTTCAGTGTCATGTAACCTCCCCAGGTTCCTGGAGCTGATTACTCCACCATCTCATTCCTCAGTGTTTTCCAGGACTCCAGCCCGAGTTTGTCCAATCAATCCATCCGCTTGCTGGTTTCTCTTTCCTGTGACTCAAGATCCTCACGTTTTCCCTAGACACTGGCCTTGAGGTAACCCTGCACTATGGTAGGTCCGTGGCCCTTGCCAGTAGTAGTTATTTTTTTTCTGGATTCTTTCTTTCCATGCTCTTCCTCCGGTGAGCGCATCTCTGCCCATGTCTCCCATCACCACAGTAAGGTGACGATTTCAAATTTGCCTCTCTAAGCCGCACCTCTCTCCCAACTCTGGGCCCATGTCCCTAATGCTTAGAGTGGACATCTCTCGTTTGTGTCTTTCTGTCGTCTTCAAGTCACCAGACCCAAGCGGAATTCAAACTCATTCTTTTCTCCTCTCTCCCATATTTCCTTTCTGGGAGCACACAAATAAAGGAGGGGTAGAGAAAGAGGGACAGATGATCTGAAGTGGGCTCTGCGCTGACAGGCGGACAGCAGCGGACCTGATGTGGGGCTCGAACTCATGGGCCCAAGATCATGACCTGACCTGAAGTCAGACGCTCAACCAACTGAGCCACCCAGGCGCCCAGGCCATATTTCCTTTCTTGATGACTCCACCCATCTAGCTGCCTGAGAGAGAAAACTGGTGTCATCCAAAATTTTCTTCTCTGTCAGCCATCAAGCCAACTGTACCCCAGATCTTTTTCCAACTATCTCCATTACATTCTCTTATTATTCTTTCCACTATTACTGTCCTGATTCAGGTTCTTAGCACTTCTCACCTGCCCTTAGTGCTAACCTCTTAACTGGTCTCCTTGCCTCTGGTCTATTTAGTCCATTCCACCCTCTACGCCCTTCCTACAACAAGCTTTGCTTTCTACCCTACCTTTCTTATTCAAATGGCAATATACTATACCCAGTTTTTCTGCATGATCCTTCCCTAGCAATGGGAAACAGCTGCTTCATCTTAAAAAATGGTTGCCTGGTATTTAGTATTCCATTGTATGGATGCACCGTATTAGATTTCATACTCTACTAATGAACCTTTAGGTTGTTTCTAGCCTCTTTAGAGTCATCAGATCTGATAGTGTTACTCCCTTGATTAAAAGCATTCAGTGACTTCTCATTGCCTACAGGATAAAATCTAAACTCAGTGGGGTAGCAAGGACCTCCATGATTTGACTCTTGCCAACTTAACACAGTACCCTGATTCAGAAGCTCAGGTGACAACCTGGACATCTGATTGGTGTCTGAAGCCCAGGGCCATGCTGTGGGGACACTGTGTGGACGTCTGGAGAACTGGTTGGTATGGGAAAAACCCATACACTTGGTGTCGGGAGCGTCGTGAGTAGAGAAGAAACAAAGTTTTGCTTAATATCAAAATAGTGATGCTTACTACTTTGAATTCCCCAACATGCCATGTTCTTACCCCACTTGTTTCTTCCTCCTAGAATGCCTCCCTAGCTACCCGATAAAGACCAGCTCAGAATCCCCTCCTCTGTGAAGTCTTTCCTAATGCCTCTCAGGTGGAATTGACCTTGGTCCTCATCCCTGCCCTATACACATATGTAGACCATAATCCTTAACTACACTTATTTGTACATTACTAGACAGAGAATCCCCTGAGGATAGGACTATCATCCTCATCTTTATAATTCAGTTCTTGCTCAGTCATAGCATGTAACAGTCACTCAATAAAATTTTCCTTAATAAACAAAGGACCCTCCCCGTCCCTCTACTGGCTATTCTCGCGTTGGATCTATAGGCTTTTTATTCTGAGGAAAGTAATTTCGCTGACCTTACCACTCAGTCCTCACATATTGCTTCTAACTTTAGTCCAATTAAATCCTTCCTGAGCTTCTTTAACTCTAGCTTCTACTTCTACCAGCTCGAGCCCCAGGTTTCTTTCCCACCTTCCCATTCAAATTCATGTCCACTGTCCAGCTGCTCCGAGTCTGAAGGTGTCTCCAATTCGTCTACCTCCAGGTCAGAACTGCCATCAAGAGAGGAAGGTACGGAGTGAGTGGCAGAAGCTCCATGGCCTCTGGGTTCCGTTGTCAGATTCAGCTGCAGCTCTGGGGCAGAGAGACGCTTACGCATGGGGCGTGGGCCACACAGGGCTAAAGTGCTGGGCGTACCTGGGGTTGGGAGAGAGGAGAAAAGAATAGAAAAGTATGTGTGTGTCAGCCAGAGGAGGTTGGAATTCCAGTATATGGAAGTGAGGATATGGGGTAAATTCTAAAGAGGAACTAACACAGGGGACATCTGGGAAAAGAGAAGTGGAAGTGTAAAGGGATGAGGGCAGCAGACTGGCCTAGAATCAAGAACTTGAGGCCTACGTTTTTGTTTTTTTTTAACGCTTATTTATTTTTGAGAAAGACAGACACAGAGCACAAGTAGGGAGAGGCAGAGAAAAAGGGAGACACAGAATCCAAAGCAGGGGCTTTGGGCTCGGGGCTCTGAGCCATCAACACAGCGCCTGATGCGGGGCTTGAACTCACAAGCCGTGAGACCATGACCTGAGTGGAAGTCGATGCTCAACTGACTGAGCCCCCCGGGCGCCCCGAGGCCTATGGTCTAATTTACCAACCTGCCTGGGAGGCTCTCTCGGGATCCTCAGGATCTTCAGAAGGGTCAGCTTCCTCAGGAAGAAGTCTAGAGGGGAGAGGTTAAATGCAGATTAACCACATGGAGCCAGGTATCAATTTATCAAACCTCTCGCCCCTCCACCATTTTACCACCTCTGCCTTTCCCCCCTCCTTCCTTCAAGCCCTCGTTTCTCATCCCTGCCCTCCATTCCTGAGCATCCCTCCCTTTTCCCAAGGTTCGTCTGCCGCGGTCCTCACCTGGGGAATTCCTCGTCTTGCCACTCCTCCTTCAGCTCCAATTCCCCAAGGCTCAGGGGGGCTGCCGGCCCCGCTGCCTCAGCATTCTCCGTGGCCCTAAGAGTCCCCGGGGAGAAGACGTGATAGTGAGAAAAACTCGGCAATGTCTTGACCGAAGTGGATCGTAGATAGGAGACACGGGAATGAACAGTAAGGTACAGAGCAGGGCACGGGCCTTAACCCCTCAGATGTCTTGTCTCCTGAAGACATGTACCACCTCCATGTTCCTGGAAACAGATGCCCGCTGAAGGGTTTTAGGAGCCCAGGAAGGGTGGGATGTAAAGCTGGTCCTATGTAACTCTGTGGCGCTGCCCCACCTACATGAGTGGTAGACAGTCCACATCCCAATTGGCCAGAACCTGACAGACCTGCCCAGCTGTCACCAGGCACAGCTGGGGAAGATGGCACCTCATCAGGCCTGCCTTTCCTCCACCTCGCTGGGGAGTGGTCAGGGGTGGAGAGGCGGAGAAAGAAGGGAAGGAGGAAGATTTGCTGGGAAGGAGCACCTGGACCTAAAGATCTTTCCGGGTCAGCTTTCCTGAGGGCTGTTCTGGGTAGGGGGCATTAGAAAACACAACAGGGAGACTTTTTTTTTTTCTTTAAGTTTATTTATTTTGAGAGAGAGAGAGAGAGAGAGAGGAGAAGGACAGAGAAAGAATCCCAAGCAGGCTCCGCACCATCAGCAAGGAGCCAGACATAGGGCTTGAACCCACGAACCATGAGATCATGATCCGAGGGGAATCCAAGAGTCAGGCGTTTAACTGATGGACTGAGCCACCCAGGCACCCCAACAGGCAGTTTTATGACACAACACGATAGGGAATTATCCTGAAACCCCCAGGTCCCCGTTTCCTCCCTAAAGCTGCCCTACTCCTCCGCAAACTCCTTTTCTTGCAGCTGGGTCTCGTCCAGGAAGCCGAGAATTGCCCTGATCAGAGCTGGATGCTGGGAAAGTCCCTCCAAAGTATTCACTGCTTGCTTCCAGTCCAGTGAGCTGGATCGTACTCACCCAAGGTCTAACGCCTTTCCTCCCACATCTTGTGTGGTTCCCATCTTCCCGCGTCGGTCTGTCTTCCTGGAACACTCGCAGATGTCCGAGAGCGGGCTGTCCTGGCCACCGGGACTCTGGCCTTCTCACGCTCACTGCTAGATGCTCCTGCCTCCAGCAAGGGAGGGGGAAGGGAGGCAGCCTTGCCTTCAAACAGGTTTTGCCACCTCGCTTCCCTTCCCAAGGAGCAGGTTTGCCCCAAAGAAAAACCCTGCCTATGTGGGGGCGGGCTTTGGGGAGGAGAGAACATTTTCTAGAATGGCTAGTCTTGGGGAATCGAGGAAGGCAATTTGTTTTCCCCTCGAAATGCCGTATCATCTTCTGGGAGCTGCTCTTTATTTTTTTTTAATTTAATATTTTGAGAGAGAAAGGGAGAGCAAGCAGGGGAGAGGCAGAGAGAGGGAGAGAGAGAATCCCAGGCAGGCTCTGCCCAGGCAGTGCAGAGCCCAGACACCAGCTCCATCTGACAAACCGTGAGATCATGACCTGAGCCGAAATGAAGAGCTGGACCTTAACTGACCGACCAAGCCACCCAGGCGCCCTGGAAGCTGTTCTTTAAACAAAACAAAATAAAAGAAACAAAAAAACAACAACAATAAAACCAAAAAACAAAAGATAACGGTAAAAAATATTTTGGTTTTAAGACTATCTTGGCCTCACTTTTCGAGCATAGAAGCAAGATTGGGAAAGCTGTCATTAGGAGGGTTCTGGGTTCTAGAAGAAGCAAGAAATGAAAGGCCGAGGAGGCGGAGAGTTAGAAGGCCATCGCTTCTCATTCCCGAAAAGAGTTAACGAAGGGAGCTGCCCCCTCCGCAGGAGGGAGATGAATCTTTTTTTTTTTTTAATGTTTTATTTATTTCTAGGAGAGAGAGAGAGAGAGACAGCATGAGCAGGGGAGGGCCAGAGAGAGAGAGAGAGTCACAGACTGAAACAGGCTCCAGGCTCTGAGCTGGCAGTCAGCACAGAGCCCGACGCGGGGCTCGAACCCACAAACCGCGAGATCATGACCTGAGCGAAAGTCGGACGCTTAACCCACTAAGCCACCCAGGCGCCCCGGAAGGGAGATGAATCTTGAGGAGCTTGGAACCATTATCAGAGAGAAGGGCCTGATTATAGTTATAAAAAGAGACAATAAGACCCCAAACAGGAAAAAAAAACCCTGTATTTAATACTTTTAACAAAATGCAAAAGAACGTACCCAAGTTACAAAACATAAATTCCTTTGGTTCGGAAATCACACAACGATTTTTACCTTCCCACAGCTACAGGCATCATCCCTACAGTGAAGTCATACCATCCCCCTCTTTCTGAAGACGTCATGCCAGAATCGTCCCACGTCCCACTGTCTGGTGGGACCACTGGCAACTTGCATGGAACAGGGCTGCAGGGCGGGAGAAAGGGGGACAGGTGGGTCTGAAGGCAAAAGGGAGACTCTACACATGCAGAACAAGTCGGGGGGGCTCTCTGCGGGTCACTACGGTATGCATTGCACCCCTATACATGCTACATGAGGCTGAGTCCCTTGGTACAATCACATATAAATACGATTCGGCCACCCTGAGCTCCTCCAGGGAAAACAGAAATAAAGAAAAAAAAAAAAATATATATATATATATACACAGAGAAGCAGGGGAGAGAGGGATGGCAAAAAGAGGCAGATCATAGAAAACCAGAGAACATCCAGTCCAGACCCTTCGTCTTACCGATGGGGAAAATGAGACCGAGAGACATGAAGGGCCTTACCAAGAGACACACAGTCCATGGCAGCCGGTATAAGGACTCCACGTTCCCTTCCAATATGAACGAGAAGAGAACGAGATGGACAAGGAACTGACGGGTCCAGGACATAGAGCCGGGGATCTCACTGCACTTTTACGGTCTTTTGGGAACAATGCCTATATGGTCTTAAGGCCTTCCTGCGTGTCTCCTGAACTCTCAAGAACCAGGGGTCTCCTGGGTCTTGTTGGGGTCCCTGTGGCTCTGAGGGACCCAAAGAAACTGAGAGCCGGGCCAGCTGGCCAGGACATAAGATAATGGCTTCCTAACTGCTTCCCAATAATCCTAACAGAGTCATGATAAGCTCAGAATACAACCGTAGCCACCTCGGCCTTGGACACCACCGCTTAATTGGGGGCTGAAAGAGGAATCATGGAGCCAGATTCTGCTGAAGGCTGAAAACCTCAATAGTTTCCAAAGCACACTCCCTTTTCTCTCTAGCTTAAAGTAAGTAACCAATAAATACCTGAATCAATCAGAGAATAAATGAATACCAGGAGACAATGATTGTTTGGTTCCATGAGAGACACTGGTTCTGTTCAAGAGCCTTCCTGAGGGCACTTCTGGGGTACACTTTCTTGTGCCACTCTGTTAGAACTATGCAGGTATTACCTTGTGCCCCCGGCAAGCGAAATAGAGGAGTCAGTGCAGATTTGGAGAATTAAATTAAATAATATGATCTGTCTAATGGGTAGAGATCTGGAGAAAAGGCAGAAAGCCATCCCTAAAGCAGCTGTTTTCTTTCACTTTGTTCTCCTCCCAGGTTCATGAACATAGTACACCAGATCCTGGAGCAATGAAGACAGAACGGCCGACACATCTCAACACATGCAACTGAGGTGGTTCGAGCAACCTCTCTCACCATCCTGACCCCTCCCAGCAGTCACTTCTGAGACAGTGAGGCAGTGGTCGACTGTGATAGTGAGATCTGACTGCACTTCTCAAAGATGGCCTCCGCTGAGAGTTTAGGCAGCCCCTGATCCAGGGGGCACTCATCCACCAAGCTGTTCATGGGTGTGGGGGGCAGTGGAGGCTCCTCCTCATCTTGACTCAGTCCAGGAACCAGGGAGTTCCCTGCCCTGTCCAATTCCTTGTCCACCTGCTCCCTGCACACACCCTCTGTCTCAGGCGGCCCTGAAGGGATCTTCATGGAGTCAAAATATGCTGACAGGGCCTCCTGGAGCAGAGGCAGAAGTTTCTTCCGAGATACCTGGGTGTTGCCCTGAAGATAGGCTTGGAGGTTAGGGTGGGTGCTTGGGGCAGGTGTCAGCTTCAGGGATGGAGAGTGGGAGCGTTCCAGAACTCCACAGATCTAAAGAGGAGACAAGAGGGGGAGGTGGTACATAAGGTGGTGAAGCAAACAGCTGGAGTCTCTTAAGTTAGAGGCTTCTCTTATACAGGAGAAATATTTTTCATTAAATCACCCAGAGATCAGTATTACTGCTAATAGACATGGTATTTAGAAACAGAAGAAACATCTGACGTTTATTTTTAAGATAGAGAGAGACAGCATGAGCAGGGGAGGGGCAGAGAGAGAGAGAGAGACACAGAATCCAAAGCAGGCTCCAGGCTCTGAGCTAGCTGTCAGCATAGAGCCCGATGTGGGGCTCGAACTTCTGAACCATGAGATCATGACCTGAGCTGAAGTCGGACACTTCACTGACTGAGTCACCCAGGTGCCCCAAAAGCATTGAGATCATATACCTAATTTTAGTAAACCCTAGCCTGGAGAGATTAAGCATCTTGAGCTAAATCACATAGATGATGGGAGTCTGAAAGAGAACCCAGAACCCCCTGACCTCGTGTTGTTTCCAAGCGTATTTCTGGGCTCAAAAACGTGAACTGTATCCTTAGCTAGAATGGGACAAGCATATAGACTGAAGTCAGGGGCAAGACACAGGCAGAAAGAATGAACATATCAAAGTGGGGGTAGGAGGTATGCTGAGTCAGATCCCTTCCAAATACTGCCTCACTGAATTGTCACAACTACCTTTGAAGACTTGGATTAGTATTACCTTCATTTACAGCTAGGGAAACAGAGGCTTAGATTAAGTAACTTGCCTAAGGTTATAGTCTGAATGAAGGAAAACTGACATTTGAACGCAGGTCTACCAACCAAAGCCAGGGTTCTAAATCGCTCTCTTATATCGTCTCGAACACAGGAGGAAGAGAGGAGACGGCAGGGTGCACTGTGAAGAGAGGATTCCCATTCCCCAGCCCGGGCAGTGGGGGAGCCCTCTGTTAGGCGCAGAGCTTCAGAGGGGTAGGGTGGGGAAAAGGTGGGGGGAGAGGGGGAGACACCTCCTATGGCCAAAGCACCCTTTCCTTCTTGACATGATTAGTGACAGCCGCCATTTACTCAGTGCTTACTCTGTGCCTGGCAACGTACTTTACATACGCTATTATGTTTAATGATCACATCAGACTAATCAGCAGGTGATATTATGTCACATACAGATTCAAAAGTCAACTGATCTGCCTGAGCTCAAAAAGCAGGTAAGTGGCAAATCTGGGACAGGAAATGTGTCCACTTGCTTTTTTAAAACTGTAGTTCTGGGCCACCTGGGTGGCTCAATCCAACTTCATCTCAGGTCATGACCTCACGGTTCATGGGTTCAAGCCCTGCATCGAGCTCTGTGCTGACAGCTCAGAGCCTGGAGCCTGCTTCGGATTCATGTCTCCCTCTATCTCTGTCCCTCCCCTGCTTGCACTCTCTCAAAAAATAAAATGCTAAAAAACAAAACAACTGTGGTTCTTTCCACGGTGCCAGACTACCTTCCACTGAATGAAATTACATTTGCTTCCTGGAAGAGAAGAAAGGATGACATACCTTCTCTGGATGCAGAAGATTATCAGGCTGTATGCAGACCAGTCTTTAGCAGCCTTCACGAAGCCCAAGAAACCCCAAAAGTGCCTGGACTGACTCATGTCCAGTTTTTTTTTTTTTTTTCACGTCCAGTTTTTTAAAAAAAATATTTTAATGTTTACTTTTGAGAGAGAGAGACCGTGTTTGAGCAGGGCAGGAGCAGAGAGAGAAGGAGATACAGAACCCAAAGCAGGCTCCAGACTCTGAGGTGTCACAGAGCCCGATGTGGGGCTGGAACTCACGAACTGTGAGATCATGACCCGAGCCAAAGTCAGATGCTCAACCGACTGAGCCACCCAGGCGCCCCTCGCATCCACTTTTAAGTTCTCCTTCCCTGGGCTAATTGCCCAGTAACCAACAGAGGAAAAGAAAGGGGAAGAAGTGGGAAAGGTGGTCCAACAGATCAGGAAGGAAAACCTGAGCCTCAATCTCTTCTCTCCAGAACCAGCGGTAGACACTGTCACTCACCCCTGCGTGGTCAAGTAGTAGAAAAGGCTTCTCTTGGGGCACCTGGGTGGCTCAGTCGGTTAAGCCTCCGACTTTGGCTCAGGTCATGATCTCACGGTTCGTGGGTTCAAGCCCCACATTGGGCTCTGTGCTGACTGCCAGCTCAGAGCCTGGAGCCTGTTTCAGATTCTGTATCTCCCTCTCTCTTTGACCCTCTCCTGCTCACACTGTCTCTCTCTCTCTCTCTCAGAAATAAAGCATTTAAAAAAAAAAAAAAGAAAAGAAAAGGCTTCTCTTGTGTTTCCCAGTTTCAAGGCCATAGGGTAAAAAGAAAGGAACTGATTTTCTGGGGTGAAGAATTAAAGATTAGGCTAAGAATCAAGTTTGAACTCCAGATTTATAACACTGCCTTTTAATCTGATTTCAAGGTCCTTCTAGGTAGGAACTGTGTCTCTAATGCCCTTTGAATCTCTCTTAACAGTATGATTAAGGATATTCACATATAGAGAGAACGGGGAAAAGCAGGGAGGGAGGATTCTGGAAAAGAGGTCAGGAGACTTCTGTGTAAGTGTGAGAACCAAGGAGAGGTTTCACGGCACCGGATGGTGCTTACAGGCCGAGCTTTGCAGGGACCTCGGGCTGCAGAAGGGACAGAGACTCACCATCGTCCGGAGCGCCGTGTGGGGACAGAAAATAGCTAGCTGCCGCACTGGCTCGTTGTGAGCATTGAAGAAGATTGTCATGGTGACCAGGACATCGCAACTGTGCGCCTGGCAGAAAGCATGGAGGTCGGCGATGAGGCCAGACCTCTGCAGAAAGGCCTGGAAAAAAAGAAATGGGGCAGTGAAAAGGGCTACAGTGGGACCCTCCTTGTCACCAGTAATAAAACATGCCCACAAAGGTTAGCCTTCCACGTTAACCTGGGTCGTGTACTCTGGGAAAACGGTTTCTAACATTTACTCTATGTTCTTTGTGTGCTGGGAAGCAGTATGTAGTATGGGGAGAATATAGGTTTGGGTTCAGACAGAACTGGTTTAGAAATCAGCTCTAATAGGTAACCACCAGCTACATCATCAAGGAGTTGTATCAACCTCCCTGGACTTAAGCTTGAGGATAAAACTTGTACCAAGTGCCTGTTGTAAGAATTAAAACATGATCGTGTATGTAACATGCCCGGCACGTACAATGTTATCCCGCTCTTGCCATCCAATAAGCAAGGTCTTCCCCTCGTAGGCATTTTTGTTCAAAAAGAACAGTGGGGCACACAAGTCACAGACACAGGCCGAGTGCATCGCCAGCTCTTCACTCTTTGCCAACCTCTACTCTTCCCCAAGGTCTCGCAGTATTTCCTCTGCCGGCTACTACTACCAGCTACTCCGGATCCGGGTTTTTCCTCTGCCCTTGGCATTTCTCATGTCAATTTGTACTGTGTCAATTTATGCTACTTGGCAAGCCTTTTCCGTTCTTATGTTTGTTTCCCAAACGAGGCAGCAAGGGAAGAGACCAGGCCATTTTGTTTTATTAAGATTATTTAGTATTTTGACGCAGTAAAAACTTAGTAGAAAGCTGTACAGACGAATGTGGAATGTGTTCAGGTCCAGGTGCTGAGTGACTTAAATCAATATGATACGGGACCAGGTAGTAAAATACCGTTATCAAAGGTTACATTCATTCACCCATTCAACAAAATTTCCTGAGCACCCCCTACGTGCCAGGCGCTGCCAAAGGTGCCGATACAGAAGAAACAGGACCCCAGTTCTGGTGGAGCTGATAAACTGGTAGAGTAATGCAGACAATAAACAAGGAAATCATGAAATTGATCACTTGAGTCCATTAGCTAAGAGTAAAACTAAATTTAAAATTTTTTAGAGACTTATGAGCACAAAGGATATTATGTTAGTAACAGTGGTCAGGAACAACCTCTTAACAGAGGAGACATCTAAACTAAGAAATGAGTGATAAGAGGGGCGCCTGGGTGGCTTAGTCGGTTAAGCGTCCGACTTTCGCTTAGGTCATGATCTCGTGGTTTGTGGGTTCGAGCCCCGCGTCGGGCTCTGTGCTGACTGCCAGCTCAGAGCCTGGAGCCTATTTCAGAGTCTCAATCTCCCTCTCTCTCTGACCCTCCCCTGCTCACGCTCTCTCTCTCTCCTAGAAATAAATAAAAATATTAAAAAAAAAAAAAAAAAAGAAATGAGTGATAAGAAAGAGCCAGCTCTGCAAAGGAGAAAGCCAAGTGCAAAGGCCCTGAGGTGGGAATGAGCTTAATAGATCCCGCAAACAGAAAGAAAATGAGTGTGGCTACAGCACTGCGCATACAGGCGTGGAGCTGGAAGGAGATGAGGTCAGAGAGAGAGAGAGAGAGAGAGAGAGAGAGAGAAGCGCCAGATCAAGGAGGGCCCTATAAACCACAGTAGGGCTGTTAGAGTCTGCTGTTTTTTGTTTTTTTTTTTTTAAGTTTTATTTATTTAAGTAATCTCTACACTCAATGTGGGGCTGGAACTCACAACCCTGAGATCAGGACTTGCACACAGCTCTGACTGAGCCAGCCAGGTGCTCCTGGGGCCTTCAGATTCTATCAGGAGCGCAGTGAAAAGGCAGCAATTGAAGGGGGCTGATGTGATCAGACTCACATCAGTTTTGTTTTGTTTTTTCAGACTGACACCTTATAAGAGATCACTCTGGCTGCTATGGGGGAGAATGGTTCACAGAGGTGCAAAAGAGGAGGCAGGAAACCAGTATGCAGGCTATCATGGTAGTGCAGGGAGAGGTCATGGACTGTGAGAGTGCCAGCAGGCGTGGGGAAAGGTACATGGGGACAAGATTTATTTTGGAGGGAAGCCAGCAATGAGGAGCAAGGTTACATACACAACTGAAGATTTCTCTGTCCACCCACACCTTGCTCTTACCTCCAAATCCATATATATTGCGCTGATGGCCATCTTAATGCCTTGTCTGGAGATGCTTTTCTGGTCTTTTCTTAGCATTTGCTCAGTGGTCAGTCCTAGACAGTGAATGTGAGGCCAGGGGTCAAACAAGAGAGACTGGGGTCCCCAGACCAGGAAGGGGATGACACCAAGATGGGTCAAAGACTGAGGACAAACACAGCCTCTCCCTGGGCCAGTGAACAGGGCAGATAACGAAGACTACAATTCTATAATAGCAAGATTCTCTTAAATAACTGAGTCCCATTCATTGCCTCTGGAGCAAAGGACCATGGAGAGGATAAAAGAAAGAAAAGACACTTTTGCCATTTCCCCCTTCTGTGTTGTTTTAACTTTCTGTAAGTACATGTGGTCCTTTTTTTTTTTTTAATGTCAACAGGTGGTATCTGGGTAAAAAATTATGGAAGTTTTTTTGTTCTCTTCCTTTGTCCTTTGTAGATTCACCCTAAGTGTTTCTTCTGCTTCCCTAAACGATTACCTAGATCTCACCCGGATAATGTAGTGTTCCCTCAGCAAGTCTTACTTATATATCTATAGTTTCTGATTAGCCCCGAAATCTCTGACACTCTTACTATACTCCTCCTCCTCCTACCTGGTAGCCAGGTTAGTAAATCGGCTGATTAGTTCACGATCAAACTCACATACTCCCTCGGTTCTCTCTGCTTCAACCATGCTGCACGCTCTGGTCCTAGTGCTCAAGCACACACGGAACAAGGCCTGTCCATCTGTGCTCTCACACGCGAGGGAGAGAAGTCAGTTTACCGTTTCCCACCTGATACGTCAAACTTTGCCTTCTGTAGGCAATCAAAGATGTCATCTCTCTTGGGCAGATCTGGGAAGAGGGCCTCCAGCTTCTCCACGTATCTGCTGTCCTTTGGGGTTGCCTTTCCCACTTTCAAGTCCATATTGACACAGTCCAGGATGATTGTGCCTGGGGGGACGGGAGGCAGGACTCAAATCCCAAGGCCTTCCGTTCACAACCACTAGAACACACACACGACCCTCAAACCAGATGGATGTGATACGGGGAAGGGAGTGTGGTGAACTCACTGATGACAAAACGAGAAGCCGGGGCTATGTCCTGAGTAGGACCTCCCCAATCCAAACTAAAAGGCAGGCGGGCAGAAAGGGTGCCCGGGCACCCCCAATCCTCAGAGATCTTGAAACTGAGTCAGAGAGAGATGACCTCCCTTCTTAGAGGGAGAAGAGAAACTTAGACGTTGGAAGAGAGAGTCTAGTTCAATTCTCTGTCTGTCTGTCTCTCTCTCTTTTTTGTTGTCTTTGCAAATGGAGAAAATGTGAACAAGAAGGGTTAAGGTCACACAGCCACCACAGGCTGCTTTTCGGTCCCTTATCCCGTGCTCCCTTCCTGCTTTCACCATAGCTGTCTTGTGCCTAATTGCCCCCTGAGAGGCCCCAGCTTTTGATATGAGCTGGACAGCCTGGAAAGGGTACGATTGAGCTACAAGAGGCTAGACTTTTCCACTCTCCTTTCTCTGGGGTGGATCCGGGGGACCTAACCCGAAGGCCGCCCGCCCTCCCTCACCCTCCCTCACCCTCCCTCACCGTGCAAAAGGGCTGCGGTTTGCCTGTCCAGGATCTCTGGCGCCCCCTGCAGGATCCTCTCGGTCACCAGGGTAGCACAGGATCCCACCAGCTCGACGGAAACGTGGCAGGGAGGGCAATGTTTCTGCTGGATGGGCCGATGGTCTAGCACCTCAGCTACTGCCTCCTCCAGGGCTGCGTCGCTTCTGCGTGGGACAGTGGGTGTGGGGACAAGAGAAAGAAAGAGAGGTGGGAGGCCTCCAGCAGCTTTGAACCAAACCTCCACCTCACCCATGAAGGAAAATGCACATTTAGGCAAACACTTAGAACTGCTGTCACTTCTACCTCTGCATCACTGCTCTCAATTCTTTTCTTTCATGTGAGAACTGAAGTCATCTTTAAATAGCATGTAAATGGGAAAAAATAGTATGTCCGTGAACTTGGTGAAGTATCAGCGACCAGTATCTTAGCCACGTATTTGATCTCCTTAGGAGCTGCCTTTCCGATTGCCGCCCTTGGCATGCGGTATTTCGATCTCTCCTGTCATTCAGTCCACTTCATGCCCAAATTCCACACAGTTCACCAGATCCTCTGGCTTCTATCTCCATCTCTATCCATCCCCTCCTTTCCAACCCTCTGCTACTGCCCTATTCTAAGCCCTCAGTATCTCTTACCTACATTATTCCAACATCTTCCTAACCAGACACCTACTTCTGGTCTCAGGCCCTCCTAAGCTATCGTCCATCAGGCTGCTGAGGGTGATTTGAAAAATGCAAACTTGATTCTGTTAGGATCTGGATTAAATATAATTCACAGTCGTTCCCCACTGCCCTAGCATCAGGTCTAAACTCCTTGGCAGGGCCTACCCGTTTCCACAATCTGGCCCCCACCTACCTCCCTAGCCTCACCTCTTCCTATGTCCTACTTCCGGGTCACAGTTTTATGCTCCAGCCATGCAAAACAAATTCCAGTGCTCCCAATTCACCAGCTATCTCACGCCTGCCTGCCTTTGCTTACATGAATTCCTTTGCTCTTCCCAACTACCCCTCCCCCCCACCCCCATTCCAGGAACAAACACTCAAGAGCGAATCAAGGGTGAATTCTCTTAGGAAACGTCTCCTCCTACCCTCCACTCCCCTTTAGTGTATTTCACTATTCCATCCTCTCCACACCTATTTGTCCTCTAGAATATCAGGTATCAACACGCCTCTAATACCCATCACAATGACACTAATGAGTTATTTTCGTATGTAGGAAATAATTCTGCTTTTTAAGTTTTATTTATTTATTGTGAGAGAGAGAGAGGCGAGGGTGGAGGGTAGAGAGAAAGAGGGAGAGCGAGAATCCCAAGCAGGCTCCACACTGCTTGGCACAAAGCCTGACACGGGGATAGAACTCATGAACTATGAGATCCTGACATAAGCTGGAAACCAAGAGTCAGATGCTTAACCAACTGAGTGATGCAAGTGACCCCAAAATAATTTTGCTTTTTAAAAATTAAAAAGAGTTGGGGCGCCTGGGTGGCTTAGTTGGTTAAGCATCCGACGCGATCTTGGGCTCAGGTCATGGTCTCACGGTTTGTGGGACTGAGCCCCTCATCAGGCTCTGTGCTGACAGCGTGGAACCTGCTTGGGATTCTCTCTCTCTCTCTCTCTCTCTCTCTCTTTCTATGTGTCCCTTCTCTCTCCCAATCCCAAACACACATGCTTTCTCTCTCTCAAAAATAAACTTAAAAGAAAATAAAAATATATTTAAAAATAAAAATTAAAAAGAGTTGCAGCTGGGGTGCATGGGTGGCTCAGATCGGACTTCGGCTCAGGTAACGATCTCACACTTTGTGAGTTTGAGCCCTCCATTGGGCTCCCTGCTGTTAGAGCAGAGCCTGCTTCAGATCCTCTGTCCCCCTCTCTCTCCCTCTCTCTGCCCCTCCCCCACTCCTGCACACATGCTCTCATCTCAAAAATAAATATTAAAAAAAAGTTGCAACCGCTACTCAAAGGCTTCTAGTACAGTGACTCTGCCACAAATAATGATACCAAAGGCAGATTTAAATGATTTCTAAGTTATCTTTTAGTTTGACTTCTCCATGGTTCTATTTCTTTTTGTTACTTATAACTGGAGAACTGAACTGACAATATTTTCTGTTGATTTTCTATATCTGATATGACCCAGCAATTGCAATTAGCCTGTGAGATCCGCAAGAGCAGAAACTGTCTTCCTCTCTTTAGTTCTTAGTGATCAGAGTTCAACATGGTACGTGCTAAGTATTGGCTTAACTTCCTTCCACTTACTTGGGTAAGACATGATGGTCAACAAGGATAAGGGTGAGCTGGCCAGCCTGGTGCAAGGCGTGGAGGTCAATTTCATCCCGGAAAATCAAGAGGGACTCTGGAATGTTAATCTTCTGAAGGAAGAAGACGTTGTCACCTCGTAGAGGTAGCTCAGAACGTGTGATATTTAAAACTGGCACAAAGACTTCCTCAGTCTCTGTTGTCTGGATAAGAAAAGTGAAAAGAACATATGGCGATGTTTTGGGCATAGACAGGAAAAGCAACAGAATTACTGGCACCAGAGAAGATATGATCTTGGGGCAGTAACTGCCTTTCTCAAAGCCACAATTACCCAGTTGACAAACATAAAAAGACAACTCTTGCCCTCTCTCCTTAGGACACATGAAGGTCAGCAAGACAGCTCACGGAAAAGACCTAGTTCTAAATGCTGCAGGGAAGGCATTATTAATCCTCAAGAGCTGACCTGGGAATGAGACCCCTGGTCCCCAGAACTCGATAATAAACGGCTTGAATTTGCCTTATGCTTTACAAATTCTTCCACATCCGTCTACTCCTGTGCTCCTCCCAGGAGCACTGCAAAATAGCATCCTTTCAGATGTCATAGATTGTGACCGGGGACTCAGGAAAGCTGAGGGATTTAACCCACCCAAGAGTAAATGGTGTCGAGTAGCAGAGCTGGGTCTTGGATCCAGATCTTTTCATTCTAAGGGGCTCTGCTGCTAAGTACTCACCTTCGCCAGGTAAAAAGCCAGGGCAAGGGCTGACACCATGGAGTCCAGGTCACAGGCTTCATTGCCCAGAACGACATGTAGCGGCCGGGACTCCTGTTGAGGAAGGAGAGCAGGACACTAGCGGATGTTCCTCTGTCCGTTCCCACTGCCCTGAGCAGGGCTTCACACATCCTGTCACTGACCTTCACGGGAGATGTAGGTCAGATAATCTCATGAGCCCTCATTTCATGGATGAGGATATCAGCAGAGAGGCCACCTGTGTTTAGCTAAGTTTAAGCACTCCATATACATCCAGGAAGTAGAAAGGGGCCCTTTCTTCTACTACACTGCCTCCTTGATTGTTAACAGCAGTAAAGAATTCTCTAACTCCTCATGCTTCTTTGGGCACTCGAGAAATCAAAGGTAGAGCAGTTGAGATAGGTGATCTATTCAGGCCGCATCAACCCCGGCCTGTGTCTTCCCCTGACCTTGGTGTTTTCAAAATAGGGGAACACGTCCTTATGCTTCTAAACCGTAAGAGGCGAAGAGCTTTTGAAAATAAAGGTAAAATAAAATCCAGTCCGTGGTCCAGTTATCCAGTCTGTGAAAATGGCCCCAACCCGGAGGAGCCTCAGTGATGACCAGATAGAAGCGACATGCACTATCCAAGACACACTTTTCCTGGCAGGGTCTGATGAGAGCAAGAACAGTTGTTGCTGCTGGAACGTTTATTTTTATGTATTACTCTCTATTAGTGTTACTTTTAAAGTAGTCTCCTATGCCTAATGTGGGGCTCGAACTCACAAGCCCGAGACCAAGAGTTGCATGCTCTACCAACTGAGCCACGCAGGTTCCCTGAAACTTATTTTTAAAATATTTTTTAAATGTTTATTTATTTATTAATGTTTTATGTATTTTTAGGAGAGACAGTGTGAGCAGGGGAGGGTCAGAGAGAGAGGGAGACACAGAATCTGAAGACAGGCTGCAGGCTCTGAAGTGTCAGCACAGAGTTGGACGTGGGGCTCGAACCCACAAACTGTGAGATCATGACCTGAGCCGAAGTCGGACACTTAACTGACTGAGCCATCCAGGCGCCCTGAGGAACCTTCATTTTTAAAGCTCTGAGAAGTGCAGCTGCTGATGAGACCGAGAAGGGAGGAATATCTGTTATTATTAACCTGTTCCCTTGCACCCCCCTCGCTATCAGAGTCTTAAACAACAACCCGAAGAGGTAGGTACTTTAAGAATTATGCCCATGGCTCAGTTTAGGGCACAAGAATTCTCTCTTACCAATTTAGTTTGGAACTTCTATCTCAGCCCGCTTCTGAGAGAAGGGGTAAGGACAAATGGAGACACACCGGTTACAGCAGAGTTTCCGAATTTCAGCACTAGTGGCTTCTGGGCCTGGATCATTCTTTGTGCAGGGACTGTGCTGTGTGTGGGGGAAGTGTGGCAGTGTCCCCAGACTCTACCCACAAGATGCCAGGAGCATCACCAGTCATGACAACCAAAAATGTCTCCAGATTTGCCAAATATTCCTGGTGGGGTGGGGGTTCGGGCAAAATCACTCCCAGTTGAAAACTACTAGGTTACAGACAGGTAAATATCCGAACGCTCTGACTTCTTCAATCAGGGAAGATTTACTAGATGCAAGAGTTTAGAAAAGTAGGAAAGGGGTTCAGAGGAACAGAACATAGCAAGCAATAGTTATCAAGTAATGTAGCTATAGGAAGAAAGGGAATCACCTTGCCTGTTTGGCTGTTACCCTTCCCCCTTCCTCCCTCCCCCAGGAAGCTACGGCCAGAAAGGTAAATTTTAGAGGACTTTTGGTGGCAGAAGTTGCCCTATCCAGTAACTACAGATTTTTCCCCCTTAAGTTTTATTTATTTAAATAATCTCTACACCCAACACGGGGCTCGAACTCACAACACGGAGATCAGGAATCAGATGATCTTCCAACTGAGCTGGCCAGGTGCCTCAGGTTTTTTTTGTTTTGTTTACGTTTATTTACTTATTTTGAGAGCGAGCATGAGCAGGGGAGGGGCAGAGAGAGAGGGGGAGAGAGAGAATCCCAAGCAGACTCTGCACTATCAGCACAGAGCCCAGTGCAGGGCTCAGACTCATGAACTGTGAGATCATGACCTGAACCAAAATCAAGAGTCTGATGCTTAACCGATGGAGCCACCCAGGCGCCCCCCTCCCACCCAAGTTTTTGTTTTTAAACTACTTCCCCCCCACCGCCTCTCCGACCCTCAGAGAAGCACAGAAGGCAGGGGTTTTACACAGAGGACCTCTGGGGGAGTCCACCCTAGGTCCTCCCCCGTACCCATGTCTCTAAGCCTAGCTCAAGCGGGTGGCGGCCCAGACCCACTCACACTGAACAGCACGGGAGGGGGAGATTCCTTTCAGCACTAAACTCTTTTCCTACCTAAGAGGAGAATTCAGTCCTATAGTAACTCCTCTAACTTGCAACTGCTCCTTCTGATACCAGAGAACGTCCCCCTGTTTCCCAGATACCGAGAAGAGCCCAGATGGCTGTGGACCAGAGCGACGACAAAGGTAAGTGGCCGTAGAGATAACCTGCTCACTGAAGCAGTGTGGGGGGCACCGTGTTCCCTAGAAATGGGCCTGTATAAATACGAGCGGCCATATGGCCCCGACTCTAATGGAAAAAGGTAAGAGGAACAGAGAAAAGGCAGAGCGAGTGGGACAGACCTAGTGCTGGGCCCTCTGAGGCACCTTCCAACACTCGCTCGCGCTGGTGCTACTCCAGCTGGGTGGGGACAGGTCAGAGGCCCAGCACGGAGGGGGGCTAAGCAGGGGGGCAGAAGGGAGGCACCACATACAGCTCTGTGACTCAGGAGAGATGAGATCCAGACGAAGGTGAATAACTAGCCCCCCATGCTTGTTCAGGCCAAGACAGCAGCCAAAAGGAATGAGTGTCAAAGGAATTCTCTGGGCTCTCAGCGCATCTTGGGGCAGGCTTGAGCAGGGGCCACGGTCCGCCACCACCCTAGCCTGTCCAGTCCACTCACCACCCACAACACCTGCTGTGCACAGTCCCAGCTCTGCCCTTTAAGCGGCGGGACTGTCATTGGGAAAGACTGCAGCCTAGGGTTGAATCTCCGTTCTGCTTCTTACCTGTTAGGGGACTCAGACCTCTCCGAGCCTCATTGTTCGTTTTAAAAATGATGATCGTGTAACCGATTTCATGCAGCTGTTCTGAGACTTAAGTGAGATGGCCCGTAAGTGCCTACTCTGTGGCTGAAGGAGGAGCTGCCTTCCATCTTCTCCTCTCTCTGCCCGTCCCTGCCCCTTCATGCCACCTGAAGGCCCTGTCTCTGTGACGCCCTCCCCGGCCACCCAGCCCGAGCAATCCTCTTCCTCTAGGCCTCCAGCTTCTGGCACCATGGCCCTCACGCGGCACTGCTACCCCAAGGACCTCGCCCTCTTTTCGTGGGCATGGATCTTACCCTTTCACATAGCTTACGACTCAGGCGACCATCTCCAGATGGGGACACCTGGGAGAATGAAAAGGGGTGCAATAGAGGGTTATGTCTGAATAAACGAGAATGGTCCCGGGCTGCCCAACTTATAAGGCACCCTCTCCTCTTCACTCAGGAGGAACGTGTGTTATCTCGTAACCCGCCACCTCCCCCACCAGCCGAAAGCAAAGCCAAACAGCCCTGGCTTTCTGACCGTCAGAGGAAGAGTTGAGGGCAGATACGGCTATACTTAGAGCAGTAGGAAACCTGAGATGCCAGGGGGAGAAACGCAATCTAAGAGCCCCAAGTCAATATACACTTCTCTTTTCTTTTTTTTTTTTTTTTTAAATGTTTATTTATTTCTAGGAGACAGAGAGAGAGAGAGCGTGAGCAGGGGAGGGTCAGAGAGAGAGGGAGTCACAGACTGAAACAGGCTCCAGGCTCTGAGCTGACAGTCAGCACAGAGCCCGACGCGGGGCTCGAACCCACGAACCGTGAGATCATGACCTAAGCGAAAGTCGGACGCTTAACCAACTAAGCCACCCAGGCACCCCTACACTTCTCTTTTCTTAAACAAACAAAAACACCCCAAACCCACGAGTGACAATGGCTGTGTCCTGATGAGTGGCCTTGTGCAGGGAGAAAGGATGGGCTTCAGGGCTGCCAGAGTCAACCACTTCCCTTCTGAGGCTGAATATGGTCTGATGCTTAGTCTACAAAATGGTTCATGAGGGAGGGAAGCAAAGAGCAGGGAGCCAGGGATAGAGAGGCCACCCCCCTCCCCCGAGAATAGTACAGGTACTGAGGAAAGGACTGTGATGGCTGAAGGATAGCCGGCCACTCCTGATCGCTGCCCTCTGCGCGTACAGGAGGCAGATGACACATGTCATCTGCAGCTGGATGAGTACCTACCGGGGAATGCAGCCCCACCCTGAAGCAAAGGTTTCTATGCACTAGACGTGAAAGATGAGTCACTGTGAATAGGACATTTGGTTAAAAGGATTTCTTTTAAAATGGAACATCCAGGAGAGCCTGAATGGCTCAGTCGGTTAAGCTCTGACTTTGGCTCAGGTCATGATCTCGCGGTTTTGTGGGTTTGAGCCCCGCATCGGGCTCTGTTCTGACAGCTCAGAGCCTGGAGCCTGCTTTGGATTCTATGACTCTCTCTCTCTCTCTCTCTGCCCCTCCCCCGCTCATGCTCTGTCTCTCTCTCTCTCAAAAAAATAAATATTAAAAAAAAATTTTTTTTGAATGAAACATCCATAAGAGACTCTTAAATACAGAGAACAAACTGAGGGTGGACAGGGGAGTGGGAGAGAGGGGGTAAGTGGGTGATGGGCACTGAGGAGGGCCCCTGTTGGGATGAGCACTAGGTGTTGTATGGAAGCCAATTTGACAATAAATTATAAAAAAAAAAAAAAAAAAAGGGGAACATCCTAAGGGCGCCTGGGTGGCTCAGTCGGTTAAGCATCTGACTTAGGCTCAGGTCATGATCTCACAGTTTATGAGTTTGAGCCCTGCGTCGTGCTCGGTGCTGACAGCTCAGAGCCTGCAGCCTACTTCGAATTCTGTGTCTCCCTCTCTCTCTGCTCCTCCCTTGCTCTCACTCTCTCTCTCAAAAATAAATAAACGTTACAAATAAATAAAATGGAACATCCTACTATCATTGTGGCAGAGGCTGTAGGAATTTCTCTGGTATCAGGGATGCCTGGGTGGCTCAGTCAGCTTAGTGCCCCTGACTCTTAATTTCTGCTCAGGTCATGATCCCTGGGTCATGGGATCAAGCCCCATGTCAGGCTCTGCGCTGAGTGTGGAAGCTGTTTGCGATTCTCTTTCTCTCCCTCTCCTTCGTCCCCCTCCCCGGCTCCCGTGTGCATTCTCTCTCTTTCTCTCAAATAAAAAAATATATATTAAAAAACTTCCTGTTTTAAATCTGTCTGTTTAAATCACGTCTTTCTTTACACAAGAGACCATGGTGCAGCCTCCTCTGGGGAACTGGATGGGGAGAAGACAATCTTTTTCATAACCTTTTTTGTATTTAAAGTTTTTCCACTGTGTACATTTACTACTTCTATAATTAAAAACAATCTAGTATTTATGTATTCTAAGCTTATTTATTTATTTTGAGAGAGAGAGAGAGCACTATCAGGGGAAGAGCAGAGAATGAGGGAGAGAGAGAATCCCAAGCAGGCCCGGGCTTGATCTCACCAACTGTGAAATCATGACCTGAGCCGAAATCAAGAATCAGATGCTTAACGGACTGAGCCACCCGGACACCCTCCCTAGTATTTATTTTTACTTATGTAACATAAGTGCTATGCCCAACGTGGGGTTTGAACTCATGACCCTGAGATCAGGAGTCGCATGCTCTACTGACTAAGCCAGTCAGGCACCCCTATAATTAAAAGCAGTCTACAATGCTGGCGACCACCTGTGTCCCGCCCCCAGTTCCTCCACTAAGATTCCCAGGGTCTGATTTTCTCGTTTCTTCCAGCCCTGGCTAGGCTGTGTGATAATAACTCTAGGGTACAACCTCACCTTCACAAGTTCACAAGTTCAGAAAAAGAAAGATCTCGATCTTTCTTCTTGGGGGATGAATGCAAGCAGAGGAAAGTCAGGATACCAGCACTACTGGAAAAATCCAGGAATTTTCAGCTTCCTACTGCTGTAGGAGTTATGTGTTAACCTGGGGTACTCTGTTAAGATATCTTAGGAGAGGGGCATGCAAAGAAAGGCCATCTGGTGGCGTTTCAGGTCTAAGGGCTCTTTACCAAAAATGGTGGAAAGGAGGCCCGTCATTTGGGTTATCGGGGGTGGAAAAATTCCAACTGCTTAGCACTCGGAACAGCGCCACAAAGATTCTACATCAGTCCTCCAATGAGCTCCCCATGGTGGAAATCAGAGGGAACCCAACAATTGGTTCCAAATTGCCCTATGCATTAAATCAACTTTCCCAAAGTTTGTACTTCACGAGGAAAAACTTGGTGCCATCGGTATTAAAAGTGTCCTTTGCCCTTATACTTCAGGTGAGGACATTCATTTATGCCAGAAGCCCAATCTGCCAAAGAAAATAATAGGTAACTTTAAGGATTTGTTAAAGACTAGGATGAATCGCCCGAGGGAATTTGCAAAGATACTTTACAAGGAAAGCATAGTCAACCATCCAACTAGGCCTCGACAGGGGCAGTGGGACTCGGGGTAGTGGGGGGCCAAGGGACCTCTTGGAGCCTCTCTGGTCAGCTTTCTGCTGCTAACTGGGAGTAGCAGCCTAATGCTGCAGGGCCAGTCGGCAAGGCTGGGAGATTCCGACCAGCTCGGTGCACCGAAAGCAAGCCACAGAGCATTCAAAGCAAGCTTATAGTTTTGATTCCAAACCCACTTTGGACTCATCCCTTCCAGGCGAGGGATCCTTATGTAATTTACATGTGGGTTAAGGCCAAAGAAGAAAACTGAGGGCGAAGGAAACCAAGTTTGGGGTCAACAACTGATATGCCTACAGTTTAGCTTAAAAACATGCTCAAAAACCAGATTTAAAAAACCAGATTGAAAGGAAAACACCATGACCACCTCAAAGCTAGAATGGGTTCGGCCCGGCAGACAGAAACAGCCGGTCAGAGGCAGTCAGGCTGTGGGCACAGGTTCCCTCGTTCCCCCGGGGCTCACACGGAGGCCAATGGGCCAAGGAGGCCCTGGGAGCGGAGAGCTGAAAGAGGTGCGGAGAGAAAGGGGCAAATACACCTCGCGGGGCACGACCGGCGGCACCACAGTCCTTCACCTTTTGACGGAGCTGACCGAGGCGACGGCGACGTTGAGCAGAGGCTCAGATGCAGCTCCCAGACCCACGATTCCTCCTCCCAGCTCTGGGGAGACCCCAAAGGCGGGAGCCAAAACCAAGGAGGCTGAGCGGCATTCCCCAGAGCTTGGTTCTCGTTCCTCATTCCTCCGGCCCCGAGGCTGATCTGATCCCAGGCCCCCTCCCCACAATTCCGTGTTCCCTCCCCACACACCCTCGGGGTTTCCCCAGATCCCGCATCTTCGTTCTTCCTGGACCCCTTACGGTCACAGACCGGGATCCGTTACCTGCAGAGCAGCTCGACAACCCTGCAGGTAGTCCTCCATGGTGAAGTCCCAAGGTGTGCCACCGCCCCTGGCCGCGGAGAGGTTACCAAGCGAATGCTCCCCGCCCTGGACTCAGGGGCTTGGGGCGAAAGTCAAGAGGCGGGACTCGAACTCGCCACACAGCGCTTCGGCCCCAACCCCCGGAGGAAGTGCGTAATCCGGCGCTCCTGGAGTCCGACGTCGCCCCGCCCCCAGCGGCGGAGGCGGAGCTCTGCGCCCAGAGACTCACGGGACCCCTTCCCGGGGGGCGTGGTCGGTCGCGGCGCAGGGCGTGCTGGGAAACGTAGTTCAGAAGGGACGAAAGAATTTTCCGAGATCACTCATTTGACAGAGAAATGTATATGTGTCCGTGTAACCTATATTTGTGGCATTTGAACTTTCCCTCTCGACTCAGGCTAAGTATAGCATCTTTCCATACATTACACCGAGCATCTGGTTGACATCTTAAATTATACATGGCAAAAACAGCTCTTCGTCTTCCTTTCTCGAATTCTCCCCTTTATCAAGCTGATCCTTTGCCACCACGTTTCTGATTGTCCATGTTATTAAAACAACAGAATAATCTTTGACACCTCTTTTTTTAATACCTACGGTCTCTTGTAAGCTCCTGCTGCTGAGTCCTTTACAACTTGGTAGCCAGTTTTTTTCTATAGCCTCAGCAAACCGTCTCCTCCTTTTCCTGGACTGTTGTAACCTGCTTTTTTTTTTTTTTTTTTTTGCCTCCTGCCTCCCCAATTGTTCAAACTGCCATTTCAGCCTTCAGAGTTGCTTGAAGTTTCCTCCTACCGCAGCCCTGTGAGTCAAGTTAGGAGAGTCCTTCAGAAGTAGAGCTGGGTTCCAACCCCCTTAACTGCCACCTTCCAGCCCCATGGTAGTGCAGTGCACTGCAAATAAATGTACTCTCATCATCAAATACCCCCTCCTTTATTGATCCATCCCTTTATTTCTTATCGCCGGCTTTTCCTGCTCGACCCTCCCTGCCCCCCTAGGAACTGAGAGGAGGTGACAGATAGGAAGCTGAGGCCTGTGCTGGGAACAAGGACCTGGGCACCGTGGTATTCGATCTCCTGCTGCTCAGCTAGTTCTCTGCTGCTGCGTCTCTTTCCGGAGCCCAGAGGGTCCTCCCCACCTTCTGCACCACCAGGGGCACAGCCCAACTAGTTCCATTTCTAGACAGACAGAAAGAAAGAAAGAAAGAAAGAAAGAAAGAAAGAAAGAAAGAAAGAAAGAAAGAAAAATAGATACAGTAAGGACTTAGAAAGTAGCAGGATTTTTTTTAACTTTAAATGAGTAAATATGCACATGTTCTACTCTTTGGCCCTGCGTCTGTGGATCCAGAGCAAAGGCCGGCCATCCCCGGGGCGAAAGCCCAAATCCACCCGCAGCTGCTGTCCAGCCCGGCTCCTCCCCACGCCCAGCAAGGGCACTTGCTCTTCCCTGTTCTCACCAGAGAGGCACAAGCGCTCCGTCCCTTCCAGCGGCAGGCGGAGGGAGGAGAAAGGGTCTGTTGTTTTCCTCTCCTTGTTTCTCTCTCCCTCACTGCTGATCACCAGGCGGCTGACCGGGTCAGAAAGCCCTGATGGAAATTCTTCCGTGCCAGGCCAGCCCCTCCTCCTCCCGGGAGCTTGTCCTTGACTAATGTTTTTCTTTGTCCCGATGGGAAAAAGAGAGAGAGAAAGGAAAAAGAAAAACCACAAACTTCCTTTGAAAACCACCGGCTCGTAGTCCGGGCCTGGAGCGCGCGCCCTAGACTCTGCAACTCAGGAATCCTGAAGACGCTCCGGGGGACCTGGGAGCATCTGGGCTGCGCCCCAGCCTGCCCCCACCCTTCTCTGGTGACCCCAGTCGTGGGCGTGGGTCCGGAAGTGGCCTCCGCCACGCCGGGACCGCCGCTCATAAACCTGTGTAGACCTGTGTAAGCTCTGGCCTTGACAGCTGGGAGGCAGCTGGGACTCTGGCGGCGCCCCCCATTGCTCCCCCATCGACCTGCCACGGCTGGACGGTCCTCCTCGGTCCTGGAACGGCACCCACGTCTTCAAGGTAAAAACTTTGTTTTAACCGTTTCCTTTACCTCCCCTCCAACCCCGAGCTCTCTTTTTCCTCTCCAGCTCTGGGGAGGTGACACGGACTCCTCCTTGGGTCTCTGCGAGTGTGGATGGTGAGAGGAGGTAAGGGCAGGAGGGCTACGTAAAAAAGGCTTGGTCCCTTCATTTACTTCTTTTAATGAAAACTTCCCCGACTCTGCTCGCAAGCAAACAGAGAAGGATCGTGGCAGTTGACTTCTTCGGGGGGGCAAAATTTTAAACCGGTAGTTGCATGAAGATTTGGGTCAGACTGAGAAAGAGATTGCAGTGGGAAAGTTCCGGGGGGGGCGGGGGGAGGATGTGCATGTGGCTTCAATAAGCCACCCACCCATTTTATATGCTTCTTGCAACTTTTGGCTATTTACTGCCGCTGCGAGGGAGGGGCCAGGGCTATTTTCACTCCCTCACCCACCACCGGAGGATAATTCCAGCAGGAGAGAATGTGTGGGGCTCAGAAAAGAGGAAAATAATGAAATCCTGATTTGTCTGAGTGCCCTCCCCCTCCTCCTTCGCAGACACTCTCCGTGCCTACTCCACCTCGAGCTCACCTTGTGCAGTGGGAGTCCCCCCGTCCTGCTCCTCCGCTTCAGACTTAGCTCACTTAGCTTTGCCCAGTTTGTCTGAGACCCATCTCCATCCGGCAGCCAGCTCCTGGTTTCTTTTGGCTCTTTCCCCTCACCAGCCGGCTGCCCAACCCCCACTGAATAATTGATCATTTCTGGCATTGGACAGAAAAGATAAGAAACGAACGCTGCTTGTCTCCAAGCTCTTTTCACTTTCCCAGGCTCTGGTTTCTGCTTCCAAGCCTCAGCCGAAGTGTCATTCGGGAGGGGAGGGAAAAGAGAGGAGAGAGAATAGTGGAAGGTGTGCAGGCCATTTTTGCAAGTCGGATTCTAAATTAACGACATGTAATGAGATGCCGCTAGCATAAATGAGATTTGAATCAGGAGGAGTATCAATTTGGGCGACTCGACTTCTTTCGGTAACTTTTATGTCTTTCTTTCAACTTCATCTCGCAAGGCCTTAACCTAGCCCTGAATTCCTGCCGCTTTACAAGAAGGAGGCATAGCGTCAGGTTAGGAGGGAGCTAGAGGAAAGACAAGAGACTTCTAACAAGTCTTCATTTCTCCCTTTTGCTTACCGAGAGTCATGAGTCAGGGGAGAGGGGAGCTAAGAGGTTGAAGGGAGATGTTTTCCAGGGGACGAGGGTTGTGGCTTTCTTTTTTTTTTTTCTCTCTACAGCCTTAATGAAATGTCTGTGCTAGATTTGATGCTCAGTGCTGATAGAGAGCAGGTTAAACAGGCTCAGGGTTTATATCTAAAACAACCCACATAGAAATAGACAGAACATGTGCACAGGAAGCTGAATACATTCAGGGGGAGCATTTCCTTTTTGTTTTTAAGTTTTAATTTTTTTAATATTAAAAACATTTTCAGAGTTTATTTATTTTGAGAGAGAGAGTGAGCATGAGTGGGGGAGGAGCAGAGAGAGAGGGACAGAGAGAGAATCTCAAGCAGGCACCACACTGTCAGCATGGAGCCTGATGCAGGGCTTGAACTCTCAAACCAGGAGATCATGACCTGAGCTGAAGTTGGACGCTTAACCGACTGAGCCACCGGGGTGCCCCTTTTAATATATTTTTAAATGTTTATTTACTTTTGAGAGGGAGAGACAGGGTGAGAGTTGGGGAGGGGCAGAGAGAGAGGAAGACACAGAATCCGAAGCAGGCTCCAGCACAGAGCCGTCAGCACAGAGCCCGACATGGCACGGGGCTCGAACTCTGGAGCCACAAGATCATGACCTGAGCTGAAGTCAAACACTTAACCAACTGAGCCACCCCGGCGCCCCCTTTATGTTTTAATTTTAATTCCAATTAGTTAACAGTGTTATATTAGTTTCAGGTGTACAATATAGTGATTCAGCGCTTCTGTATGTGACCTTGTGCTCATTATGAGGTAGTCTTTCTCAGGTAAGTCAATAAAAAGTATGTTCACATTCCATGATATATGAAGAGTGGGCAGAGAATATCTCTGGGTTTAGGCGACTGGGGAGCAGAGAGGAACTGGGAAGCTGGCTATGCCAACTACAGCGGTCAAGAGTGTACGAACAGCATTTGTGGGGGGGGCAGTGGTTTTGTGCCGGAAACTGAAGTTGCCTATCAGAACCGGTCTCTGATTCAAGTCCACATGGCCCACATTTCCCCTCCTGACAGGAAGCCCCTCCCAAACCTTTTTGCTACAGCTTGAGATGGTGTACAGTTCAGTAGAGTCCTTGGAGGAGAGAGACTTCTTTCTCGCTGGTGTCTCATCGTTTAGGGCTTGATTCTGTCTGTCTGTATCTCCACTTTTCACCCCAAGCACTCTGTGATTGTTACTCTTTTCACCCTTGGGATGAAGCAAAGAGAGTTAGCCCTAAGGATATAAGCAGCCTGTGTGTGCTCTGGATTTTTCCCGAACAGCCAGGGGTGGGGTCTGGTGTCGGGCAGAGGACTTACCACCATCCTGGTTATGTTGAGGACTACCAATGTCACACCATTACAGGGTGAGCTAAAGATCATCATATTAATAACTAGCGGTACACCAGGCCCGTGAACAATGCAGGAGTTAGGGACGCTGACCATTCATGCAGTTGAAAATCTAGGATGCCCGGGTGGCTCAGTCGGTTAAGCATCATGATCTCACGGTCTGTGAGTTCAAGCCCTGCATCACGCTCTGCGCTGACAGCTCAGAGCCTGGAGGCCGCTTCGGATTCTATGTCTCGCTCTCTCTCTGCCCCTCCCCCACTCATGCTGTCTCAAAAATTAATACATGTTAAAAAAAATTTTTTTTTTTAAATCTGTGTGGGGCACCTGGGTGGCTCAGTCGGTTGATCCAACTTCGGGTCTGGTCATGATCTCACGTTCATGGGTTCGAGTCCTGCGTCGGGCTCTGTGCTGACAGCTCAGAGCCTGGAGCCTGTTTCAGATTCTGTGTATCCCTCTCTCTCTGACCCTCCCCTGCTCACACCGTCTCTATCTCTCTCTCAAAAATATAAAACATTTAAAAAAATCTGTGTATAATTTTTGACTCCCCCAAACTGAACTAACAGCCTACTGTTGACTGGACACCTTACCAATAACATAAACAGTCAGTTGGCACATAGTTTGTATGTTATGTATATTATATACTATATTCTGACAATAAAATAAGCTAAAGAGAAGAAAATGTTATTAAGAAAGTCGTAAAGCGGTGCCTGGGTGGTTCATTTGGTTGAGTGTGGGCTCCTGATTTCGGCTTGGGTCATAATCTCCCAGTCCGTGGGGTCGAGCCCCTAGTAGGGTTCCACACTAGGTACAGAGCCTGCTTGGGGTTCTCTCTTCCTTCTCTCGTTGCCCCTCCATTGCCCCTAAAAATAAATAAATAAGCGTTAAAAAAAAGTTGTAAGGGATACACCTGAGACTAATGTAAATTATGTGTCAACTATACTTCAACAACAAAACAAGAAAATCATAAGGAAAATACGTTTACCGTACTGTTTGCGTATTTACTGAGAAAAATCCGCATGTGGGGGGCCTGTGCAGTTGAAACCCCGTGCGGTTGAAAACGGTGTTGTTCAAGGCTCAACTGCACAGTTTTAACATTTCTTTCTCCATCTCTTTCCTTTCTGTCTTTCTCCTTTTACTTTCCCTTTTTCTCCATCCTTTTTCTATTTCTTGTCCTTATCATTTCAGGAAAGCCGACCCCATCCAATGACTTCAGTCCCGCCCAAATCCCTCCTCCCAACCTGAAAGCCCTGTCTCCTCATTGGTCCCATGTGGTCACATGCAGTTAGAGGTGACAAGACCTCAGGCTGGGGGGCCTTCTGTTTACCCAGCTAAGTAAGAGAGACATGTGCTCCCCATAGCCAGGAGTGACGGCGCAGAGACTGTGCAGCCTTCCACACTATATTCCTTTAACAAGACTTTTCTGGGTCCATTTGCTTTCCAGCCCAATGACTTCCTCCTTATTGGATTGGTCTCTTTTCCACCTACCAATCCTAGATTAGGCAGCTCCCTGAGGGCAGGAAAGTCCTTTGGTGCCCCTCAGGTGACCTCTTCTGACCATGGAACACCATCAGCCTGACCATCCAGCCTCTGGCGAGGCTGGGACTGTAGAGGCAGTCGGCCCTGAACCCCATGAGGTCCTCTCACAACCACCAGGTGAGCACCCCCGGGACAAGGATGCCAGAGATGCTGATGGAACAGCCAGGGAACAGGAGACAGTCGACCAAGCTTCGCTGCTGGTCCAGGGCCAGGATAACCTTGAGTCAGCTGCACCTAATGCTAGCTCAAGCCAACTGGAGCCAGCCCAGGGGGCACAGCCTGAGGTAGAGACAGAGGGAGCATGCTCCAGACTCCAGGAGCTCCCCCAGCCACCCAGGGCCCGACAGCCAGAGCTAGATTTCTACTGTGTGAAGTGGATTCCCTGGAAGGGAGAACGGACACCCATCATCACCCAGAGCACCAACGGCCCTTGCCCCCTCTTGGCCATCATGAACATCCTCTTTCTTCAGTGGAAGGTAAGACAGAGTCCGGATGGAGGCTTAGAAATTGCTGGTGAGGGTACTTTTCCCTGACCCGTCTCCTCGATCATCCTGATTTCCTCAAGCCGGGCAAAACTTCCCAGATTATTCTCCATGTTTCTCCAGCTTGAACAAATGAGACAAAATAGTCATAAAAAACAAGACAAAACAAAATATTTTTTCTGTCCTGCTCTCGTATCTTCTACTGTCCGGCAAATGGGAACGTGTCACAAAACTTCACATGCATTATCTCACCCCTTTTCTCCTGCCACGCCTCCCTGTCCCCCCCCCCCCCCCCCCCCCCCCCCCCCCCCCCCCCGCAATCCGTCCTCCTGTGTAGTTTTCCTTCAGCGCTCTATGATGGAAAATGCACACGTGGCTCACTGTTTGGTCACCCCTTCTGCCTCCAGGTGAAGCTGTCCCCTCAGAAGGAAGTGATCACATCGGATGAGCTCATGGCCCACCTTGGTGAGTGACGAGGCCTTGGGGAGGTTCAAGAGCCATCCACTCAGCCAGAAATCCAGAACAGAAAGGGACTGCCCATTTGGGGCTCAGATGTGGCAGCGAAGGTGAAGGTGTACAGGGCTTCTCTGCAAGGCTGGGGAATGAAAAGCCAAACTCAAGGTGTCAAGAGCCTGGGATTTTAACCCTCCTTCTGCTCTGGGCTTTCACACATGACCTCGGGTAGGCCCTTCACCTTTGTGAGTCTCTCTCTTCCTTGGGAAGTGAAAGGTCTGGATTAGATTCTAAGGCTCTTTCCAGCTCTGAAAATCTGTGGTCTAGGACCATTCTCAAGGAAAAGAGGAAGTAGCTATGGGGGAAATTGGGGTAAGCTGATAAGGGGTTCTGTCTTATAGGGGACTGTCTCCTGTCCATCAAGCCCCAGGAGAAGTCAGAGGGACTTCAGCTGAATTTTCAGCAGGTGAGGCAAAGGTCTGCAGACATAGGAATTTGCAGGTTCGTAAAGGGACACCTAGACTTCTGCTTCTCAGGAAGGTCTCCTAAACTGTGATTTCTTTCTGTAGAATGAAGGTATATCTTTGTCCTAGAAAATATATTCCTTTATATAAGATAAAGAAGGGTTGAGGCAAAAGAGGAATGGAATGGCTGTAAGAGAACCAGGGAAGAAAAGCAACAAGATAAATTATTTTCTATCTGGAGCTAGGAGTCGGGGGAGGGGAGGCTAGACTAGCCATTAGTGTCGTCTTGTTTTCTCCCGGCCTTATTGAGATAGATAGAGCATTGTGTAAGTTGAAGATGTATAGCGTGTTGATGTGACATCCTCATTTTCTTTTCTGGTCCCAGAATGTGGACGACGCAATGACAGTTTTGCCTAAACTGGCCACAGGTCTGGACGTCAACGTGCGATTCACAGGGGTCTCTGACTTTGAGTACACTCCCGAATGCAGTATCTTTGACCTCCTAGGCATACCTCTGTACCACGGCTGGCTTGTTGATCCACAGGTGAGGGCGAGGTGGCCCAGCTCAGGCTGACAGAGGGACAACAGAGGGGTGGGCATTGGGGAGTTAGGGATTAGACTGGCTTGAGAGGAGGAGGGGCTTTGGAGGCTGGACCCGGTGCAGAATTCCTTGAATTGTAACCTGGCGAGATGGGTAACGTTCAGATATGGGCGAACCACACACACATAGGTCCGTTCTTCAGGTGTGGAAAATTTCGAGAGCCTTTGGTGATAGGGTTGCAATCCTTGTGGGCTTGCCTCATTTCCTTCCTCAAAAGATCTTCATTGTTTCGGTACCACCCCGCCCCGCTGCCCACACAGAGTCCGGAGGCCGTGAGCGCGGTTGGGAAACTGAGTTACAACCAGCTGGTAGAGAAGATCATCACCTGCAAGCACTCTAGCGACACCAACCTTGTGACAGAAGGTGACACCCCTGCCTTCTCTTCTGTGGATCTTGTGTGGAGGGCAGGAGGGCTACTTTTGTGTGTTGTCTGTCTCCTGCCACCAACTCCCCCTAGAATAAGTGCCCCACGGGAGACAGAGCAGGGAACTGTCTGTTGTATTCAGTACCTAGAGCAGCGCCTGGCACAAGGCTCAGTAACAGCCTGTTGGGTGAACAAATACAGCCAGGCTCCGAGGGATTCCAGAAGGTGGGACCATCCATAGGGCTTTTGACAGGAGCCCTCTGAATGATCCTTCTTCCTGTTGCGGATTGCGGAGTTAAGCCAAGCCTCTTGCCCCCCGATTTTGTGCCCTCCTGGCAGGCCTAATCGCCGAGCAGTTCCTGGAGACTACCGCGGCACAGCTGACTTACCACGGACTGTGTGAGCTCACGGCAGCGGCCAAGGACGGCGAACTTAGCGTCTTTTTCCGAAACAACCACTTCAGCACTATGACAAAGCACAAGGTGATGAGGCTTCAGAGGTGGGGGCTGGGGGTGGAGTGCTGTCTCTCTCTCGGGGCTTTATCTTCGAGGCCAGTGTTTCAGACAGGATAGGGTAGATTGAGTTCAGGTGCCAGCCAGCCCTGGAATCCCTGGGGTTCCCACAGCAGAGGTCTATTCCTTCCCCCATGCTGCGTGGCCATTGCAGATGGGGACCAGTTCTGGCCTACATCATCTTCGCTCTCAGAGCCAGGCTGACAGCACAGCTCTAATCTGGGATATGGAATAATCTGGAATGTGAGAGGGAAAAGAGAGAGAGGGACACCACGCACTTGCTTTGGATGCTTCTGCCTAGAGATGATGCGTGTCGTGTCTGCTAACATCGCACTGGCAAGCCATCAGGAATACGCCTGCCGTCAAGGGGACAGGAAAGTAGAATCCTCTCCCAGGAAGGGAAGAGGGAAAGGTCTTTGGCTCTCACAGGATTTAACCCCATAGCTGTTAGGCGAGCCCAGAGAATCATGGGAAGTAAGGCAGGAACCTTGTGTGGGACCCAGAGCCCTGAGCACTCACGCTTGGCCACAGTGATCGCCTCGCTTAGCCCCTGCTGACCCTACGCTTAAACATCCCTTCCTCCTCCCCACGGCCATGAGTATTTGTAAAAGATGCCCGCGCTCACACCAGGTGCTTCAGGGGGTCTCTGCATCTCAGGTGACTTCTGGCAGTCAGGTAGCCTCTGTGCCACTATCCCACCAGCGACTTCTGTCCTCTCCTTTGCAGAGTCACTTGTACCTGCTGGTCACAGACCAGGGCTTCCTGCAGGAGGAGCAGGTGGTGTGGGAGAGCTTGCACAACGTGGACGGGGACAGCTGCTTCTGCGATGCGGACTTCCATCTGAGTCATTCCCCAGGCAAGGGGCCCGGAACGGGAGGTGGAGGCGGCTCCCCCGAGCAGCAGCGGCAGGTCGACCAGGTGCGTGAAGTCTTCAGGAAGCGTGCGGGGTGCACGTCTGCTTCAGAGCTTGCCCCCGGCCAGAGGCATGCGTTTCATCACCTAGAGAGCAGGAACGTGACACCTGTGCCCCTTTACCGTTACCTTCGGACCAGCCCCGTGCTCGCGGAATGTACTGGGCTGTGTGTTTTGGTCTGGAAGCAGAGCTGGAGAAGCCGAAGGAGGGGAAAACTGGGTTTGGAAACCTAAAGGCAGCCCTGATGTCCCCCAGGCCCCGGCCGCCTCACCCCCGCCTTGTTCTCCCGTCTCTCTCTAGGACTACCTAATCGCCTTGTCCCTGCAGCAGCCACAGGGCACGCTGGGTCTTAGCGACTTGGAGCTGGCCCAGCAGCTTCAGCAAGAGGAGTACCAGCAGCAGCAAGCTGTGCAGCCCGTGCCGGGACGGAGCTCCCCGCAGGTGAGCCGTGCTCCCAGGCGCCTCCCCTCTGGCCCAGAGCTCCGCCCTGCGTGGTGAACCGTGCCCCCCAGGCGCCTCCCCGCTGGCCCGGAGCTCCGCCCTGCTGGGGGTGAGCCGTGCCCCCAGGGACCTCCCCGCAGGCCTGGAGCTCCGCCCTGCTGGGGGGGTGGGGGGGTGGGTGAGCCGTGCCCCCAGGGACCACCCCGCTGGCCCGGAGCTCCGCCCTGCTCCTTGGATCCCAGACACTTGTCATTGCCTTTCCTGCAGTGGCTTCTTCGAGGTGTCTCTCTGCCCTGGGTCCCATCTTACTTTTCTCTCCCCACCGCCCCTCCTGATCCCGCCCCCGCGTCCATCTAGAGTCTCTGTTTGCGTGTCCTCCGGGCTGCTGGGTGACCCACTGTTAAATCCCACGCAGGGGAGAGGAGCCATGTCCGGACGTCCGGTCGGGGAGCGCCGGCAGAGGCCAAAGCAAGAGTCAGACTGTGTCCTCCTGTAGCTGCGCCCTACTCCGGGGCTGCCCTCCCAGCCTCTACTTTCAGAGGCCGTGGCTCCTCTGCTTGCTCCCCCAGCTCTAGTCCTGAGATAGGCCGGGTAACTTCTTTCCGGACAGCCGGGGATCAGAGCAAGCAGTGAATGCCAACGTCAGACTCGCTAACGTCCTGCCCTCATGTGCTGCCACCTTTTCTGCCTCCCAGTTATCCAGGGCAACATAGGGGTTGGCGGGGTGGGGAGGTGAGGCCTTCCGGTCTCCAGCTCCCCTTCCCCTCAACAGTCACACTAATATACGGACTCGAGCTCCAGGGTGAGGGCTCCGTCTAGAACGCGCCTCACCTACTTCCCACCCCTGACTGGGTCTCCCTGCTGACCCTGCAGGCCTGTCTCTGATCGGTTCAGGGTTTGATTTGGGTTTCTATCTCCATTATTTGTAATGCCTTCCTAGGGGTTTGGAAATAAAACATCTTTCCTGAGATCTGTTGTTTGCTTTGCCCTGCAGCGGTCGGGTTAAGTATTTGCCCCAATTAAGGAATGCAAAAAAGGTGGGGAGCGGGTAAAGAGGTGCCGGGGTGGGAGGAGGTGCGGGGAGGACGTCGTGTGTACTTTGCTTGTCATTTCTAATAGGGCCAGCAGGGGGAACCAAAGCCCGCTTATTTTTCTTTTATTGTTTCTGTTGATCAGGTTTTGATAGACCTTCAATGGGAATGGTAATCCAGTCTGGGAGGTGGGTTTCCAAGTCCCTGCTCTGGACGGATGCAATCTGGGGGTAGGCTTCCTGCTAACTTAAGACTTCCCAGGCAGGGAAGGGCAGCTTGATCAGATGGTTCTCTGCTACTTCTGACCATTTCTGACCTCGTTCTGGCTCCTGTTTCTCAGTTTCTTCGCCTGAAATTTCCTGGGGAAGAGAGAATAATGGGGGAAGGAGGGACTCTGAGGGGAGGGGCTTATTGCAGCAGGAGAACCTCAAACAGGATCCCCATTGAATATGCAAGTGCACATCAAAGGCACCTCCAACTTCAAGGCCTCCTCCCAGCCGGTGTCCTGCTCCACCCAAACTTCAATCAGGGAACACAAACAACAGTGAAGTTTGCCAACAGGATTCAAGAATCAGTGAGACGTTGTGGCCAGTGTATGGGGAGGATGAATAGGGTAGAAACCATCAGAGAGAGGTCTATACCCAAGACAGAGAGCCAGAGCACCCAGATATAGATATCACTTTGAGACAAGAAGCCAAGGGACTGAAAAGAAACTTCAAATTCTAGCCTCAACAAGAAGCTGGAGGTGGTGTTCAGTGAGGGGTTAATCCTCTTTGAAGGTGGTGTTCAGAGAGGGGTTAATCCTCTTTGGAGGCTCAGCTGGTCTCCTGCAGACCCAACCAAACGTGGGGATCTCATATCCTTGAATGTCTGTGGTGGGGTCTGGAGGGCAGGGCAGGGAGGTCTCAAATGTCTTCAGCCCTGCACAGGGCTAGTAGGGCTGTCCGGCAGTCCCCTTTCACTGCATCCTGCAGACAAGAGAGTCAGGTGTTAGAAAGTCTCCGCCCCACCACCGCCACCATGGTCCAGGCACTGTTTCCTCCCATGTGCTGGCCCAGCACTGTCTGATGTCAAGACTTCTGTACTAAATTAACCAAAGCCTCATGAGTTCTCCAAGGGCATCGGCCGTGAGGGCAGAGTGGAGGAGAAGGGGTGAAGTTCTGGGGCTCCAGGCTAAGAGCTAGCCACGGCTCACCTGGAGAGAAGAGTAGAGGGACTTCCCAAATTTCTTTTTGAACTCAGCTCGGATGCTTAGAAGGTCAATCTCGCTTCGAGAGATAAGGATGCGCATCAGGACTTGGTAATTGGACTCCGTGTCCTGGTAGAGAGAAAAACAGAAAAGAGGTTGGTAGTAAGATCCACTCAGCGTTGAGACTGGACAGCATGGTAAATTACCCTAGAACGGGGAAGCGCGGTGCGGGTGCAGGGACAGGATGTGTGCATTATCTAGGAGCACAATTTCTCTTTGTCCTTCCTTCTGGAAGGTGATGCAGCAGGAACGATGAGTCTCTGTGGGAACAGCTGGGGTAGGTGTCGTTCTGGCCACACACCTTTCCTTGCCAGCCCTCTCGCTTAGAGTCTCATTCCTCTAGAGCTCGGCGGTGAGCAGCTCCAAAGGCACGTACTCAAAAAAAAAAAAAAAAAAAAAAAAGATAGGAACCTGCAGGGGAGAGGGCCACGGAGAAGATGCAATGGGTCCTGAGGGGCCAGGACCTCAAGGAGGAGGGCCTGTATGTGGGGGTCCTGGTTGAAATGGTTTATCGTTCCATTTGTGTGTAGCATTCTCTTCTCTCCCCTTGGAACTGGATTGCTGTGGCTTCCCGGTGACATAAATCTTTTTGCAGCGTTTTATACCCTTGGAAGAATTACTGCATTAGCCGGTATGGGCTTTTTAACGGACCCAGGAAGCAACTGAAGAAAGTGTTTGAAACAAGATTGTTTGCAACAATCATTATGCTTTTGTGTTTTTGTATTTACCTTGTGTGCTTTGGTGGCACAAGAGGAGACTGGTCTTACTATTCTGCATATTGTAGGTGTCAATGACCTGGTGTAGCCTGTCGTCTATCCTGTGTCTATCCCGTACGCAAGAAATGCAGTATTTAAGTGCTGTTCTCTCTCTCAAGCTGAAAATCAGAAACTCTTTGAAAAGAGCATTGGAAAGTTGATGTTCTGTTTGGTGAAGTATGTTTTCCTGATGTAACAATCACTCCCAAAACAACAGCCGTGACCGTGACCGGTGAAGACCATTTTCCGCTGGTGAAAGCTACATGCTTGATTAAACATTTACATACCTGCAATATTAAATTCATTATGTGTCACTAATATGCTCTTCCCCCAAATAAGATTTTAGTCGTCGCCAGTTGTAAATGATTTTAGCTAGTTTTATTAGCTTTTTCTAAACAGCATGTAAGATGTGAATATTTAAGGGTAAACCTATGCCACAAGCTTTGTTGGCTCTTTAAAAATGCCTACATTTTTTAGATATTTGGTTTTATAATTTTTACAATAATTTTTTGTTAATTTTTTAAATGTATTCATTTTTAGAGAGAGACAGAATGTGAGCGGGGGAGGGGCAGAGAGAGAGGGAGACACAGAATCTGAAGCAGGCTGCAGGCTCCGAGTTGTCAGCACAGGGCCCAGTGCGGGGTTTGAACCCACAAATAGCGAGATCATGACCCGAACTGAAGTCGGACACTTAACAGCCACCCAGGCACCCCTATTATTAAAAATTTTTTAAAGTTTTATTTTGAAAGAGAGCGAGCGAGCATGGGGGAGGGGCAGAGCGAGAGGGAGAGAAAGAGAATCCCAAGGAGGCTCCACACTGTCAGTGCAGAGCCCCATGTGGAGTTCAAACTCACCAACTATGAGATTATGACCTGAGCCGAGGTCAAGAGTTGGACACTTAACCAACTGAGCCACCCAGGCGCCCTAGTATCTTTTTTTTAAGAAACCTTTACATGTGAAAGTTTTTACTTTAAGCTAAAAATTGCTTATTATATGAAACAAGCATTTGCATTTTATGTACTAAAGTACATAGAAAGTAATAAAATCCATATAATAATTGTATTATATGTAATAAAAATAACACATATTTATAATTTTGAAATAAACCCACACTTGGAAAAATAAAAAATATTAAAATATAAAAAAGAGGAAAGACTTGCTACCTACACAGACTTCCAGCATGAAAGCCAGGACATTTATAACTTACAAGTTAGTGAACGTCCAAGAAGGATATACCCAGCCTATCCCCAAACCGAGTTGCCAGGGCTCTGATAGGGAGCAGGGTCATGTGACTTCCAGTTCCTATCCTGACCTCCAGGGCGCCTCACATCCCTATCTGTATCCATCCGTTTCTCGTTTCTCCGGTTGGACCCCCAGGGCTCAGCATGGCCATCTTCCTCCTAAACCTGTACCAAGCCTCCTGCCTTTTGGTTAAAGAAGGTAATGGAGGCTTCTGTTCAGATATAACAGAGGTATGACACAGTATCAAATCATGACTTATAATGGATTATAATAAATGAGTAACCATGACAGATTTCTAGATAAAAACTACACTGGTGCTGTCACTATTTCCTATTAGCCCCTTTCCCGGAGTTTCCTGTTACTTGACTCATAAGACCCTTCCCAGCACTGCCTGGCATACTTATGGCGTCTACACAGATCATAAGTTCCCATGGAAAAAAAAAAAAAAAAAACCAGAAAGGAAAACGAGGAAGTAACAATAGGGTGTCATAGTTCATCCGGACTCCTGACCTCACTGTCAGTGCATCTAATGGCCACTTTATCTTACATTTCATGTATCACCAATCTTGTATTGTGATAAAAGATTGTGTTTTTTTCTTTCTTTTTATTAATGTTGATTTATTTGTTTTTGAGAGAGAGACAGAGAGAGCACAAGTGGGGGAAAAGGCAGAGAGAGAAAGGGAGACAGAGAATCCTAAGCAGGCTTGAGCTGTCAGCACAGAGCCCGACATGGGTCTTGGACTCACAAGTTGTGAGATCAGGGTCTGAAGTGAAACCAAGAGTCAGTGGCTTAACCGACTAAGCCACCCAGACGCCCCTGTCATAAAAGGTTGTTGATTGGGGCGCCTGGGTGGCTCAGTCGGTTGAGCATCCGACTTCGGCTCAGGTCATGATCTTGCGGTCTGTGGGTTCAAGCCCTGCGTCGGGCTCTGTGCTGACAGCTCAGAACCTAGATCCTGCTTTGGATTCTCTGTCTCTCTGTCTCTCTCTCTCTCTGCCCCTCTCCTGCTCATACTCTGTCTCAAAAATACATAAACATTAAAAAAAGATCATTGATTGCTCCCCAGTATCTATTCTTCCCTTCTTCCAACTCTTATTACACCAAACTTGTGGAGTTGGGGTGAGTCAGTCATTAACTGAATATTCCCATTGGTGTCCAAGCACTCTTTCTACCAAACCTACATTAAACATAATTCTTGCCTTGTTACTTGAGAATGTAGTTGGCATCTCATACTTCTCTGGGATCTTTTTGTTGTTGTTGTTTGTTTTTGAGAGAGAAAGAGAGAGAGAGAGAACTGGGAGAGCGAGCTCAAGTGGGGGAGGGGCAGAGAGAGGGAGAGACACAGAATCTGAAGCAGGCTCCAGGCTCCGAGCTGTAACACAGAGCCCAATGTAGAGCTCAAACCCACAAAACATGAGATCAGGACCTAAGCCGAAGTCGGACTCTCAACCAACTGAGCCACCCAGGTGTCTCCCCCTTCTCTAGGATCTTTTAATGAAAATTCATTTTATGGTTCAGATTGGTCCAAATTTTCCCGAATCAGCCTTCACTGAAGGTCATTTTTCTGAATAAATATTTGTCACAGTCTATGTTTTCACATATTTCTCATGAGAGAAGACAGAAGCATCTGATTGAGTTTCTCCTTTTCAAAAAAAAGTTTTCAGAAAAACAGGCCTTTATTAGTTTTTGACTTCTACTTCTAAGGTAAACCTGGCATTTACCTCCAAGGGTGTGGGTCCTATAATCCAAATACATTACAATCCTTTACTGCTAGGATTCGAGTTTGGTTTTATAAAGGAATTTAGACAGATAACCACAGCTCTTCAAATTGGTCTTAGCATTGGCTCAATATAATAGTATAGACTTTATAGGATAAATAAAATGGAGACCTCCACTGATGATAAAATAAGAGCATATACGTACTGCCTTTTAAAGAGCTGTCAATGAGGCACGGTGGTTTCTCAAGGAGCTATGCTATCTACCAAAACAATAACTGCTTTATCGTCTTAAAAATTTGGGTGAGTTTTTTATTTACAGGTTTTGGGGGACATTTATACTAATAGGAGACCTAGCTCAGTGAGTAGAATGACTGGGTTCTGCTTATGAAATTACTCAAACCAACATCACCAATTTAAGTGTGGATAATATGGAACAAAGTCTGACCAGAGTGGAAAAAGGTGGTCCTGGATACTAATAACTCTTATGGCATAGCTTATAGTATAGACCAACACCTATGGTATAGACTAGGATTTAACACATGGCAGTTACATGTCCTATGGGACCATCATGTGTATGTATGTGTGTTTAATTGTTTTTAAATTCCAGTAGAGTTAACGTACAGTGTTCTATTAGCCATTGTGTGTTTTGTAGGGAGCCTATATGATTTATTAGCTGCGTGACCTTGGGCAAAGAACTTGGCCTCTCTGTACCTCGGTGTTTTTCATCTATAAAACAGGGATGGAGTGTGGCCATGAAGATTAAATTGAAACGTGTGTCACAGTTCAGCATAGGCCTGGGACACAATGAGCACCCAAGAAATGCTGGCTTTTGTCATTATTCTTATATCACCAGTATTATCACCATCCTTAAGTCTGGCAACAACTGAAATTGGACAAGATGCTGTCTTATAGAGCAAATTCATCTCTATATTTGGCCACCCAGACATCACTTAGGCCAAACTTTTAGCTTCAGTGCTCTTTGGAGTCAACCAGTTTAGCTCTAACCACAGTTCCATTCTCTGCTCTTGACAAGACAGGTCGTAAACCTAGGGAAAGAGAGCCGCTATGTGTTTATAAAATAAATATGAGGTTGTTACCTGAGTAAAAGTGTGCAACTTCCTCTCTCTTGCCCAGAAGTTGTCTCCCTGCTCCCCCGCCCCGGTTTTTGCTCCAGAGGGAGGGAAAAGAAGCGTCCGGCTCACCTGGAGGGCTTGATGAAGTTTATCAGCAAAGTACAACGGTGTGTTCTTGATCACTGAGGCTGCAAGCAAAGAGGGGACAGTGGAGAGATGACTCCCATGCCAGGCAAGAGCTCTGCCCCGTCTGAGTGGGTCCTACCTAGGCTGAGCAGAGCCGCCTGGGCGTCTCCATGGAAAATGTTCTGGATCATCTTCTCCAGTTCGTGCCCCGTGCACCGCTGGTACTGGTCGAACACTTGTGTGGGGGGGAAGGAGTCCGAAAGATGAATGGGCGCAGGGGGTGATTATCACAGAGAAGGGCGAGCCCTCCCCACCTTCTTCAGCCAAGGCGCATCATTAGAGTAAGCTGGGAGGGCCAGAAGTCTCGGGTGTACCTCGGACAAGGTGTTCGGGATTTCGCTGGGTGAATATTAGGACCCACGTGCCCTCTGTGCTGGGCCCTTCCGCCTGCTTTAATGCCTGCAAAGGAGGAGTAAGTCAGGATCATTGGTTGGGAGCTGGGGAGCCCTGGCTGCCACGTTCCCAGAATCCACCATCGCGATATTCAGAGTAGAAAAGCTTCTTCGAAACCGTAAAGTGGTTGCTTTTCTTTATGGTAAAAACAAGCTAATGAAAAGGAATAAGGCTAGGAGAGGGACTCTGCCCTGACAGCTCAGCTCCCCAGTTTGGGGAAATCCTGGAACTCAAGGAACTGAACAGTCTCCAAGGGAAGGTCTGAGAAGGGTTCCCCCACCCACATGCCCAAGACAGGGGTCTCTGTCCCCTGACAGGCTCACTTCCTGTGAGTTCGGGAATCAGAGGGTAAATGAGATAAAAGGCTTCAGACGGTTACTACCGGACAGTCATGTCCTCACCTGTCACTAAGGACCCCTTCCCCAAGGCGAGGAGAGGTTGGCAGGACAAGTGGTTACATAGGTCTGTGGCGCATATGTTGGGGGGGGGGGTCTTACATGCGTGGCTGTGCAGACTGCTCACCCCTGCTCACCTGGACGTCCTGCTCCACCAGGTTGTAGTCAATGATTCCAGAATAGCTCTCACGGGCCCCCTACGAGAAGCTCTCTCAGGAGGACTCTCTGAGGAGTAACTTTTTACCTCTAGGCAAACCAACCCAAACCTGTTCTCCTCCTAAAGCCTTCTCTCATTAATTATACCATTGCTCGCCAGCCCAGCCCAGCCCCTTCCCAGGTGGTATAACTCCCTCCCCTGCAGGCCGGTCCTCCTCACCTTGGTCAAGGCCAAGAGCAGATCCCGCAAGACGCCACTGGTCTCAGATTCGATGTCTTTCTCAGCCTCCACCTGGAAGTCTGAGGAAGGGTCAGGAGCTCTCTGAATCCTCCCAATTTTTCCCAGTGTAGATAGTCTCTGTCAAACGCCCAACCCGCTGTGCCCCGCCTACTGCCATCTCTTGCTTTGGGTACCTTGATGGCGCATAGTTCCCAGGATGTAAGGCAGAAGCACCATCACGGGTACCCCGAAAACATCCCTAAGCTGTAAGTAGTAACCCAGGCCCTGTGGGGTTCCTCGGTGGACTGGCCTGTCTCCAGGAGCCAAACTGCCTTGGGTACGAGGCATCTGTTATTTGAGTGGTAGCTGGGGGGTCAAGGGGAAACCTATACAATAAGGCCAGATGGCTTGGGGCCCGGCCCTCTCATTGGAGGCAAGGAGAGGTGATAAGAGGAAATATGTGAAGAAATGATAGACAAAAGAGAAAGGGAAAAGGAAAAACAGAAGCAAGAAGTGAAAGAGGTAAGAGGGGGACTAAATCAGGCCAAGAATGGACATCAAAGGAAAAATTGGGGGTGGGGGTGCTAAGATGGTGAGGAAAGGCCAGTTAGCAATTAGTGGGTGAGCCAGCCGTGTGGTGGCCAAGCCAGGGCCTGAGGGGTAAGACTCACGACCCAGGGAGCAGTCCCTGCCCTCCCTCCCCCACCCCAGCTGTAGCAAGGCAGAATCAAGAAGGGGCTGGAAGATGACATGGGTACCCGGGGCCTGTCAGTGCCCACATTGTCAGTACCTTGGAATGCGCCCTGGAGCCCCAGACTAAGATGGTTAATCATTGTTTCTCTTTCTTTAGCGATCATATCTGGCTCCTACCCTCGGGAGACTGAGAACTGGTAAGGGTGGGGTGGGGGGGAGAGATCCCAAGGGAAAAGCTCTGAGGCACACAGGCTCCCAGAGAGCTCACCTGTAGGGAGTGCCAAGAGGAGGGGGTATTTTGCCAGCCTTCCCCCCTCCCCACACCCCACACTCTTACTATGTTTGTAGACGGTCAGGCACTCCTGCAGCTGGGGTGGGCTTCGGGTAGCAAGAATTTCCATGGCCACATCCTCAGTGGAATCTGGGGTCTATGCGAAATTGGGAGGCCACTCTGAGACTGGGCCATGTCATTAGCATGGCAGAGAGCAGGCGCTGACCCCTTGTCCTTCTAAGGGCCAATACGGTGGTTTAAAGGGGGCCCCTGCCCAGTCGACTCCTCTGGAGTGGGTAGTCAGCCCTCTCCTCCCGTCAATGGAGTCCTCATTTCCTAGACACCCAGAGAGCCCCTTCCAGTACCTTCAAAGCTGTCCTCAGTTCCTGGGCATCGAAATGGGCTGCAGGCTGCAGCAAAGCCACCACAGTCCTCTCCAGGCTGCCAGAGAGTGCTGCCTGCAGGGACTTCAGCAGGTCCTGTGATAAATGATCCCCATGGCAGAGGAGCAGATGCGAGGGGCCCCAGAGGCGAGGGGGAGGTCTGGGAATATCTGCTGGTTTCTATCTAAGGCCAGAAGCACCAACCACCACCCCCTCTTAGCTCCTATTGCTATACCCCAGGATTTCGAGGCGGGGTGGTTCTCACTCCGGTCCACTGCTCCTGGTAGGTCAGTGGCCTCACCTGCTGGGTGCGCTCCTGGAAGGCCCGAGAGATGAGCTGCCTTTGCTCCCGGCTCCGATTGGTCAGCACGCCCACGATGGCGCTGCGGTCCACACCTGAACCGAGGGGGCGCTGGGCCGTCAGCTGGGCAGACCCCAATGGCCTTTACAGGGTGGGGATCCCCCCTTCTCCTCGGACTTGAAGCCTCCAGAGGAGGAGAGAGGGAGATCTAGGAAAGGGCTGGGAAGGACTGCATCACCCTGGCTTCCACGTGGCCTCAAAAGGAGACGCAAATAAGATACCCAATGGCCTGCGAACCTGACCCAAAACTAGGTGAAGGTGGCCTGATGTGCTGGGGACCACAAACGTGGATTAGATTCCTGACCCTGCCAGTGTGAGCTGTGTGACCTTGGCCCAGCCTCTTTGCCTCACTGGGCCCCGGGTTCCTCATCTGTAAAATGGAAATAAGCCTTACCTCACCACCCTGTCCCGAGGATGGGACCGACACACCTACCATGGGACTTGACGTACAAGAATTAAGGCATTCCACAGACATTTATTGATCAGCGTCACGTCCTCCTTCCTGGTTCCTGGGCCTGCAGACTTGTTCCTACAGGAGGGATCCCGGGGCACAGAGGGTAAAGGGCTCACCTTGGCCTGCAATGGCCCTCAGCAGCCTCTGCACATCCTTGTCCACGCTGAAGCTCAAGAACGTCCTGAGGGTGCCCAGGGTTCCCCAGGCCGCAGTCTGCAAGGGCACGAGGGGTGAGGGGATGAGGGGAGCCTCGCGGGCCAGTGCATGCTTGCCCTAGTGCCTTAGTCCGGCCCTCGGCCCTCGGCGTGGTCTCAGGGCCTGGCCTCCCTTTTTCCCATCCCCCGTTGCCGCATGACCCTGCAGCTGATGTAGTGACAATGATTCCGACCACTATAGCCCCTACCTTGTTGGCAAGGCCCAGGTGACTGAGGATCTCCTGGGTCAGGGATGGTCTCATCTTCCCGTTGGTCACAGACATGGTATGACTGACTATGCCAGGGAGAGAGACGGGAGCCAACTGAGGAGAACTGCCTGGCCCTTTGGGCCTCTTTATGACCCCCCCAGGTCCCTGGGGCTCACCTCCCACGCTCTCTCTCCCCTGTTGCGGAAAAAGACAATGTCAACCTGCTTGGCAGGTTTGGGAGCCCAAGTGGAGGGATAAGAGGGGAGCCCCTCCCCAGGTCTCACCCCTCCTTCAGGAAGCAAGGATTGATCAGGAATGCCACTGGAGCCTGCCCCAAAACAAACCCGCCCTGATTCCGGGGCTCCCAAACTTCTGTCTCAGCTGCATGACACCCTTCTGAGATCCACATCCCTTCCTCCTGGTGGCCTGGCCAGGTGTCCCTGGGGCAGCCCAGGGGAGGTGAGGCAAGGTGGCGGGATTCAGTGTGTGGGGTGGGAGATAATCAGGCCGAAAACACCTCCCCACCTTCAGCCCCAGCCTGCAAATCAGCCCTGCTCCCTGCCCCCCAGGCGACCTGCCTGCTGCCTGTCTTTCACCCTTGGCGTCTCTGGCAGGGTCCTCTGGTCAGCAGGTGTCCTCTCTGAGCTGATGTACGTGTGTGTCCTGGTGGCCGCTTGGGTGCCTGGACAAGGGAGCAAGCACCCACATTAGAAAAGGAAAATTCCTTCCTCCCTCTCCCAAGGGATTGTCCAGATTCCCCTCCCCTCCCCCATGCGAGTGCCCCGGTCCCAGTGCTTACCCAGAGGTGCTGGAGGCCAGGTGGCAGTCGTCACAGCCTGGCAGCCGCCTGTGTGGGCACCAGCTTGTGTGTGGCCTGCAAGAGCAGAAGGGGCGTGTCGCCCTGCTGGGCAGCCTGTCAGATGACCTCTCCGGCAGCCCAGCCCAGCTGTCGCCCCAGCTCTGGCCCCTCCCCAACGTGGGAGAGGACCGAGCTGTACCTGTCCCACACGTCAGCCCCTCCCTGAGAAACATCCTTCCTCCCAGGAGCCCGGCCTCAGCCCACGGAGGCCGCTCTGCTCAGCCTCTCAGGAGATCAGCCGGACACGGGAGGCTTATGCACTGCTTTCCCTGTGGGGCCGGGCGGACCACAGAAGCCCGGTGTCTAAGTCCAGCTTCTGACCTGGCCCTGCCTCCGGCTCCGGCTTGCCGGGGGGACAGGTCAGACAGGCTCCAGGCTGATTTCAAGGCCCGATAAAGAAAAACTTGTTGGGGCACATACCAGCAGGGCACCCCAGCCTGCACCGCAGAGGGGGTCCTAAGACCCAAAGTCCCGGACTACTCACTACTGCCTTATCAGAGCCAGCCAGCCTGGGTGGGCGGGGCCAGGGGACTGTTTGCGTCCCTGGGGAAGAAGAGAGCAGGTGTTTGGGGGTGGGAACAGAGCAGCAGAGTCAAGAGAGAAAAATGCAAAGGGTGTTCCCTATGGACAGAAGCATCGTGCTCCCAAAAGGCAACTGGGAGATGGGAGTGGCTCCCTGGGTCTCTGGGTCTGGATTCCTTCTGGTGCCTTTTGGCTGCCAGGGGAGTTTCAGCCGTAGGTGAGGCAAGCTCAGCAGCCTCTGTGAGGCCAGCAGCTCACAGAGCAGCAGGTGAACAGCCTTGGGGAGCCCAAGGGGCTCCTAGCAGGCAGTCACCGGAAACTCTCAGGCAGCTCCCTGGGGCCTAGGAGCTCTTTCCTTCCTGCCTCCCTAGGTGGGTCAGGCAGGGGCTGGGTGCCAAAGCCAGAGAGCTGGGTCCACTCCTCTACTGTTCTCCCTCCCGGGGAAGGCCCTCACTGGTTTTCTGACACTCCTGAGGAGGGACCTGCCCCTCTTCCACAGAGCTGGCCAGGCCTAAGATGCCACGACGGGATATCTCCTTGGTGGCAATCACTGCTTCTCACTTTTGTCTCCTGTGAAAGTGGAAAACATCCTCCAATTTTTGCCAGAGAACGTGAGTTCAGTCCCCAGCTCCGCCATTTGTTCTGTTCCGTAACCTCAGCTAGTCATTTTTGGTCTCTGTGAATCTTGTTTCCTTACCTGAAAAAAAAAAAAAAAAGGGTGGGGGGGAATAGGGACTACTGGGTGGCTCAGTCGGTTAAGCATCCGACTTTGGCTCAGGCCATGATCTCACGGTTCGTGGGTTTGAGCCCCATGTCGGGCTCTGTGCTGACAGCTCAGAGGCTGGAGCCTGCTTCAGATTCTGTTTCTCCCTCTCTCTCTGCCCCTGCCCCTCTGTCTCTGTCTCTCAAAAATAAATAAACATTAAAAAAAAATGGGAATATTGGGAGAGGTGTACAGAGGGGACATCCTAGACACCCGCGAATAGCCTCCCAGGGAGGATTAAATTAGGTACTATGTGTGATGGTATTTGGCAGAGAAAAATGCCTTGTAAAACAAGACTACCAGATTTAATAAATAAAAACACAGGATTCCCATTTAAATTAGAATTTCAGGTAAACCACAAATAATTTGTTGGTATTAAGTATGACTCAATTGCTTCACAGGATATACTTATTATACAAATTATTTGCGGTTTATCTGAAAGTGGGATTTAACTGAGCATTCTGTAATGTACTTGGAAACCTGGAAAATGAGACTCAGTTTCAGCGTGGTGATTAAAAAAGCAAAGGTCCTAGAGCCAGGCTTCTTAGATTTTTTTTGTTGTTCATTTTCAAGAGACAGAGAGAGACAGAGCATGAGCCGGGGAGGGGCAGAGAGAGGGAGACACAGAATCCGAAGCAGGCTCCAGGCTCTGAGGTGTCAGCACAGAGCCCAACGCAAGGCACAGGGCTCGAACCCACGAACCGTGAGATCATGACCTGAGCCAAAGTTCGATGCTCACTGACAGAGCCACCGAGGCTCCCGGAGACAGACTTCTTAGACCCAGAATTCCAGTCTGCTGTGTGACCTTGGCAATTATTTCAACCTTTCTGTGCTCGGTTTCCTCATTGTTGAAACAGATAATAATAGTGTTTTTTAATAGGCTATTGTGAGAATTAAATAAATTAATACATGTAGAGCACTTCAGAAGAGTGCTGCGCACAGGTACACGTGTCAACATGTTAACCAATATATAACAATAAGCATTGATATAATGTTATTTCATAATGGTAACTGTTATTGTTTACTTGGCTCCCTAAGGAGTCCAGTCTTGGCTCTTTTCTGCAACTTCTATCTTGCCAATCTTCAATTTAGCCACAGGAGGGCATTAGAAGCCACCGAGAGCCAAGAGCCCCCTAGTGGCCACTAGAGGTCGCCAAGGCTCTAGCTCCGCCCACAGAGCTCCAGGGGCTCCCTTCGCTCACTTCGGGGGAAGTGGAATCTCTGGAGGACATCAGGTTCCTAGGTAGACTTGGTGGGCAGGCAGGGTCAGTGGAAGAGCCTCCAGTAGACAATACTCAAGGAACCCCCCCCCCTCCCTCGCCCCGACTGAGACCTCAAGACACTTGCAGGAGACTTCCTAGTCTGGGTTGCCGCCATACAGTGGCTTCGCAGCCCTGGTCCCCCGCGGTCCACCTATCTCTACCCTTCAGAGTCTCTTCTGGGCCCACATTCCAAGTAGACTTAGAGGAAAATGAAGGGAGAGAGGGGGCTCCTGTTTCCCCAGTCCAAAAGTCTGCAAGAGATTCCTGGTAGCTGAGCAAGGCTGAGCGCTGCATTTGAAGATTGCAGGCAGAAGCCGGGCCACAAGGCAGAAGAGTAGTCCCGGTGGCCCAGAAGTTTGAGGAGGGAGCTGTGAATCCATTTACAACAGCTCCGCTGAAACTTGGAGCAAAGGAATCACACTCCTTTGGTCCTGGCGTTTGGTTTTGTTCAACTCCAGGGTCAGATTGAGGTTGTTTTTAGAGTTATGAATCACCTTTCACCCCGATGCTCTAAAATTTTAGAACTTCAGGGATGGAGGGGTTGTTGGAGATGACTAGTCTACCACCCTCTTGTGTGTTTTCGTCATCACTTAGATGAGGGCATGGCTGATCTGGGGTCCCTCTTAGTGGAATATACAGGGGGTAAGCAGTAATATATAGAGACTCAGCTGTTGACTTGTGAATACTGGTCCAACTCCAACTCCATATTGCTTTTCGGCAAAATCTTTGCATTGCGTAATTTCAGAACGCATAGAAGTTCTTCCCAGTTATTTTTCTTCTTGTTATGAAACTTTTTCTCCCCACAACTCCTGGCACCTGAATCCCTCTGCTTACACAGTAGCCAAGCTCTACTCCTTTACCCAAAGCCTATTAGGCTTCCATGTTGCACAAACCAGTCTGATTTGGGTCAGGCCCAGTTTCTTCAACAAGGGTCCCTGTCTCTTCCTGTCCTAGAAGCCTGCCCAGATGCTTCAATCCCAGGCTCAAGGCCCGGTGGTGTCCTCTGCCTCAGGACACCTCAGCAGCCCATATAGAGGAAGTGAGTCACAGCAAGGAAGGCAGCTTGGGGCACTATGGGTGTGGCCATGTCTGCCCTGGGGGAATTGGGGGATGGGTCAGAAAGGTGGTGATCCAAATCTCCCGGTCCAGTCCAGGCGGGAGTGTGTGTGTGGCCAGATGAGTAACATCATTCTAATGCTGCCCAAAGCCACTTCCCCTTCTCCATCCACCTTCTCTTTTGTCTCCTGGGGGAGGGGTACACCCTCTTATCTTTATTTCTCAGGCCTTGACTCTCCAACTTCTGCCCCCAAACTTCCCCCTGCCCACTGTTATCTTAAAAAGGTTAAACGGTCTTCAGTCCTCTGAGGAATCATTTAAACAGTCTTGTGCCTGGGTGGGTGGGGGGTCACCTTGGTGGCTCGGTTGGGTGTGGGACTCTTGATGTCCCCACTAGGGTCATGATCCTAGGAGCCCCACATAGGGCTCTGTGCTGAGCATGGAGCCTGCTTAGGATTCTCTCTCTTCCTCTGCCCCTCTACCCCACTCACGCACACTCTCTCTCTAAAATAAATAAGAAAAATAAAATAAAGTCTTGTGGTCACCTTTGGAGAAGCCTGGCATCTAGGAAAACTGCTTGAGAATAAGGTTCAGAAGCTAAAGAAAGGGAACCAAACAGTACAAGGTGTGAGGAGTTAGAGAGGCACCCAAAGGAGACACAGGGAGCCCAGCTGGATAAAGGCGTGTAGGTGTGTAGCACAGAGGAATCTGGGGGAAATCTCAAGAAAGGAGGGGATTCTGGATTGGAAGGTACAGGGAGGGGGTTACAGAGAGGTAAAAAGAGGTAAGCAGCACTAATCAGGGAGGAATTCAGCCTGGGGCATAGGGAGACAGGGCTGGAGGGCTTGCTGGGATCTGGAAAATCAGGCAGGTGTGGGCATAAAAATCTGCAGAAGAGTCCCCTGGGGGCTGGTTTGGTGAGAGGTAGCCAGGGGTAGGGCCCATAATTCTCATTTCTCCAATGGTAGGAGTGGGCTGAGGGTCCACCTGCCAAGAGCAAATGAAGAAGAATAGCTTGGAAATCTGTCAGCTTCTGCTTCTCCACCTCTCTGGAGAGCCTCAGGTGCTGGCCAGGCTCTGAACTGGAATAAGTGAGAGGTCAGCTGTCAAAACACCTGAACTTGACTAGATAAATCATGAAGGAAGTTACTTTCAGAGGTTCTAACTGTGATAGTATACAAGGACCAACATTTCATCAAGGCAAATAACAAAAACAAAAACAAACAAAGCAAAAGAAAGTTATGTCTACATGTGGAGCAAACTCTAGCTCTCTCTTTAAACAAATCTTTCAACAGATCCTAGCCACTCTGTCCTGATAGGAGTCAAGGTCAGTTTTCCAGGATAAACACGTGGCATCTTCCTGAAACATCAATTCCACCGGACTGGGAACGACATTTCTAAAATATGAATTAGAAAAATAAAATAAAAATAAAATAAAATATGAATTAGAAGAGAGAAACATGGTGTAGATTGCAAAGTCAAACACATTCTACAAAACCCAAGTTGGAGCTTGGCCCTTTCAGAGTGTCTACTATAGTGGGTATGGGTCCACCGGGGGCAGGTGTCACAGCACTTGGGCGGAAACGTGAGTTTCTTGGCGGGGGTGGAGCGGGGGGCTTCGTGGGGGCCGCAGGCTCTGCGAGGAACCACCAGGACCCGCTGGCTACGTCGTCCCGAGGGGCGCTCTGCCCTGGCGCACCGCACTGGAGTGAGGGGGGGGGCTCGCCCCGGCTTCGCACGCCCGGGGCCGGGGCGCCCTCTTCCCTCTGCTGCCGAGTGCGGCTGGAGGTGGGAAGTGTGGCAACCAGTCGGGCCGGGGGGAGCTGGGCGCCGCAGGGGGCTGAGGTCGCCGACCGCAGTCGGGGCGGGCAGGTGGGGCGGGCGCACGGATTCCCGGGCACCCCGCGGTCCGCCTCCGAGGGGACAGCCTGGGCGGCCGCCGGGCCCGCACTCTGCCCCCCCTCCTTGGGGGCTTCTCTGGGGTGCGGCGACTGCAGGGGTCGCGGCGACTGCAGGGGTCGCGGGGCCGAGGCCCGAGGAGGGCGCGGCGGCGGGGAGCCGGGCTGGGTGCACTCCCCTCCCCTGCCGTCGCCGGGCCGCAGGCCCACGCCCAGTCTCCCGGTTCCAGGGCCGCCCGCGGCCTTGCTCTCCGGGGCTGGGCTCGGACGCGGCTGTGCTGGGCTCGGCGGGAGGAGGAGGAAGGAGGGAGGGAGCGGGCGGGCGGGCGGAAGAGGGAGGAGAGGAGCGAGCCGAGCCAGTCCGGAGAGGGGGGGGCGCGCGGAGCTCGGACGCCCGGAGACACGGAGCAGCGGCTCCCGGCCCGGCCAGCTCCGCGACGCCGCTGCCGCCGAGTGAGTCAGGGCGGGGGGGACCCCGGCCCGGGAGCAGCAGGAGCTGCGCTCAGGGGTGGGGCGGGGAGCGGCCGCGGAAAAGTTGGGCGAAGTGGGGGCCGCTCGGTCGCCGCCCCGCGGAGAGGGCCCGGGCCGCGGAGGCGGCGGGGACGGCGGGGGCGGCGCGGCCCGGGCGGGGGCGGCGGGGTCCGGGGGCGCGGGCCCGGCGCGCTCATGGCGGCGGGCCCGGGGTAGGGCGGGCGCGGCGCAGCCGGAGGGCAGGCCGGCGGGAGCCTGGGCGGCGTGGGGCGCGCCGCCCCGGGCCCGGAGAAGCAGGCCCTCCTGGCAACAGGTAGGGGTCCGGGGGCCGCCCGCGGAGGGCGCCCGGTGGTAGGTGGGGGAACGAGCCCGGGGACCGTCTGCGCGAGAGCCCCCAGCCTGGCGGTGGGCCCGCGGCGTGGCTCCTGGTGCCGCGGCCGGGGTGGGAGGGAGAGCAGGGTCTCTCTGCTTGTCCCCGGGGCCGCCCCACAGTCCCCGCTCCGGGAGGGAGGCCCCAGCGTCCATGTGCTTAACGGGAAACAGGAAGGAGTGGCTCTCGGGCGGCTGCCCCGGTCCCCCAAGGCTAAGGCTCCTATACCGTTATGGGGTGTGTGTGTGTGTGTGTGTGTGTGTGTGTGTGTGTGTGTCTGTCTGTGTGTGTGTGTGCGCGCGCGCGGCAGGGGTGAGAAGGGGGGAGGCTGCTGGTGAAACTGGTTTTCTGGGCCACAGCTTGTTAATTACCGGCCCGTAGGCTCTCTGGCAAGTAGGTTAATTGCAGGTGTGTGGCACTAATTTTTGGCCCGAGCTTGGGGGTTTCTCCGGCTCCCCGAGCGCGGCCCCTGGCCTTAAACCCTGGGCTTCCTCACTTGAGTTGCTAGACTCAGTAGTGGGGAGGGGGGGGAGTTTTGAGTGAGTCCCCTCATCTCAGAGAAGTGAATCTGGTAAGGCCTTCAGCAGACACTCACTCCCACATCGGTGCTGGAAGGGTCGCTGCCCCATACCAAAGTCCGGGTCACCGCGTCTAAGTGTGGGTGGCCCGCTGCACTTGCGATGGGGCTCCTAGAGATAAGGACTTGTCTGCAGCTTTGTGTCTCCGGGCCTGGCCCTGATCATAAAGTGACCTGCATAGACTCTCTGTTCTGAAGAGAGTTCCTGGTCCCCCTGGGTACCCCCCAGTCTACACCCTTCACTGTGGCCTTTGGACAGCTTTCCCCCTGGGAGGGCCTCCTCTCTCCCCTGTCACTGGCCACAGGCCACCGATTCTTTACAGTGCTCTCCCCCTCCCCCGCCTCTTCAACCTGCTGGCCTCTCCCTGTCCCTGGAGGCTGTAGTCACATGCAGTATTTGGGTGTGCTGGGGCCTCTAGCGGGGCAGCTCAGACAAGCTAAATTTGGGGGCCTACACTGCCGGCCTGGAGCAGCGACACACCTCCCGCTGGCTTCATCCTAGTTCCTGACAGGCTGTTGCTGCCTGAAAAGAAATTTTTCAACAAGACTGTCGGGGCCCTCCCACTTTTTTGTAGTCCCTGTGTTTGTCGCTCTCTCCTCCCCCGCTGATCCTTTTTTCCTCAATTACTTCTCCAAGCTCCGAGCGCCAGTCTGGGACATCCCTTCCCCACCCACTCAAACTTCTGCCCTCTAAGCCTTCTGGGTTCACAAGCCCCCGTGGGGACCCTCGGCCCCTTTCCATCCATCTCTGAGTGTCTGGGAGGGGTCAGTCAGAGTTGGGGTAGAGGGTGGGGGCTGGGCAGAGCCCTGTTCAAGTTCCTGGTAATCCAATGCCCATGAAATCCCTGCTCTGCTGGCTCCTCTCCAGCCTGTGCCTCAGAAAGTGGCATCTGTGTCTCTGAGGCAGGTGTGTGCGTGCGTGAGAGAGAGACACACACACACCCTATTGTCGCTTCATGTGTGTCAGGAGTAAATTCTGTGAGTGGAAAAATATCTGTAGGTGTGATTTCTCCACCAGAAAATCAAGTATTTACCCCGAGGGCCAAGTGGCCAGAAAGGCAGGGTTGCCCCTCTCTCTGTGCCGAAGTACATCCCTCCCGCCTTCTCGGACCAGCCTTTTGTTTAGAGGCTCCCTCGCTTGACTTGAGGTGCCTCTGCCAGGAAGCCACAGGGCTGCCTCTGGGAGCAGACTTGTTGGTTCTGTGGGGATGTGTAGGCAGGACGCTGGGAGCTCCTGGGGTTCACCCCTGCCCCCCATGTTGAGTCTGAAGTCCTGACCCTGATGAATCTGGTGCTTCTCCCTGCTGGGCTAGGACCCGGGTGGGGAAGGGGGGGCAGGAGGGGGTAGCATTCCTCTGCTAATGGAAGTACCGGGCAAGGGAGGGCTGTGGTCACAGAGAGCCCGAAACCCCGGTGTGAAAGACGCCTGGGGTTGGTGTAGTTGTGCTGTCCTGGTGATGGCCCTTGACCCCCTCTGCCGCTTCTGCCAACTTCCTACCTTCTCACCTTCTGTGTAGGGATAGGCTGGTGGAAGACGCTCCTGGGCCCCAGGAGTCCGGGAGAGGGGTCCCACCCCTACCCTCTGGGACCCCAGCCTGCCTTCTGAATCTGTAATCCTCAAAGTGTTCCTGACAAGAGAAACTTCCTGCCGGTTTTCACGGACCCGTGTAGGGATGGGGCCCCACATCCAGGCCTGTCTCTACCTTTGGCTTCAGATCTCAGTGAAGGCCAAGTTGGCTCCAAGAGACAGGGGGACACATCAGGTGTATTTCCCCGCCTCCAACCTAGCTAAGCTAAGAAGGTGGAAAGGAGGAGCCGGAGGTGTGCCAGCACTGAATTTTCTCTTTTCTCCAGGGAAAAAAGTGTGTTGTACGCCTGGCCGTGTAGGGAAACTTCCACTGTGGATAATTATGTTTAATTTTGTTCAGTTCAGAAGGCTTCCATCTCTTTTAACTGATTAAATATTTATTCTGGCTAAGGTAGAGGGGGAAGGGGCAAGGCCCTCAGGAGCCTGGAGAGAGAGAGAGAGAGAGAGAGAGAGAGAGAGAGAGAAAGAGAGAGAGAGTGTGTGTGTATGTGTGTGTATGTGTGTGTGAGCGTGTTATTGGGAGAAGATGGAGCTGAAGCTCCCTTATTGTCAGTGCTGACCTCTGATTTCATCCGAGAGCAGTGACCAGGAGTGGGGACAAGAGGGTAAAGTCCTTGAGCTGGAATAATGACCCGTGACAGGCTGAGGGATTTCGCAAGTGCTTCTGTGGTGGGTGTGGGCGGAGCTGCTGGAAGAGCGGCGGCGGGAGGACCAGCCCAGCTCAGCTCGATCTGATCAGCCTTCGGGCCAGCAGCACCAACTGGTCTCGATTCGCCGTGGAGAACAATCTCCCCACTCTCCTCCCTCCCCGGGTGGGAGGAGACCACCTTCCTTGTGTGTCAGCTCTTCATTCCAAGACCAGCCTCAGTACCACCATCTCTTCCCTCCTGGGAGGATGAGGGCCGGGAGCCTGCAAACCACGGCCCTTGTCATCCTGTTGGCATTCAGTGCCGAGTCCCAGGACCGCCAGGCATCGTGCTGGTCCCGGCACCACTGACGTTTTGCGACCGCCTTGTCTCTGCCATCCCGCTTGGGAGCCGCAGACGGTGGCTTGTAGGGTAGCTCACAGGAGGTCTGTATCCCCCTCGTTCTGGCATCCACGTGGGTTGGTCACCACCGCCCTGGTGGTCCTTCCTTTTCCAGTGCGGTTAGTGTTTTATTTTCTATTTTTTTTTAATGTTTTATTTATTTCTAGGAGAGAGAGAGAGAGAGACAGCGTGAGCAGGGGAGGGTCAGAGAGAGAGGGAGTCACAGACTGAAACAGGCTCCAGGCTCTGAACTGGCAGTCAAAATAGAGCCCGATGCAGGGCTCAAACCCACTAACCGCGAGATCATGACCTAAGCGAAAGTCGGACGCTTAACCGACTAAGCCACCTAGGTGCCCCGCTTAAATTCCTTTATAAGACAAAGTGCTCTATAAAGACAAAGTGCTTCTATGAAAAGAAGAAATCTTGTAGCAGGACATGGGTGGAGAGTTTGTTTTTTATAAATTTGAATTATACAAATTTGAAATATCTTACCAATTCANACAGACTGAAACAGGCTCCAGGCTCTGAGCTGGCAGTCAGCACAGAGCCCGATGCGGGGCTCGAACCCACGAACCGCAAGATCATGACCTAAGCGAAAGTCGGACGCTTAACCGACTAAGCCACCCAGGTGCCCCTAGTGTTTTATTTTCTAGGTGAGTCTCATTCTACCAGATGTCTTGGTCTGCCATCTCCATACTCTGTCCTCCAGTCCCTGGTTCTTTGCAGCCTCGCCTTCACTTTGTTTCTGAAAAGAGGCTTCAGTTAGAGTTCTTCAGCCTGGTTTGCAGGGATTGGATGTCTTAGCATGGGGTGTTAATCTCGTGTGTAATGTTGGATGTCTGCTGATTGTCCTTGGCCTCAGCATCCTTTAGGGACATTATTTTGCTTTACTCTGGCCTCTGAATTTTCCCCAGGGACCTGTTGCCTAGATGGGTTGTAGGAGAGGAGGAGGTGGGGTTTGCCTCAGCTCTGCCGTCCGTTTTCAGGCTTCCTTGGCAAAGGAAGCTTCTAGCTGAGGGTTGGCTTGAGGAACGGAGCGGGTAGCTGAATGGGGTGTGTGTGTGGGGGGAGAGGGTGCCTCCTTTACTCAGATTGTTGGTTACAGCCTCTAGGGCCAGATCTTGCCTGTCGTCCACACTGGGGTAGCAACGTGACAGGAAAGCCCCAGGGTTCTTAGTTCTAGGGAAATGGGACTCCTGGGGGTGGTCGGCATCACCTTCAGTTGCTACGAGCGGTAAATGTGAGAACTGGAGAAGAAACGGATTTGTCCGAGGCCTTGTGGCCAGGACCAGAATCCGGGACTTGACTCTCTGTCCCCTTCCCCTCTGTTACACCATGGAACCCTTCGTCTCTCTCTTCCCCCATAGCTACCCCCTGTGATGCCCTCTGCCTTCCCCCTTCTCACTCAGGATGCTCCAGACCTTGTATGACTACTTCTGGTGGGAACGGCTGTGGCTGCCCGTGAACTTAACCTGGGCCGACCTAGAAGACCGAGATGGACGTGTCTACGCCAAAGCCTCAGACCTCTACATCACACTACCCCTGGCCTTGCTCTTCCTCATTGTGCGCTACTTCTTTGAGCTGTGAGCATACCACCCTAGCCCTGTGCCTTCCCTGGCTGCCACACATGGGGAACTCTCTTGCACTTTGAGTTTCTCTCTTGCTGCTGAATTGGCCCCGGACCCTGCTCTTCTGGACGCCTGGATCCCTGCGCCCCCCGCTGAAGGCGGCATTGTCCTCCTGAGGGTTCAGCACCCCAGGCCCTCTCCTTCAGTGGCTATTTGTTCTCCCTCTCCACCCTGCCTGGTCACTAGTGAACACAGGCGGCTTTGTCAGCGCTGGGCAGCCCACAGAGGCCAGAGAGAGGGTTGCTGGGAAACTGAGGCCCGGGATCGAGTGGCCTGAGCTTGTAGTCCTTTCCCCTCCCAGCTTAGGGGCTACCAGGAGACTGAGGTGCTTCAAGGGAGCCAGCCACTTCTCACTCCTATCCCTTCCTCAGTTATGTGGCTACACCACTGGCCGCCCTCCTGAACATCAAGGAGAAAACCCGGCTGCGGGCACCCCCCAACCCCACCTTGGAGCATTTCTACCTGACTGGCGGCAAGCAGCCTAAACAGGTTGGAGCTGGGGACCCCAGTCCGGCATTTCCTGAGTGTGATGAGGAGAGTTGGGGGAGGGGGCAGGGGTGCCGGCCTAGGTTCTTGCTGGGAGGGCCCGGATGGGGGGGGAGGGGGAGACACGCATCGAGTTCCAGAGCCTAGTGGTAACCGGGCTTCCTTGTGACACCAGGCTGAGGTGGAGCTCCTGTCACGGAAGAGTGGGCTCTCCGGCCGCCAGGTAGAGCGCTGGTTCCGGCGCCGCCGCAACCAGGACCGGCCCAGTCTCCTCAAGAAGTTCCGAGAAGCCAGGTAGGAGAGGCAGCGGCAGGAGAAGCTGGGAGGCAGAGGAAATGTCTGATGTAGGCCTTGCGGGGACGGGTGGGCCGTGGCTGAATGCAGGGAGAGGCTGTACCCAGGTGAGGAGGCAGGCGAGTTCATGACACCGAGAGGACATCTGGGGCACCCGGGGGTGGTTGGAAGGATATGCCACTCTTCTAGTCCTTTCTGCTTCCTTTTCCAGCTGGAGATTCACCTTCTACCTGATTGCTTTCGTTGCTGGCATGGCCGTCATTGTGGACGTGAGTGGGGAGTCCTGGGGGGTGAGAGGAGGTTCCCTAGCAAAGGGGGAGGAGGCCACAGAATTTGGGTGCCTCCTCTCTTCACTTCTCCCTGTCTCTCTGCAGAAACCGTGGTTCTATGACCTGAAGAAGGTTTGGGAGGGATATCCCATACAGGTAGGAAACGAGGTCTTGGTTCCTTGTGTGGGGTGATTGAGAGAATCAAGGCAGGACAGGTCTAGGACACGCACGCCCTTGTGGAGCGACGCTCTCTGGAACGCGTGGTGGAAGGCCCTGGAGTCATGGTGCTCAACCACCTTGGGCTGGAGGGGCTGGGTTTGGACAGGTGAGGTTCTGGGGTCCCTCACCTTTCTCTCTCTCTCCTTCCCCAGAGCACCGTCCCTTCCCAGTACTGGTACTACATGATTGAACTTTCTTTCTACTGGTCCCTGCTCTTCAGCATTGCCTCTGACGTCAAGAGAAAGGTGGGTCAGGAAAGCCTAAGGAGCCAAAATAAAGCCTTGGGATGAAGACTCCCCCACCTCCCACTTTGATTTCTGGGTATTTGGCTGGAGCTGTGGGTTACGGGGAACACAGTGGAAGGGGAAGTGGGAAGAGTGGGGGCTGAGCAACAGGAAGGAGTCCCCTGGAGCCTGCATCTTCTCTGCAGGATTTCAAGGAGCAGGTCATCCACCACGTGGCTACCATCATCCTCATCAGCTTCTCCTGGTTTGCCAATTACATCCGAGCAGGGACCCTGATCATGGCCCTGCACGACTCTTCCGACTACCTGCTGGAGGTCAGGCTTCCTGGGCACGACTTCAAACCCCGAGCCTCTGGTGCAGGTTCTCCCGTCCCTCTCCCTTTTGCACGAGGGTGGTGGGGGAGGGGGTGGTGGTGAAATTCCTGGGACCAAGGATGTGGGGGGTGGGGCACAGAGCCGGCGCACACATGAATGTACACGGGGGAGTCAGGAGCCTGTGATGACGGATGGGGGCTATCTGTGCAGTCGGCCAAGATGTTTAACTATGCGGGATGGAAAAACACCTGCAACAACATCTTCATCGTCTTCGCCGTTGTCTTCATCATCACCCGGCTGGTCATCCTGCCCTTCTGGTGAGTAGGCAGCCAGACCACACCCCAATCTCACTTGTGCCGCACCCCCCCCCCTAGTGTGTTTACAAGACCCGCCCCCGTGGTAGGATTCTGCACTGCACCGTGGTGTACCCCTTGGAGCTCTACCCCGCCTTCTTCGGCTACTACTTCTTCAATTCCATGATGGGGGTGCTGCAGCTGCTACACATCTTCTGGGCCTACCTCATCCTGCGCATGGCCCACAAGTTCATAACTGGAAAGGTGAATGCTCTGTGGGCCCCACTGCCTTCAACTCTACAAACTGCCCAAGCCCCTTCCCAGCAACCTGCTAAGAAACTACAGTGGGGCCCCAGGGCCAGCAGGACAAGCCTGCTGAGGGAGACATTTCTTGGGGGGGGGGGTCTGAGGGCGGCGTGTAACCCTTCTCCCCCCTCCCCACAGCTGGTAGAAGATGAACGCAGTGACCCTGAGGAAACCGAGAGCTCAGAGGGGGAGGAGGCAGTAGCAGGGGGAGGAGCCAAGAGCCGGCCCCTAGCCAACGGCCACCCTGTCCTCAGCAACAGCCATCGTAAGAAGGACTGAAAAGGACTGAACCATTGTCCCCGCTACCCCTCAGATTAATGCATTGAAGCCAAGGAACTAGCCTGCCCCCCCTACAGGGCCACTTTAAGCCCTGGGGGGTGCGGGGGCGGGAAGCAGAAAGCAAGGAGAAAGTTCATCTGTGTCCCAACACCTGCTTCTTTGTCACCCAGTTGCCTTTAAACCAAATTCTAACCAGCCTGTCCCCAGGTAGAGGGGAGGCTGGTATGCCCTGTTCAAGGGGGATGGACTTCTTTTCCTTTCCTTTTCCCCAGTTCTCCTATTGCTTTCCAGGCCCTTCCTCAGCTCTGCGGGTGGGCGTTACAACTCACATTCCTTACTCTTCAGAATTTGGCCCTAGCTGTTTGCCTCGGACTCCCTGACCTCCAGAGCCAGGGTCGTGCCTTACTGTCCCACCCATGGGCCTCATTCTGCCAAAGATGGACCAAGGCTCACCTTTCTAGGCTCCCTAACTTGGGCCAGAAACCAAAGCTGAGCTGTAACTTCTTTCCCTCCGGAGACACACATGAATGGAGTGTAGGAGGGTACACATGACCCTCGCCCTACCTCTGCCAAAAAGGCGGAGCTGCGCCGGGACCGCCCCGACCGTCCCTGTGCCACTTTGCCAGCTCTCTAGTCACAGGTCCAAGGCCTACTGCCTCCTTTCTCTGGCCTCCTCCCCTAGGCTAGCTGGTTCAGAATGGAATGGCAACTAGTCCTAATTTTTATTTATTAAACATTCGGTGGTTTGGTTTTAAAAGCCAGAATTACAGCTAGCACCCAGCATTTGAGCAGAGGGACCACTTCAGACCAAAATGTACTGTTAATGTTTTTTTTTTTTTTAAATTAAAATATATTAAAGATTAAAACATGGCAACAAGTATCTGAGACTAGCAGGTACTGAGAAGGGGGATCAACTAAATAAACTAAGGTAGTCTTCCTCATGGTTATGTAATGTTTTCATTTTTCAATTTCATGTGGCAAATAAGAAAAAGCAAAGGAAGAGAAGGTAAGATTAACAACAGCTGCCCCTTGGGAAGGGTGGGGGCAGGGGAAATTGCTCTGTTACAGAAAGACCCAGAACCAGAAGCCTGGGGACTGAGGAAGGAAAATCAAATCACAATCTTAGTTTTAACATCTTGTTAAAAGACATTCAAGAAACAATACAGATCGAGGATAGTAAATGCACAGCCCTCATCCTGGGAATGAAGTCGGCCAGAAGCATGAACACTTGAACAAACACAGGCTTGGGAGGGAGGAGTAACCGGGGGACCAAGGGATGTCAGGCCTGGTCGGGGTGGTGACCTCTCCCCACCCCTGATCACTCAGGAGGCGGAGGAGGGACCTTGCCTGCTAGCACCACATTGGAAGGGACCTCAGGATCCAGAGCCCCCATTTCTACCGGCTGGCAGCTGGGGGAGGAGCCGGCCAGTCCTCAGGAAGACCCATTCTGAGGAAAGGCCGGCTTGCGGAGGGCTCAGGCCTCACGGAGGGTTCGGGCACTGAGAGGGCGGCCGTCCTCTAAAGCAGTCGTCCCCTGCATTCGATGGCCCCACAGCAGCACAGCAGCTCCTTGCCTTCCACGCTGCCCACTTCGTAGTTGTAGTCCCACGTGAGCTCCGTCCCAGCGCGGATTCTCCTGGGCAGGAAGGAAGGGATGGGCTCAGGGGAGGCAGTGGCCCACCAGGTGCATGTGGCGCTGGGGTCCTGATGGAGGGGTGCCTGGGGCTCCTACATCCCCACCCCCCTGCAACCCCCTCTTACTTGCTGGCAAAGAAGGCCACCCAGGGGAAGCGAAGATCGTGAGTGTCCACGAAGACGTTCTGGACGAACAGGTTGGGGCTGCAGCTGTGCTGTGGGTTAAGGACAGAATGTGTAAGAAGCGCCGAAACCCAGGTGACCCGGCTTCGTGGGGCGAGCAGGAGTTGGAAAGAACGTGCCGCTGGACCCTCCCTATCACAGCGGAGTTCTGAAAGAGAGCTACCTCTTTAAGGTCCTTGAGATCACATATTGCTAACAAGGAAAGGTGGGTTTATGTAGTTGTGTTAAAGGAACAAAAAAGCTGGGGGCAGTGGGATAATGCAGCATCTAGCGGTGAGAGAGAGGGGCTCACGTTGAGGTAGCGGCCCAGGTTGCCTTCGAGCTTGGCATCGATGATGTAGCACGACTCCTCCCCATCGTAGAACTGGCGGGTGTTCTTGCGGACAGGCGCGCTCTCCCCCTTCTCCACGGAGGCCATGTTGGTTGATTTAATGGCAATCCCATGGGTTGACTTAAGAGCAAAGCCCCGGGTTGATTTTACTGCCACCTGGCGCTTTGTGGGGCCTGGACAGGAAGGAGAGCGTGATCAGGCCCCATCCCACTTCACTCCATTCTCCCCATCTGCAGCCCACCCACTGCACTGCAGGAATACTGATTAGCCGTGACCTTGGGGCAAAGGTCCTCACTGGCAGGGTTTTCAAGCAGGAGTCCATCTGCTGGGGAAAGGAGCTGAGAGGAAAGAGCAGGGAAGAGGAAAGGAGGGAGGAAGGGAATGTGTCGAACAGTTGAGCTGGGAGTCAAAATGGTCCCAGACATGCGTCAACCCTTCAGATCTGAATTTTTTCTCCCACTTGCTTAAACAAGGCTCTATCTCAACTTTCCGACGGTTCCTTCCTAGCACCCACAACGTTCTTCTAGACTACCAGACATGTTCTTCTTGTCCTCAAAGTCCTCTCCCTCAGAGCCAGAGGAGATGGTCTGGATGTCATCGCTGTCTACCGCCGTGGCTGAGGTCTGGCCGGTGGTGGGCTTCCGGCTGGTCCCACTCTCGCCCTCGCTTTCTGTGCTGCTGGACAGCGTTAAGACGTCCTGGAGAACAGAAGGGTGAGAAGAAAGAGTGAATGGAGAGGACCCTTTCAAGTTCTTCTCTTCCTGTGGTTAGGCAGGAAGAGGCTAAGACTACAGCAAGAGAAAGATCAGAACGCTGGGCAAAGGAAAATGAGGCAGGAAGTCACAGCTGAAGAAACGGGAAGGGATATACTGGGAATTATCATCAAGGACCTGAGGAGGTGAGGGGACTACTTCTCAGACACAGTCAAACACAAGACTGGGTGAGGGACAGCTTGAGGCAGGAGGTCACTTACATCAGTGTTGGACTGGGCAGAGGCCAGGAGTCGCCGGCTCTGATGCATACTAGTCTTACTGGGAGGGCGGCGAAGTCCTTCCAGTTTCATGGGAGAAGGATTGTAACCATAGTTTCGAGAGCTTTCGGTAACTCTAAAGGGAGGGCAAGGAGTGAGAGGGGATCAGGTTACTGTCTGTTTCTTAGGCTTCTTTTATGGGCACGACAGAAGACAGATCTGGAAACAGGTCAGAAAGAGAAGCACTTACACGGACATCTTGTTTCGGTCATCGGGGTCCTGGAAAAGAGCAAATGAAGGGTTAAAGGGTTTCATGGTGCTGAGTAACAAGTCCAACAATTAGACGTCATCTCAAATGACCTCCAAAGACATGAGCCAGTGAGAAGTACGTTATCTAAAGAGATTCCTCTGCAACCTGACAGTTAACAATTGTGTTCTCATCAGGACACCCCCCCAGAGGCGGGTCTCTAACCCTTCCCAATGACAGGGTGTAAGGTATTCGAGGCAAACGACGTGGGCAGATCTTACAAGAACAGGGGACACAGTTCACCACCCGTAATATGTTAAGTTTCAATATCATTAAAACGACATCTAGAAGCAACTCTTGGTTTTTAACTCTAACAAAAAATAGCAACGTTGTAGATAACTTGACATAACACTTAAATACTCATCAATCCTTTTCTTTGGAATGAACCAGATACTTTCTCCCCCCAGAAGAGAAAACAATCTGGTTTAAAAACAATTTGGTTCTGAGGCATCTGGGTGGCTCAGTCGGTTGGGCGTCCGACTTCGCCTCAGGTCATGATCTCATGGTCTGGTCTGTGGGATGAGCCCCATATCAGGCTCTGTACTGACAGCTTAGAGCCTGAAGCCTGCTTCGGATTCTGTTTCCCCATCTCTCTGTCCCTACCTGATTCATGCTTTCTCTCAAAAACAAACATTAAAAAAAAAAAAAACTTAGGTTCTCTAAGCATGAGGCATGTATTGGGTGGAAGGAACACAGTCAGGTCTGCCACAGGAATAGCCATCCAGTGAGAACCAGCATGGGAAGAAGTTGTGTGCCACAGCAAGTCCTACAAAAGCTCCCGCTCTTAGTCTTCTGCCGCCACTTACCTCTTTCTTGGCCTGCTTGAGGTCTCCCTCCTCCTTGAAGCCCAGCCCTGAGGTGGAGGCCTTCTCAGCCTCTCCTCTGCCGCCCCCAGCCCGGCCTTCCCCACCTTCGCTAGTCTTGAAGGATGAACGGCTATCAGAGTCAGCAAAGCCACCTTCACTGACACTATTGCAGCTCAACCACGAGGCCACCTTATTCTTGGGGGTCTCTTCCGAGGAAGGCGGATTGCAGCCACCTACGGGGATCGCTGGAGGGACAGGGACGTGGGGGGGCCCTAGGTCTGGGGGGCGGGAGTCCTTGGAAGCTGTTTCGGACAGTCCATTCTCCTTCTGGCCCCGGGTCTGCCGCCGGGTGGCATAGCTGCGCCACACGGAGCTGGTGCTGAAGTCCTCGTCTTTACAAAAGTTGTCATCAGAGCTGTCATCATTGGACTCTTCAGGGTCCTCTGTGCCGCTGTTGCCATCTTCCTGGTCCTTCAAGTCCACCCCGCTGCTGTCGGAGGAACAGGGGGCATCACTCTCATATCCTTCCTTGAAATTCTCCACGCTCTCGATATGGTCCAGGTTGGCAAAGTACTCATCACCCATCTCCAGGCCCTCCTTGTCTGCAAAGTCATCCGTCAGGATCTTGCCTGGGAAGGAAGAGAATTGAAGGCCTTTCAGGGTTAGGAGGGTCCTGGAGAAAGTCCAGGGGTCCTTCCAACAACATGCAGTCAGCACACCTCCACCAGGGGCTTGCCCTTGACCCTGACCATCCCCTCCTCCACGGAG